TGGGTATTTTCTCCTGTGGAAAAGCTGCCTCGCCTCGCATCCCCCCCCCCCCCCCCCACCCACCCACCCATGAAACATCAAAGCACGGCCACACTGAAACTTCAAGCCCATTTTGGCATTGCCCTCCTACCTCCAGATCCAGTAATTACAGCTCATACAAGACATCAACATTATTACTCGTCAAACCACAGTATAATAATACCACAAAACACTTCAAAGAGACAACTCACATTTCAAGGGAAAAATAAAAACTCATGGATTATGCATTAGGAAGGACTGAATCAACCTTCCAAAGCAGCTGGGGCGCAGTTCATGTGATCTGGAGCGAGACCCAAACTTGATAATCAAGATTTATGTTGGTGTAATTTGCAAATAAATCTGACATGATTGTTAAAACTGAGCAGGCCGGTGGTTTGGGAGGTATTTTAAACCAGCCTGTGTTTTGCATTGCAATATGTCTGCTGAACATGTAACAATAGGATTATGCAGCAGTCAAGTGTGTGGCTGGTCATGAGGTTAAATTGCAGCGCCTTGATAGCTAGGAGAGCCTCGCCGCCTTGATTTTTTATATGTTTCAATACTGCCCTCTTGTGTCTTTTGTTTGCTATGTAAAGAAATATGTAAAAATTCTTTTCTATTTTCTCCTTTATATTATTTTATTCCCTAGATCAAACTATAACCTACAGTCACACAAGAATCAGAAGATGAACATGAAGAGCTTGATTTTTTTTTCTAGTTAACAATTTAAAGAGATAAAAGAAGAGATGTATACACAAGAACAGATGCACAATATGGATTTTTTTTCAACCAGTATACACTATGAGAATCTACAATACACAAAATGACACATGGGAAAACAAAAATAAAAGGAATTAAATACTGTACACACAAATTGTGTGAGATAAAACAGTCACAAATAAACTGAGAGACAAGAAAGTTGCAGTATTGCAAGTTGTACAGTTTCTTATCTCTGCAAATAGCAAGTAGTAGCATGAAGGGGTTGCGATGGTTTAGTGGATAGAGCAGGCTCCCCGTGTACAAGGCTGTTGCTGCAGCAGCCCAGGTTCAATTCCAGCCTGTGGCCCTTTGCTGCATGTCACTCCCTCTCTCTCCCCACTTCTCACTCTTTCCTATCAATTAAAGGCAAAATATGCCCCAAAAAAATGTCTTTAAAAAAAAGTAGCAGTATGTAAATATAGTTACTTATTGCACTCATGGTAGCAAAAACAAAGCATGTTAAGTATGTGTAAACTTGATTGTTGTTAAATATCATAGATATTGTACGTATCAGTGTTAAATATAAATAGTGTTGGGGAGTAATGAGTTACATGTAACAAAGTTATGTGATAAAATGAGAAAATAAATTGTAATTAGATACAATTAATGAGAAAAAATATTCAATTAAATTACAGTTACTAAAAAAATGTTGGTGATTTCAATATATTATTTTCAGTAAAACCTTATATGCAATATGTAGCATCCATTCTGTTACTTTTCATCTTTTAATCATGCAGGAATAACCTCTCTTGATATATTTTTGGACATTGCGAGGCAGCAAAGCCATTAGGTCAAATTTGAGTGCAACATTTATGCAGTTCTGTTTTAAGTAAAATCACTTACTTTTTATATTACTAGCAAGTAATCTGTAACCTATTATATTTCAAAAGTAATCTTTCCAACACTGGATGTAAAATAAATTGGAGCTAAATGATAGGATAAAATGCATCAGCAACCATCACATGTACTGTGCTGCCTCTATATTTTCTATAGTCTATTTTTGCTGTTATTATTTTAGAACAACGCTGATGCCCATTTTCTTCTTCTTCTTCTTCTCAGTCTCAGTCTTCTCCTGCTGCCAAATTTATCTTGGACGATGCACAGAGATGATATTTTTAGGACCTCTTCTAACTTTTAGCTCTCTGGCCCCACCACTGAAATAACAGCCAAGGCTGAGAGTGTATGCCCACTATCTATAAATGAGAGCTCTTCATACAACATAATACTTTCAGTCAGAAATTTGGTATTAGCACCTGATGTCTTTGAGACCGTGTTTTGACACAGGAGGGTTCTTTAAACTAACCTCAACTAAACTTTATTATAGTTACATCCAGTTTCAAAGGGAGGAGTGAAGAACAGAGTCTATTTTCTTCTCTCTTTTTGAGTGTCTGCACTGAAAAGAAACTGTTGCTGGCAAAGAACTAGGCACTCTTACACACACTCAGAGAATTCAATATCACACTGAACAGCAATATCCTTTATACACCGTGGACTGGTGTTTGTCTATGAAAGAATTCTCTTTTATTTTCTCTGTGGATGTTGTTCAAAGTCAAACCCACTGGTAGAAAACTGAGATGGTAAAACGAGATAGGGTGATGTTATTACACCAGGATGGATAGTGTTTGTGTGTGAGTGTTGGTGGAGGTGTGTGCACAGGTCTGTGTGCAAAACATTTTACATGTAGTGCAAATAAATATAACCTACAGTGATACAGTGGTCGTGTGTGTGTGTCAAAAATGAAAAGCTATGTAATATTTAGCACAGTAATACTAAGAGGCTACATCTTTAATAATGCTGTGACCTACTTCCTGACTGGGAAGTCAACAGTTTCATCATCGCCACTATCCAACTGCCATGACGATAAATGTCGCCAACCTTCCTTAATGTGACTGACATGTCAGCCATTTTAATTATTTATGGACACCGCCTGTCCCATTTATCGCTACATGTTTTAATTGAGTTTGAAGCCTGCAACCCCCCATCCTCATTCATCTCCCCATTCAACAGTGTTTTGCCCATTACAAAGGAGCCTGGGTAGAATAAGGAAAAATATGTGCGAGTAGAAATTAAGAATTGAGTATATGTACAATTACATCTTGAGCTGTGTCTATTCTGTGTTCATTAAATGTCATACTGCATTGCATTGATATCACGTTTGTAAGAGCCACCTTTCAGTCAACAATTACAACCATTTACAATGTTAATTTTGACCAAAGTAGTTATAACTTTGAATATAAATACATGCTTATATGCAGGAAAAGGAGACATGTGTTCAGAAATGATGCAAAACCACACAAAACAGATGGTATGAGCAAGAATGCTAGTCCAGTTCCATCTTCTGGACCGGTCAAAGTAAACAGGAGTCCAGTGTATTGAGCAAGAGTGACACCCTGTGGTTATTTATGCTTACTGCAAGGACATCACACACCTCAAACTGCCCTTCTGTCCCTCATCTCAGAGAAGAATATGGAATAAAATATAAATTTAGATTCAATTTACATCTGTTGACTGAACATTGTGGAACATAATCTAACAACAAAAGAAAATTAGATGCTGAGAATTAAAGATTTAGTGGCCTTGGTCCAGCAAAGCCCAATATTTTTGGGTCTTCATCAAAACATTAGAAGAGACTGGAAACATATAGTACATATTGACATTCACAAAAAAAGGACACATGACAGTGCACATAAAAAACCCCACTTGAATAGAATAATAAACAAGTACAGTATTCTACATTAAGCAAATGATTGCAGCTCCGGCAGCTATAAGAGTGATCATTTTAGTTTAGTTTGCAGAGAAAACTAGTAGAGCTGCATGATATGCAACAAAAGCCATATTGTGGTTATTTTGCTGGACTGCGCTGTGAATCACAATTTCATTTGTAATAATAATTTTTGCATTTCATTTTAACTGAAAAAATATAAAATTATGATGTGATTTCTGCAGCTCCTGCGATTTTAGATAATAACCCTGCCATTTGTTTGGTAGTATTTGGATTAATTGTACAGCCCTAAATACTAGACACATTGACATACACTGACATTCAAAAGTTTGGAATTGCCTGCCACAAAAGCTTGACTAGATACAGTTATATGGCTCACTGTACAAGACTATACTTATGAGGGGTCTTTAGGTTGTAGGAAGTGTGTGCAGATTTTAATAGGAACAGGTTCCTGAAGTTTTGCTTTGGCAAAACTATCCTTCAAACTTCACAATAACTACAGAAGATTAGTGTTGGGTTAACGCCATTGAAATTGGATCAGGAAATATCAGCTTAACAAATTATGGACCGACAAATCATAGTTTAAACCTGTTTAATCTAACCACTGAGTAGACTACAGATGGCCCACACAAAAATGGCTTACCAAAATATTTAATTGCACTGTTGTGATGATTATGCTTTTCTGGACTGGAAAACAAATTCAGAATCACAGAGTATTTGGGGGTTAATGGTTACAACAGTATTCATACCTTGTGCAACACTGTGGGAAGGAAAAGTCATATTTACATTTCCCCCTCTAAATAAAACATGAAAGTAGCAGATGACTTTTCTTCTGATGGAATTATAGACATAAATTGATGCAGAAAAGGCTCAAATTGGTGCATAAATATTCACCAGAATGCAGGAAACAGCAGTTTACTTTGACTTCTCACCTGACTGCGGTGATGCAGAAGTGTACCTGAGGGTCTGTCAGTGTGCCATCACACCGTTGTTGGGTGTGGTCACACCAAAGTACAACCATTGTTTTCTTCTAACAGCTTAAGCACCTCCAGAGATCTTACTTACTAAGTTCACAGATGCTGGTGGCTCATCTTGATATCCGTGGCTGGATAAAATGATGTTCCCAAATCTATGAAATTAAGTTTCTTAAGTAATAGCTACTTTAACAGCTGTTAAAGTAGTCTATAATTTTTTATTTCTCCACATTTTGACATTTTGTCAGTTGAGCAAGTGTAACAAAAGTTCAGCCACACCTGGGGAGGTGCTCACCACAAGCCGGTACAACCACAATCCTCCGTTACAGCCGTTACAAAAGGTTAAAATAATATTTAAAAACTAATAACATAATTTCTTGAGAAAAAATGTAAGCTATATTATTTCTTCTCTCTATGTTGTTTTTACAGTACGCAGGTGTGTGCTATGCTATGCTGCTATGCTCTGCTTCGGTCAGAACGCAACTACAAGGACCATAATGCATTGCAGCGAAACAGTCATGATCATGACACATCTTCAACATAAGGAAAAGCTTCCTCCTTGGAAGCTAACATTTGCTAACCTTGGGGAGAGGTTGGCTCCTTCTTGTGGTTAGCATTTTGAGAAGTAACAGGCTACTCGTCTTGGCCAGCAGAGATTGTCAGGCACTAAATGTGTGCCTCCTGTGACCTACAGCTAGCTTTCTAGCTCAGGAGCTCGCTAAAAGAGAGCTTCACAAGCTAGCACGAGCTAACGCTAGCTAACTGACCAGAGCGGATCCGTAACATTTAGTTGGCGCTGGGGAGCTACATTCATCAAAAAGAGCAGCTGTGAGGGATGTTATCATTGTATTTACAGCAGGACAGGTTTCAGAGTTGCAGCACAAGGTAAGCAGCTAATTACTGTCTCAAACACTGGTCGCGCCAAGGTGTTTATGCTACAAACTGCAGATGGCTAGCTAAACTTGACAGCTAAGTTAGCGTCATGATTCGACAACTTAAAAACAGGTAGCTACTGTGAGAAGAGTTTGCTTAAAATCACTGGCACATAGCTGGTTATATGTTTAATCTGTACGGGTGACACAGTGTTACTCAGGTGCGGTGTCATTTGGTGTGTTTAATGTGGTAGCTTGTGAAACTTTATCACGTGAGTTGCCACAGCACAGGGAACATAACTCACATTTTCTCCAGTTTTTAAATACCGCAGCGTTACTGCTGTACTTTGTATTGGTGCTGTGACCAAACATTTACGGACTTATTTTCCACTTAACTTTACTCAACACATGTTATTCTGTGGTGTAAGGTTAAAATCACAAGTTATTGCGCCCCCAAAGTGAAAACATACTGTATGTACAAGTAAAGCATCTGAAGACGTGACATGGATTAATATGTCTTTTTAGTGTGCATGTTGGTTTCCTCAATTACCTACCCGTGCCTGCAGCAAAGTTTAGGGGACAAACACTGTAAAACAAGGGGTAGGCAGAAAATATCGATAACACAGATCAGTTGTTTTCAAACGTTTTGTGCCCAAGGCACACCAAAGGGCAAGCCAAAATCTCAAGGCACACCTGTGTGTATATCCTTGTGTGTTATCACTCTTACCACAACAGAAATGTTTGTTTTTATCCACAAATATCAAATAGCAATTGACAACCAACCATTACTCATCAATATTTATTAACAAATGATTCACGAATTAATTTCAAACGTTTTAAAATCACATCAAGGCACCAATAATACATTCATTTAAACAGGAAATAATGTAAGATAATGTAAGACAATGTGATGTGTCACAGGCTTAAAATTCCCTCACGTCACTGGTGACAAATAGGTTCCCCATGAACAATTTTTTAAAAAAAATTAGATTACATTAGATTTTTTAAGGTAGAGTTTGCCTTTTTTATTAGGAAATGGGTGCCCATAACATACTGATACAGTCAATTCAAAACTGATCCATAACTCTCTGTATAGGCCCATTTGAATATTGCAGTAATAATATGTGGTTATCACAAAATCCCACTGCACACCTGCATTTGCATCATGTCACACCAGTGTGCTGCAGCACAGCATTTGACAATCACTGCTGTTGATACCACTTTTTCATTTTGAGAATAGATCCTAGCGTCAACAGGATCCTAGCATCCGTGATGGCTTAATGAAAGAGGACAAAAACCACGAGAAAGAAAACTTGGAGCTGATACCAAAAAGAAAGGAGGAGGAGGTAAATGCCTCAGCATCCAAACTAACACAGAGACAGTGTTCACTGGCAGTGTGTTTATAGAGTCTCAGGCAAAGATTATCCAGGTATATAGTAATTAAAATGATATTTTAGTCAAATCAGATCTTCTTCAAACTGTTATTGGTCATCATCAGCTGTTATTTTAGCAAACTATTATCAGATATTCACCTAATAAATCATGGCACACTGTTTTTCCCTATATGAAAGTATAGTATGCCCTGCATAATTTAAAAAAAAAAAAAGCATATCAGTATCGATGTGGTCAATTCTGGCCCTGTATTACTTGGATCGAAACCACATTTTGTGGTATCGGTCACCCCTAATTAAAACAAAGGAGTTTAGGATGTCTTGCAGTGCTGAGGTAAGGTGTGTCTGCACTGGTGACCCACTTGGCTCACTGACACCTGCTCTGCACCCTTTTAACAATGCTTTTTTGTGTGTATTAGACGTGCTTTGTTGCTAGCATTCAGAGGTAAAATACAGTACAGCACGTAGACAGGAAATACTGAAGTCAGTGCTGGTATTATCTGTTGTTAGGCCTGGGCAATATATTGATAGTATATTGATGATGTGATATGAGACTAGATATCATCTTAGGTGTAGGATATCATAACATCTTAAGTGTTGTCTGTTGCTGGTTTTAAAATCTGCATCACAGCAAAGTCATGTAATTTTCTGAAATCTAGCTGCTCTGTTATTTGCCGTTACACACTTGTTGTCATATTCTCATTACTTATGATTAGACCCATTTGTTAAAAATCTCATTGTGGGATATTTTGCCAAAGCACTATAAGTAGAGCCTACAATATTATTTTGACTTTGATATCGAGGTGTTTGGTCAAAAGTATTGTGATATATTTGATTTTCTCCGTATCTCTCAGCTTTATCTGATGTCACCCACCCAATAACTCGACCTACTTCCATCACCTCAGTACATCTGTAGAAATTGTTCTATATATAACCTGCCTTATAGTTTTAAACACTCTATATAATGACTTAACTAGATTTATCTTGCTATGACAGTCACACAGTAGCCACACTGCAAGAAATTCTGCCTCCCTTAAAACCCTCCCCCATAATACCCTGCTGTTTTCTACCTGATGGTCATTCCAGTTCCTATACATGCCAATTAGTTTTTCAGCAATCAAGCTGACAGCATTTATTTTGCAGGGAAATAACTCTCAATGTTAACCGTCTGACACTAATGGATTTTGAGATAGGCCACCAGGATCAAATGAGCATTGACATCAATATGCCTTTTATTTAGCTGTCTGTATGCCAAGAAGGTTTAATGCTTATTAGTAGTGGACATTCTGACAACACGACCAGTGTGTTTTTGTGCATCAAGGGCCCATTGTGAGACAAATTTGATGCAGTTTTGGACCTGTGCGGAAAAGATCTAGGAGCACCTGATGCTCTGCATGCACAATATAGTGCAACAGAAACAATTAGCAGATCATCTGTCAAGGAGGAATTCTTGATAACATCACAAGTGCTGAGTGTTAAATCAATTTGTAGTCAATATCATGGAGTTAGTAATATACTCTAGGCCTGAGGCTTACTGAACCAAAACATTCTCTGTTTACATCTCCGTTTTTATCTCTCCTCTCTTCCTCACAGCAAGCCTGTAGAGAGACTCAAGTGAAATTACAGGCTACAGATGAAGATGAAGGCTTCCTTCCCATGGTTTCCCATGAATCTCACCTGGAGTGGGAGGGTGTTGTGAGAAAGGAGAGAGGAGGAAGGAGAGAGGAGGAAGGAACACAAGGGGACTATAAACAAGAGTCATGAATCTCCATCAGGTCCTCACAGGGGCTGTCAACCCTGGAGACAATTGTTTCTCTGTAGGGAGCGTCAACAATGTGCCATTCACGGTAAGATATTTCAAGCTCTGGAAATATTTCTCTTCCAGCCATTTTAGAGCTCTGATTCTTAAAGGGTGGCCAAACTGATCCGTCAGAGCAGATTTTAGCTCACTGGGTTGTTTTGAATGCAAATGTAGTAAGCAGAGCAAAAGTACAGTATGGAAAAAGCACTGATGCCAAGAAGCTTTTGGTGCAGTGTATGCATTATGATTAATAAAATTGGAAATTTAATGTATAGGCCCAAAATGCTTCTTTTTGTTGTCTTGCTTTACAGATGAGTGATAAAATTTACATTGAGCTTGTTTGACATATTTGAAAACGACTATACCTCTTTCTTTGTGGTCAGCGTACGCACAGTATTTTTTTCTCTCTGAGAAGTTAAGATTACTTCACATTCAGTTTTGCAGCAACCATTAAACACAAACATTGCCACATCATTTATATCAAGGTTGTGGTTTTACCCCTAGGAAATAGTTTTGCAGAAGTGATATGCCTGTGCTGAGTAGATGACGTCCTAAACAATAGTTGCACTCATGAAACATGGCATTTGCTGTGTGAAATAGTACCTTTACTCTTTTTCCCAAGTGTTTTAATTTTTATGATGTAGGTGTCTTTGTCTCAGGCGAGGTGGAGCACTTCCACTGTTTAACACTGCAGAGAACTCTGTGGACAAAACACAATATTAGCTTTGTCAGTTTCACCCAGGTCTAGGATTAACTCACTGCGTAGAGAAGGTATTAAATTAGCCAGGCCTTTACCTGTGCCAAAAACATATACACATATGTTATAAAAAAGAACTTCAGATGAAAGCATTTGTCAAGTTGCAATTGATGTGTTTCTTACTTCCTTTATTCTCTTTGTCCCCTGTGGGACAAAAGGCCATAATGAGCTCCCTCCATCATTGTCCAGCATCTAGCAGATAGGGATGTGTGGGCTTGATCAAATGCTTGATTTTATCAAAGCTAGTATATATTTGCATGAGATTGTAGCCTGTGTCATTGTGTTATGTTAACTGCTGTATAATTTGCATCTTGCTTAATAGCGCAAAAACACTTCCCTCTACTGCAGGAAGTCTTTGTAAGTGAAGGTTTAAGGACTGCGTGTCTGAAATACAAAGGCAGTACCTCTGACTACTTTTGCACTCTGTGATCTCAAAGCAAACTCTATGAGGTACTTCTGCAGTGCTATTCAGAGACTGGATCAATGGAGAACTACTTCTTTTCGTCTGTGTGTACTTGTGAAGGAGGCAGAGTTGCAGTGAATCACAGCTCATGTGAAGATCTCCTTCTGAGAGTCAGAAATAGAGTGTTGAATTCTAATTTCGTCTGCTTGTACTCCACTGCTGTCATATGGTGGCATGCTTGATGCAGTGACACTGGCTTCAGGACAAGTGACGTTCAAGTGACCCCTCATGTAGTTCTCTCTGGGTGGCTCTGAGTGTCATCTTCAGCTCTCTCCTCTTCTTGCTGTCTCCTCTGTCTCTTGATAGGCCTATGCGTCAGGTTGTGACGTGGTGATTTTGGGCAGTAACTTTGAGCGACTGCAGATCATCCCAGGGGCCAAACATGGCAACATCCAGGTCGGGTGTGTCGACTGCTCATCGCAGGGTGGACAGGTAAGAGCAATGGAGTGGTGTTACCTCAGGTTGAGTCCTCAGGCTGTGTTCAAACCAGGCTGTTCCTGAAATACCAATACCAAGTACAAACATTTCAGTTTAAATAAATATTTTTTATTTTAATTTGATTCATTCATACTGTGCAGGTAATCACTGGGAAAACATATTCAAGTGAAAATTAATTTTCTTTTTTAGCTGAAGGTCAACATTGAGCTGTAGATTAATAAAATATAAAGGATTTGCTACCAAAAATGTTGAGGAAAAAACAGCGGGGGACATAAATATTCAAAACGTTTTCTTTTTTTTTTCTTTTTTTTTCAATAAAAAACATTTTTCCAATGCAGTTATTTACATGAAATTTAGACAAGACATTGGTATTACCTTGATTAAACTACACAGATCAAGTCATAACATTCCAATAAAAAAAGTTGATTGATTTTTGTCTGGTCCAATCACACTCTCCCATTAATCTACAGACTTCTGTAAACATTGTGTAGCAAACTTCAAACGAGCTTTTCCGCAACAAAATGATGCACCATGTTTGGAGGAGAAATGGCTCTGCATATGACTCTAAGAACACTTCCACGCTAATGTTCTTTCGTTCTAAGGTGCATTACAATTGCCAAGTTTTAGCCTAGTGATCACACTGCTCTGGCATTGTGGAACTCCTTAAACGGGCTGCTACTTTCAGTAACAGTTCCACCTAGTCTTTGGTCTAAGCAGAGAAAGTCCTGGTTTTATTTTTCGCCATCTCCACAGTGTTTTCTGTAACTTAGCAACCAACCCCAGCGTAGACAATCTGCTTCCTGTTTACATCCACACATGCCCAGTGTACATGAATCATCATGTAATATGCATTTCCAGGCGTGTTAGAATAGATGGACAGTAGTTCTGGAATTGTGCTAAAGCGCTTGTGTATATGGAGATCAATTTTGTTGTGGATGTGGCCTAATAGTACCAGCAGTATCCATATTATCAGAGGGAAGATGACTGAAGCCATGTAACAGGAAAATCTGGATAAGAATCTGTTGCCACCCATCAGAACAATGAGGATAAAACACTGCTGGACCTTCCAGCAGGACAACAATCCAAATGTGCAAAGGAGATTTTCATTTGGTTCCAGAGGAAGAAAATAAACATGCTTGAATGACCCAGTCAGTCACCAGAATTAATCCTCATAGAACGTTTGTGGAAGGATCTGAAGATCAACATTCACCAGTTGGTCCTCCCAGATCTTCAAGATTTATAAAGTGTCTGTGTGAAAGAATGGGCCAAAATCTGTGAGACATTAGTTTCTTTGCACAGGAAGCATTTTGAAGCTGGCATTGCAAACAAAGGCCCCTCCACCAAGTATTTAATTAATTTCATTTAGCATGTTCAATTCTTTTTTTTTTTCTTAACATTACATTTTTCTGCACATAACATTTTTCTATTGATTGGAATGTTACAATTTCGTTATCTGTATCGTTTAATTAAGTTAATTTCAATGTCTGGTCTAAATGTCATTTAAATATCTGCATTGGAAATATGTTTATTGAAAAAAAATGTCAACTACTTATTTTCCCCACTGTACAAACAATGCAGAATGTGTGTGATACAATAATAATATATCCAACTCCAACAGACATCAGACTTCAAAAGTAGAAAAAGTCAGGGCACTAAAATGTGGGTTTTTGCACAGCGCTCTGATGCACAGTTCTCCTCCTCTTGCTCCACTTGATTTTAATGACCACACAAGTGGGATTGGTGGAAATATTTGATCAAGTGTGGTAGGCACGCTCAGCTTACAGTGTCAGCGAAATCATGCATATCTAATATATCCTGCCCAAATGTCCAGGACTCCATTGTTCTCAGATTGTGTTATAGATTAATTGTTACTGTTTTACAAAGCACATTAATGGCAAACTCTTTTATTAAGTGTTGGCAGCCCATGTGTTCAGGGAAGAGATTTGTTGGCAACATCAAAGGCTATTTTAATGAACTTAAGCTTCTTGTCATCAACTCCAAGTGGGAGAAAAATCACCCACTGAAGCAAGCAGTGGTACAGCAGGCACAGTCACTGATGTAATGCCACTGATAATCCCTTTAATGGCGCCAAAACAGGTTTAAGTGTTGCTCAAACAAAAGATCTGTTGTGAGGTTTTTTATAATTTGTATCTGGGACAGATCTGCAAAAACGGATTATTGTTGAGCAGTCCTTCTGATGTTTTTCTATTGAACTGTGTTTCGAGTCCATCTGTGGCACGGAGAGACATCAAGAGAACTGCTTGCGTGTACACTTTCGGTTTGCCACAGGAATAGTCTAAGTGTAGAACTGGATCAGATTTTACTTGGATTGGCGGGTTTTCAGGTCGACTTTGTGAGGGAAGGTGGTGTTGGGGTTGGTCCCAGTTGCAAAAAGTATTGAGGAGCAAGGATGAATTATTCTGTATGTTTAAGCACAGGCCTCTAGTTTGGAATTCACTGCTTCATGACTGTGGTTTAAAGAGTTTGACATTCACAAGTTTTAAAAGCTGAAAAAACTGAGATATGAACTCTGAAAAAGTTGGTTGAGACTCACTACAACACTAGTTGACCCGCTCTCAGTTCTAACTCGAGCTGCCTGGGTTGTTAGAGTAGTTTCTTCTGGAGTTTAGGACCTTTCCCCCCCATAGAGTGATGCCATAAAATCTAATTGCAAAGCTGTGAAAGGTCAGATTTGAATCTGTGCGATGTGTGGGCCATATCTCTGCAGGGTTTGTTTATAATCATATTACCATGTAGCTTGAATTCTTTTAATTTTAATGGCAGTGATTGCAAGAAGACATTTACATCTATTCACCAATTTTCAGTTAAAATCACAAAAGACAGCACTTAACAGTATTATGAAATTCTAAATCTAAGATGATATCTGGTCTCATGTCACGACTTTGATACAACACGATATATTGCTCAGTTCTAAGTTGAAGCATGTCTGCATACCCGTAATGCTCATCTTCCATACTAATCAAGCTTGAGATATGCTATTGTTTTTTTCAATGTAAACCAAAGCAACCCAGCAGCACCCTGCATTATTGCTACAGGCACAGTAGTCACGATTCCTCTTAGTTACTAAGTAACACTGCTGCAATCAAATAAAAAGGGATTAGGATTACTACATCTTCATAAATTTGGCAAATCACTCCATAAAGATATTAAAGGCAGAAGTCATCACTCAGTGCCAGCCCATCACTGTGATTTGGGTTTATTTTCTAATTGGGGATGGTGGTAGCCTTGTTGAAACAGGAGACAGGCCTGATTTTAATTCAGATGAGAGGAGAAAAAAAAAGCTCACCCAGTTCCTCAACACTCCCCTCATGTGATGTTTAATCCAATTCATTTGGGCCAGAAGTAACCTCACATGCCTCCAGCCTGGTCTAGCATCTGTTTAAGCATGCTCAGTTGGTAGGCTAGCCAGTTCCACCTCACTGCCCCGCTCCACACTGTGATATTTGCAATGCTATTAGTTTACACAGAATTGTTGAGCACACATCCCCTGCGCTCACGCTGTGTGGTAGCACTTAAGATGCATTTTGTAAGCAGTAATGACCCACTGCAATGAAACATGTATTTTCCGAAATCATTAGATTGAATGTGTAATTTGTTATGATTAAACGCCACATTATTGTGCGACGTTGTTGAAATTACAGCAAACAACATAATCACTGAAAAGAGCAGCCGCACTACATTTAATGTTGTGTTCCACCTGGTTGAACTTTGCATTGCTTAATGTCATTAAGAGTTTACTTTTGTACAAGGAGGAGTAGGTTTATTTAAATTACAAGACTAGAATAACTTCATTGTTTTCACACTGTGTTTGACTATCTCACAGTTTGAATGCCTGTTTGTTGTCATCAACACTTTGACAGGTTATACTTTTTCAGGGTTTAAAAACAAATGCATGTAGAGTAATATTTTAAAAACAAGAAAGGGAGCACCCTCCTCTAACACCAGCAATCAGTGGTATTAAATTAACTTTAATTATTATTATTCATACAATGGTTAGCTTTCTAAAAGGGCAGAGCGATCTTGGTTAAGTTAAAACAGGTTTACCCACGATGTTGAGAAAAACTATGCAGGAATTGTCATTCACTTTTGTCTGCTTGCTGTTTAGTGTTGCTGTATTTGCTTTTTTGTAGCCTCCTTTTGGAGACATGCTGCTTAAGTTCCCGAACACAGCAAAATAAAAATAAAATAAATACAGGCAGAGGACAGAGCCACACACTTCTAGTGGGTCATATGTGATGTTTGAGAAGGATTACTTTCATATCTATATTGTTCTTAGGGAAATCCTGTATAGTATCCCTTTTAAGATATCTGTTGTAGTATGCAGCATAATATGATTGCAAAATCTCTGTTGGGGTTTTATGACAATCTGACCAAAACATCGTCATCGTTGTTACCACGGAAAAGAGGACTTATTGTTTCATAACTCATTTTTTTTTCTTCTTTTGCTGCTCATATAACAGAACTACAATATGTTGACTTGACAACGTTGTACCCTGGACTAGAGTGACAGAAAATTGTTCTTTTACAGCATAGATGTGTTACATGTTGCTTTCCACTGGAATTTAATTTAATATGAACTGTGTCCCCAAAAACAGATACGTTTTCCTTATGTATCATTATGCCATGAGTTATAATCTGTCGCGAAAGATTTTATGAGACCGTGCTTTGTGAATGTGGTGGCATGCATGTGTGTGTGCCTGTGTCAATTAATGCATGCCCATTTGCAAGTGTGAGTGTGTGACTCATTCCTTCATGGTATTCGCTCTGTGACAGTAGGCATATTATTTACTCCAATAGAGACAGAGCTTGTATTATCCAAGACCCAGACCTTATTTAGCTTGTTATTTGTGTTCACTGCCACAGAAATTTCACCCATTCAGTCTGTTTAACATTGTGACTGCGGCTCCCATAGAAAGCGCTTGAGCATGTACCCTTAACCAATGCATGAATGGGATGTGTGCATACGGTAGACGAGACAATAGTGACTCATCGTTGGGTTGTTTTATCCTTAAGAAATTTTTGGTTTGTTGTCTGGGGACTATACATGTCATGGTTTATATGGCAAGCTCTGTCTTTGTTTGCTTCCAATTAGGCTCTACACTCATTATTCACTGTCTAAGTCGTCAGAAAGGAGGATTTTGTTCTCGTCTCATCTATTACATAAACATAGAGCTAATTATTTTGCAATGAAATTAAATGTATCTTTCAAACATCGTAAGTTTAATAGTAATTTACATCAATAATTTTATAGGTTTAGTTTATTTGCCCATTTAGAAATGTAATTGAGTGTTACATATTTAATAAGATATGGTTCCTATAAGTATGTTTTCAGTGATGTGTTTTTATTCTGTATCATAAAACATGTTTTAATATTTAACAGGTTGTCTTTTCTCTTTTCTCCTGACAGATTGCAGCTTCCTATGGAAGCATTGTGTGCGTCTTTGAGCCTGTTCAGCTCTCAGATCAAAAAGACACGTCGCTGACTGTGAGTTGCCTACATTATCTTCCAGTCACAGTCTAGTCGTGCATGTATTAACATCATCCCAAAAAACCAGACCTCTATCTTTCAGGCTGTGCTCCCTTGATACTTGAAATAGAGAAGAATATTGTTCCACCAAACACATCAGAAAGTCACCAGGGAAGAGCTGTTGTTCTTCCTCTGTTGTTGGAGAAGTCAGAGAATAAGTCATAAGGAATGGAAAGATTAACACAGCCCAGTACAGTCTTTTACTGCAGAAGCTGTTGTCCATGTGGCCTGATCACATGTGGCTCACATGGAGTCAGCTTCACTGTTGGCTCTTGTTATGCAGTCGTAACTACTGATATAAGAAACAAAAGAATATTATTTGTGTCATAACTGGTCCTATTTTGAACAGTAATGTTGACTTTCTTTGTTTGTTGTTTCTGTACAGAAGTTGAACTGCCAATGGCAGAAGACTGGTCAATTTGTATTACAGTCGATGGTACGAAACCTGGCCTGGCACCCTACAGGTACGTTGATCAATAGTGCTCTCTTAAAGGTGCTGTACGCAACATTCAGCACATAAACATAGCAGCAAACCACTATTTGCTGACACCATTAATGGTGTCCCGAGCAGAGAATGAAGTCACGCTCCTTCTGTGTGTGTAATAATCTAAGCTTCTCCGTTTGTTGTTGTGTTAGCCTATCCAGCTGTACATGCATGTTTTGAATGTGCTCTGAATGTCGCATACAGCTCCTTTTAATAAATACCAGCATATGCACAGTTATATATTAAAAAAAGTGTTGGGTTGATTATAAATCTGTCTTGGACTGTATGCTTTCAAGTTTCCTTTTTTCTTCTGTACTGATGGAGTGAATGTGTTTCTGTATATCCAGGCAGCACTCTCCTAACAGGCTCTAGCAGCATCCAGTTGTGGTCTAATGTTGATGGAGTGAAAGATGAAGCTAAGGAAGCAGGAAAGGAGACAGGGATGACCATAAGAGACTCTCGTTCGACCTGGAGTTGCATCTGGCAGAGCAAGTAAGAACTGAGATATACAAACTTAGCACATGATGCTATCTGTCTATTACCTGGGGATCTCTAGTGATTTGTAATAATTGCGGATGTTGTCTGTGATCTTATTCTTGAGGGAATTTCATTTTTCAAGTAAAAATTCCACCTCATATCACTTACCATATTTTGCCAGCCAATGTATATCTGCATCTGGGTGATTTGAGCTTGTATTTAATTTTTTTTCAAGCTTTTTTGTTTTCTCCACACCTCTACTCTACCTCTTTCCCGGACAACAATTATAGAGGCTGCATTGCCATTTATAGATTTAAGTTTGGACAGCATTTTGGGTGCAAAGTCAGGAGGTTCATCTTGCTACACAGCATGGAGACCCATTCGCTGAAAGAGCAAGCTCAAATCCTTCAGAAGGGCGTTAGACAGGATGTGTCAGTTGATCTGACCTAGAGCAGTGTCCAGTTCATCAAAATAAGGACATTGAATTGGGTCTGACCTAGTCCTCTTACTGTTTTTGAGGCTGTTCCAGTACTTTCTTTGCTGAGAGTGCAGCCTTGACACCGTATCTGGGGAATACTGTCAGTAAATTTGAGGAAAATACAGACTCTGTTTATCCTGTTTGAATGCGCTGCACGAAACACAGATGTGGTGGCGGTACTTTCTGAATCAAATCAGGTCCCATGGTAATACCAGTCCTATGCAAATATGGCTTAAGGTGGTGATTTTATTGCTTTTTTTTTCTTTTTCTTTTTGAAAAAAGAGATTTTTTTATAAACAGGAGTGTTGTTTTCCCAAAGTGTACTCAAACTGGATAACTTGTTACATCATCAACACTATTTTTAGTTTTGTGCTGGATAGACAATTTAATACAGCCAACTAATATAGATTTGTTTAGTGATGTTTTTTTTTAATATTCCGGTATTATGTTACATCTATCTTTGAACTTACTTGTTTTTGTAATTAACTTGAATTTATTGTAAAAGTTGCCCTTACTCTATATTTTATATCTGAAAAAAACAGACTTCTTTAGTACTGAAAATACTGTAATATTTGTTCTTTTTTTGTTTTGTTGTGTTTTGTTTTTTCTGTCTGTAGGACAGCCTCTCCTGTTAGTTTAATGAAGTTCTCTCCTGATGGAGAATTCTTTGCTACTGCTGGGCAGGTAAGTCAAGCCTTTACCAGGATTTGAATGCAAATATGTGTGTACAAGTCATGTTTGCAGTGGCTATTCATATTGACGCAGTCAGCACTGTAAACTCAAGTGTTACTGTTGTGTAACTGCACTAATACTGTACTACCTTTGGTGTCTGTTTGTTTTAAGTTAAGTTTGTTTTACTGTCTGTACTGGAACATCTGTACTCACCCTCAGTTTGAACCGCTCTGTTGTAGCGCCTTAGCCTCTCAGCCCCACTCTGGAAAAAGAGCCAGTCTGCTCGATTGATCAGTGTTTCTGTGTCTTTTGTATCTCTGTGTCTCTACACTGTCAGTGCAGCAGGGGAATGACTGTAACAGAGAACAGAGGCACTTTCTGCTGTTAAAAAAAAAAAAAAAACCCACCAATAAAAGCTTCTAAACACTACTGGACAGTATGATCCAAAATTGGGGAAATTAACATCGATTTGGCACCCAACTTAACATACTTTCCTGATGTTGGTGTGTAGTTTCATGTCACAGCGTAGGCTTTGTAATGTCAGAGCTTTCAGTGGCATGCCTAGAGCAGATGACCATATAAAGAAGTCCGCCACGATCTGAAATCAGCTTGTAGCCAAAATAAAAAACAAAAAAGTTGAAATTAGAGAACTCAGAATGGTCTGAAGCCTGAGACTTTTGCTCACAGGGGTTTCTTTTACATATGTTTGCCTCATTATGTGTAACTGTGGCTATGTTCAGTGTGCACAGCCAACAGTGAAATATTATATATGTACATGACAGAAAATAAGGAGAAGCATGATAGGTCCCCTTTAAGGCATTTAACCTCATGACTTTAACTTGTGATAGCACATCCTGTAGCATGGCATCAATTACATCTCTGTTTATGTCCCCTCTCAGGACGACTGCCTCGTAAAGGTTTGGTACAGCACCAGTAAATGGAAGTCGAGTGTTTCCAGACTCTTCACACCACCAGAACCCAGTGTCAGTTTCCAGGGAGAGTTGGCCTTTTCCTTTGTCTACCTGGCCCATCCTCGCTCTGTTGCTGGCTTCACTTGGCGGAAGACCAGCAAATACATGCCACGGTATGGACAGTGCCAAGGCAACACACCACAGCCCTCTCTCTGCAACAATGATTCATTTATGTTCTTAGTTATTATGTTCTCAGGTATTATGTTCTCATTTTGACCTAAGGTGACACAGCTGAGAACAGCAAGAAAAGCATAACAATTGCACAATAATGGCAAAACCTGTTTCACTGGGTAGACGTCAAGTTGCATCTATTTTTCTGTTTATTTAGCTGCACATTGTACAGTATTTTGTGGGCTGAGTGAAAATGGCAGAGCTCTCTCAAAGTCAAAATAGGTCAGCCACTGTGCAGTATTAGTCTCTTGCTACACTATAGCTCTCAGTTCTGCTCTGCTTTGTTACGGCACTCCTAATCTACTGTGACCTGTAATTGTTCTCCGACTGAAACTATAATGTGACACAGTTCACTGCAGATTTAGTATACAGGAGTATTATTTTTTAAATGACTACAAAGAGATTATTATTATTCTTCCATCAGCTCAGAGAATTAACCCGGACATTAAGACAGTGTAATGTTCAGGCTGAATTCTCACTAAGCTTATTTGCTCTCATAAATTAGACTTTAGGAAGTACTTAAGTGGTGATCTGGGTTTTACTGCTGTGTTAAACCCTATCAATAATAAAACATTGTGTTTTACTCTACCTGTGGCAACCTGCTCTATTTGTATATTCCAGTTGTCTTAACATTTCCCTTTTAAATAAACTGGCGTCAGGATGCAACAAGGATTATATTTGTTGCCGAATAATGTGCAGATTTTATTCTCTTTTAATCGTTTAGTCTACAAAACATTAGAAAACAGTGAGAAAATCCTGTTACAACATCCTTGAGGGGCCCGCCAGCCATTTTCTAATTCACAATGAAAATAAATTGATTCACACTGGGAATATTTTTGTACTTTGAATGTAAAAAACGTGCAAGAGTACACAAAAGGCATCAAATAGGTCCTGTTTGTCAAAAACAAATGCCAGAGGAAGATCCTCTGGATCCCCAACAGAGGCCTGGGCTAATTATTTATATATTCACTACAAATGTTTGTTTATTAATTGGCCCCTGGCCTCCTGTTATTTTACAAAAGTGGCCTTGGAGCAAAGCAAATAGAGTATCCCTGTCCCAGAGCCCAACACTTGTCTTGTTTTGTCATATTAACATTTCCCAACCCCCAAAATATTAAATTCATTGTCATGTAAGACCAAGGAAAGCAGCAGATAACCTGAAAATGTCACATTTGGGGGCATTTTTGCTTGAAAATGACCTAAACAATCTGTTTGTAGATTGTTTGTAACTCTGGAGAAAGATTGTTGATTGTTGAGTCTCATTCCCAGGTCGTCAAATACCAACACTTTGGGTCAGTACTTGGACCAAACCAACTCAAAGTGTGGTGTTTGAGGACCTGGAAATGAGATTTAACAATCACCTATCTTTCTCCAGAATTACATACAGCACCTTTAACTGATAATCAATAGATTAACTTCCTAAACGTTGCAGCTCTAAACTGTTTTTCTGTAATTAGAAGAGATTAGATTCAGTTGTGTCTTTGTCGCCAGTCATTATTGCTCTATTTAATCTTCACTTTTTGACCTTTACTTTACCTAATCTCCCCACAGATGTTTCTCCTTTGACCTGCTGCTGAACAGTACTATCAGTGTCAGATAATTAAAAAAAAACATCACTGATTAGTTCAGTGCCCTCCAGACTTCATCCGAAACCTTTTACCATTATCTTTCCTTTTCCTTCCTCTCTCCTTACAGCGGCGCAGTGTGTAATGTTCTGCTCACCTGCTGTAAGGACAATGTGTGTCGGCTTTGGGCTGAGACGCTGTTGCCGGGTGACAGTCTCCTGTCGGGTTACCATAACGACCATGCTCCTGGCCAACACGGTGAAGCACCCAGATGTGCTGGCCCTTCTAGGAAAGACACCTGCAATGGAAAGTCGCATGGAAGATCAGCACAGGAAGTAAGCTTTTGTAGTTTTTGCTAGAAATACTCTAAATACACTCAGATGACACTTTATTTTGGTACAACAGGCTAAAACTAATGCAGTCTGATGCAACAGTGCTGCAATAAATTCTTTCATGAGGGTTTGAACATTCAGTTTTTGTTGCAACTGTTTCAGAGAGTTGTTGATTCAACTTTATGGTCGTTTTGGAAGCTGTAGTTTGCAATGCGACCCAATTGTACTGCATTTTGTTTGTTATACTTAGTCTATCCTTATTCATACAAATGTGACAGATAAAAAAAAAATAGAAACACTTCTCATTATAACACAATTTAATACAATAGCACTATAACTGCAGCTGCCAAAATTACCATAAAATTGAATTAATCAGCACTGAATTAACTAAAAATGAAAGTCATCACCTTCATTATGGCTGAATTTACTGCAGGGCTGTTGTATTAGACCACAATAATTAAAGATGTGTTTACCAACAAACTGGCAACTCTGTGTGTATATAACTAAATAGGATCATTTGAGACATTTCTCCAAGAAGAGAGCAGGAACTCAGAAATTAGAGCCCAAATCACACCGTAAAAATTAACTTAAGAATATATCCTATAATAATATATAATATGTGTAATAATTCAAAGTGGTACTATCAGTTTGTTGATTTATAGGCACGTGGTTAGGTGAACACTGACATATGTTGACAAGAGGTAAATAACCAAGGTCAAAGAAGTGCTCGCTATAGCCAGCAAGAATCAAAAGCATTAATTTTAAATCTGTGTCAGAGCGAGAGTGCCGTCTATTTTGGTTACAAAATGCAAAAATGATCCCTTTAATTGGACTAATAGTGGGAAAATAATTGGCACAAATGCTGTGATCTCTGCTTTGCCCCATTTGGCCCTGACATACTGTATTTTCACCTCTGCTAATGTAGGACACTGGGGTGCAGCAGAGATGAGGGAACAAGAGCAAAGAGAGATTGGGTAGGAAGACAAAAAAAACAGAGGCTTAGTGCAGTCAAAAGGGAAAATTAATTGGCTATCAAACATGAACGTGGTTTCTGAAGCTTTGTAGGGCTTAAGATGAGCACCAGTGAACAATATCGGCCTCCTTTCTGTAATCTGTGCAACACCTCAAAATGATAACTTTGACTTTTGATGGCTGTTTTTCTGTCTCGTCTAGCTGCTGCTAGCTCACATCTGTAATATTGATGTCTCCTGTGTTAAGTGACTAATGTTGCTGCTGCTGACAGCTGAGCTTGGCCTCAAACACAATACTTAACATCCATTTTGATATGGACATTTAAATGGTGATGGGCCTCACTGGCACTTACAGAGCTCAGGGCACATTAGATTACAGGAAAAATAGGTATGCAAATTTCTCCGCTGTGCCTCGAGGAGAGTCTGTAAGAGTACATGTGTGGAATTATTCATTAAAAATAACAGACTGTGCCGGATGAGCCAGGCAGTAGTCTGAAGTTACTCCCTCCAAAATTGAATGGATACTGAGAGACCCCATTTAAAGTCCATTTTAATATGATGCCTCAGGGCGGGATGAACAGTACAAGATTTCTCGCAAAATCAATGATGATTAAGCCCAAAGTTTCTTGATAAGGATGCTGCTTGAGAACCTCCAGCTGAGACAGAGATATGGGATTTCTACCATAGTCTCATTTTCTACATAGATATTAAACCATTCAACACGCTGTGTATCTGCTTTGTACTCATCAGTATGGCCCATGCACTCAAATGGTGAGTTTACACACATTTGTTATCAATATTTGACAAAGGACTTCTTTGCAGGGTGTGATGAGCACATAAATCTCAATAATACTTGGAGAAACTGCAGCCTTACAGCTCTATTATATTAGTCATTCTGCACCAGAGAAGCTGCATAAAATAAGTGAAATTGAAACCCATTATTATGTTAAATAATCTCCCCGAAACCTTGAGAGGCTCTTTATTTCAAACTCTTGGCTGTAATTCATATGAATCTGCTGTTCTAGGTTAATACCTTGTTATAATCCAGTGTTTCCCACACATAGGCTGTACTTGGGCGGGCCGCCCAGATATGTTAACAGCCACCAAAGTATATTTGGTCACCCAGCATTTTTCTATTTTTATTTTTTTATCCATCCAAGAGAACGACTCCGTACTCCAATGATCAAATAGTGGACAGTCTCCTCTTGCTCTACCCCTCACCTATTTGTTTTGCTACTGTGGTCAAGGTGGAGGCACCCAGACACGCCCATGTGGTGTCAAAGTCTGGTCTCCCGTTGCACAGTGTTTCCCTACTGTTAAAATTATGCCTCCCATAGTGTCTCTCTCTGTGGTTGGTGCAAATTTAGGGGAGTTGCATATTAAGAGAGAAACAGTCCCCAACACAACCCTGCAGCAGACTGCAATCTGCAGTGGTAGTTTCAGCATCTGATCTCTGTACTCTGCAAGCTGCAAGGGAATCTGGCAAAAAACACACTGACAGTGTGTTATAATGACACAAAGGATATATATGATATAAATAATCTGATGATGATACCAGTGATGCCAACCCTTTTGATTTTCCTGCCCTTCTCCCTGCTCAGTTTAAACTCACCTGATTTTACCTCCCACATGATGAAATTTAAAAGTCAGCTCATCGACTATGATTATCAGAAATAGCTTAGGATCACCGCTGTTTGTAATTTTGTTTTTAAAATAACAAAGCATAGTTATTCCACATATTTGTTAAAGGGATGACACATACACAAGCAGGCAGACAGAGAGATGATCAAGATTAGCTCTTCATATCATTAGGAAAGAGCATAATGATGTCATGTATATGAAATCAACAGAAATATTCAGTGAATCAAAATATTGTATTAAGTCACATGTATTTGTATATCACATGTAGCAGATCCTTTTTGTGCTCACAGGTAATGCCCACCCTTTATGTATTTCAGACCTGTGGAAACATTGCAAGCATTCAAATATACACAAGTCTGGAATTATAGGTCTTTAAACAGAAAAAAAAATCCAAATTACATAACCTAAGTACAACATTAAATTAAGTTTAATTTCAGTTCCCTCTTCCAGGCTGCCTGTTTTGCTCTGGCTCTTTTTTAGACAAATTGGGCTGTTAACCTAAATGTCTCTGGGGGGCGGCAGTAGCTCAGTCCATAGGGACTTGGGTTGGGAACCGGAGGGTTGCCTGTTCGAGTCCCTGTCCGGACCAAAATATGGAGCGTGGACTGGTGGTTGGAGAGTTCAGTTCACCTCCTGGGCACTTGCCGAGGTGCCCTTGAGCAAGACACCGAACCCCCCAACCGCTCGGGCGCATGACCAAAGGGCAGCCCCCTCACTCTGAGATCTCTCCACTTTGTGCATGTATAGGTCCTGTTTGTGCATGTGTGTGTCTTTCAGACCTGTGTGTAATTGACAAGCAAGAGTGAAAACATTGAATTTAATAAATAATCATTAATTAATCAATAATCAATAATTAATCATTAATGATCATTAATGATCAAAAATCATTAATAAAGTGAATAAACTTAAACTTAACTTAAAGCATCCACATTAAATTAGATTCCATCCATCCTGAGCTGCTCACTAAAGCAGAGCAGCTCAGCTCAGGCTGGGGGTAGCAGAGCTCTGTTAGTTCTCACAGGTTGATTTATTTACACAGAGCTTTAAAAGCAGGTTTAACCTGCATCATAGTGTCAGCCTGAAAGAGAGAACAGGGAACTACATTATACACTGTACTGCTTTCCAAGTAATTTAAGAGGATCTAAATCTCTGGAGATTCATGCAAGATCTTATTGTCTCTGTGATTTGTATGTACATTTATAAGTTATAAAAAGCACATTGATATACTCAATGCAGTCTGAATTCATACAGTATGGTTTTGATTTCTGTAACCACAATCATCCCTTTTTTCTTATCAGAATTTCAGCACTTAAGAACTCGTAGAAGTCACAACACATTACGTTTTGCTCACGAATGATCTAACTTGAATAACTAGTGTTTTCTTCACAGTTAAATTTCCAAGAATCACTGCTCGGCAGCTTTTATCGGGATGTGCCCCAGCCCTCTCTGACTAGCTCCCTGCCTCACCATCAGGGCCGACACTACAGCCACAAGAGGAGCAACAGCAGCATGCCCCATGCCAACGCTCTCTGCCACTTCCACATCGCTGCCAGCATCAACCCTGCCACAGGTTTGACCAAACACAGTTTCTGCAACTGGTTGATAATCCTGTTAAACCCAGCATCTTACACCAAATTCTCATAAATTAGTGAAGAATTTGATGCTGCAAGATGGTACAAAGTAGGGTTATTTTCTCAATTAACTGATCAGTTGTTTGGTCTATAAAAGGCAAGAAAATGGTGAAAAATGCAGACCAGTGTTTCTCACTGCCCAAGTTGACGTCCTCAAATGCCTTATTACTGTATAACCACAACCCAAACATATTCAGTTTACTGTCAGAGGAATAAAGAAACCAGAAGATATTCACTTTTTTTCTTAGAAAAATTACTCAAACCAATTAATGAGTTATCAAAGAAGTTTACAGTTAATTTAATAGATGCCAATTTATTGTTGCAGCTCAAGTACAAAGTACATTTAACTTCTTAAAGAGAAGGAAAGCAACATATTAGTTATTCCTAAACCACAGAGGCTGAATGAACTGTTAGCTCTGCTTAAATAAAATCAGCTAGAGGTTAGAGGGCTTCAACTCTGTATTTCACATGGCAAAAAATGGTGTAAACTTTGTATATTGCCTGAGGTTGTTTTTTTAACATCCCAGTGAGCTTTTCTTCTCAGTGGGAGCTGCTCACAGTAAATAGAAGGCATTTTCATTTTGTCCTTCTATGTTTTTTTTGTGGGGCAGTTTAATTTGATCTGAATCAGGGCAAAATCTTGTACATTTTCCAGCCTTGAGGCTGAGAACTCCTGTAGAATGGTATTTGCATGCTCAAATTATATTTTAGCATACTTCAAATCGTACTCATATTCATGGAAGTGAATTTGCTCCAGCAGATGTCTTTTTATCCTGCACGGCCCCAAATTCAATGTCATGTAAATCTCTGTTATTCTTTGCCTTCTTTTCCTAAACATCACAAACTCTTCATCGCAGACATTCCACTGCTGCCCTCTATCTCCTCTCTGAGTGCTGTGGATGATGAGGAACCTGGAGGTCCATTTACTGTCCACTGGCTCAACAACAAAGAGCTTCACTTCACTTTAGCCATGGAAGTCTTCCTGCAGCAGCTCCGAGGCAGCCTGGAGCAACAGAATGAATGCTCCAATGAAGGTACAGAGAATTATTTGGATCAGGCTTTAAGACTTTATTTGAAGGGGTGTGCAAATGAATAACACTGTTGAAACTAGACTTTCACATTACATGCATGATGCTTTGTCTTCGATACTGATTTTCAGAAATTATATTTGGGCACTGTGGGTTCTATTCTCTTTCAGAGCCTGAAGACGAGGATAACTTTGATGAGGAAGATAATAATAGCAGGCCAAGTGGCTCCCAAGGACCTGAGGCTGTGGAGCTTCCTCTGGCAGCAGTGAAGCACCAGGTGGACGTGCTGTTAGAGGAGTGGAATAAAGGGGCGGACATGTTGTTCAGTATCCATCCCATGGACGGCTCGCTGTTAGTCTGGCATGTTGACTGGTTGGATGAATACCAGCCAGGCATGTTCAGACAAACTCAGGTACATTCACTATTCATGTGGTTAATGTTAAACAATAAATAATGAATTAATGTTAGTATATTGTGGACAAACTTAATCCCCCATCTACAAATGTTAATAACCACTTTATTTTTCCTAATTTGTATGGTCCTACTTCAAAGATTGATAAAGAAATACAGAGACACAGAACTGTTCTGATGTGAAACTAAAGTAAAACACATATTAATTATATTTTTACTTTATAATTTAGAGAACTCTGTAAACTAAACAGACTCTTCTTTGGTCACTCTTTCAAGCAACATGTTTGTCTTCGCATTTTGAAGAAGGGTTTCTTGGGGAAAGAATTAATTTATCTTCTCAATAAGGTTGTGGATCCTTCTGACAGCTGTGATGGTCTAGCTCGTGTTTCAGTGGCTTCTCATCCAGCCGTTCAGACAATTATATTCTAATTATGTGTGACTTCATATCATATTCAGAAGTCCCTCGATGCATTTTTATTAGTGGGGAAATAATGAGAGCCTCATGACATGGCAGTTAGTCAGTCAGGCAAGGCAGCTGAAATAATCCCAATTTTCATTGGCATTCAGGTTGATTAGGCCCGGCTGCTTTAATTAGATAAAACAGACTGGTTCTTGCTTTTACTATCAGCATAAGTATTGTCAAACATTATTATTTTTTACATATATGAAGGGCCATTTGAGTAAGGCTGTATCCCTCGAGTCTCCATTGCTGTCTAATTTCAGACAGCCAGTTGTCACTCAACTTCTTAATGGAGAATTTCAGCCCTTTGATTTGAGCTAACCCTTTTTAAAAAATGAAGTCATGAGCGTCAGTGCCACCTGTGTCATTACCACATTCACATAGGAACCTAAGCTGTTTCATAATGTATGCTCAGTTCAAGCTAAAATAGACTTACCTGATTGACTGAGTCCTTTTTATCACCAACTCAGAACTCAGAGCTGTAGGTTGTTCTAGATGTCATTGCTTTGATGTCTCTCTTTCTCTCTCAGGTGTCGTTTGTGTCCCGTATCCCTGTGGCGTTTCCTACAGGTGATGCAATCTCCCTAAGCCACAGTGTGGTTATGTATGCCTGCAACAAGAATGTGGATCTTGCTATCCAACATGGCAGACAGCGGCCGCCTGGGAGCACATTGCCTCAGACCAAATCTGCTCTAATAAGCTATGGAGGTCAAGGAAAAGCTGCACCCAGCAGTAGTCTTCGACTAAGCATTTTCACCCCCAACGTCCTTATGATCTCCAAACACGCCGATGGCTCCCTGAACCAGTGGGCGGTCAGCTTTGCAGAGGACTCTGCTTTCTCAGCTGTGCTCAGCGTCTCTCACAAGTCACGGTACTGTGGCCACCGCTTCCACCTAAATGACTTGGCCTGTCACTCATTGCTCCCTCTCCTCCTCACCACCTCACACCACAATGCCCTGAGGACGCCAGAGGCAGACAGCATCCTGGCTCCTCCAGACGCCTACTCCTCCGGTTTCTCTCAGCCAGCGTCCATGCCCCGAGGGTCACGGCCTAGCAGGGTGTCCCTGGGTGTGGTTTCCCAGGATCCCAATGCGATCTACAGTGAGCTGATTTTATGGAGAGTTGACCCTGTGGGCCCGCTGTCTTTGTCAGGCGGGGTTTCAGAGCTAGCTCGGATCAATTCTCTCCATGCATCAGCATTTGCTAATATAGCCTGGCTGCCCACGCTCATTCCAAGCAGCTGTTTAGGTGAGAAAATATTTTTGTTTTTTGTAGATTGTTGAAGCATCAGCAGTTAAAGTATTCAGTAATCAGTCAAGTAAGAGCAGGTTCATTTTGGAATAGCTTTCATTCACCAGTTATTTTGGTCCAGTAATATGAAGGAAATGATCTTTCTCTGAATAACTTTGATCAGATGAGAATAGCTTTGGGGCATAAAATCCCCGTAGATATGTTTTTTAGGACATTTTTGTGTCAGATTTACTCTACTTTTTGTGAAAAACAACTAATTTCAACTCCATAAAGTCCTTGAAGGCTCTAAAATTTCCGAATAGAATCCCACTTATAACATTATTGCTGGAGTGCACGTAGTCCAAATGACTTTTTAAAAGGAATCTTTGATATTTTCAATATTTGTTTGTTAAATGTACTTTACCATAGTGCTCTGCATATTTGCTGTGTCTTTTGATTTTATGTTTATTTCGAAAAAAAAAAAAACTAATAGCAGCCATCGTTCATTTTCATTCTTTTGCTCTCTCTGTAGGTGTATATTGTAACTCTCCCAGCGCCTGCTTCGTTGCGAGCGACGGCCACTCACTCAGGCTGTATCAGGCCGTTATCGAAGCTAAGAAACTCCTGAGTGAGCTCTCCAATCCTGAGATATCAGTAAGTCGTCAAACTCCAACAAACTCTGCAGGGTACAGCCAGCATCGCAATGACTATTTTTTATACACACCAATAACAGCATGTCAGTGTTTCCCTGTGGACCCTTAAAGAATCAGTGAGGTAATAATGTGATGTTAATTTGTAGTCTCGCAACTTCATTCGTGTTAGCTTGGTATGACTTGGTAAAAAAAGTTGCAGGACACACTTGAGAAATAAGATGAGAAGCAGTGATCTTGAATTCATCAAGAAGTGACAACTGATTTTTTGTTTTTATTATGTATTAGACAACATCAATGTTTTTGTAAGAATATTCTTTCTTGCACTGCATATAAACAAATCATTGCTTTCAGCGCAGATAATAGTTATATTTTTCTCATCTTCTGAAGCACAACTGGCACACTGATTGTATGTTTTCACTATGCAATAGTGCCCAAATAATGTGAACATTTTTCTTTCCTGTAGAAATTTGTTGGGGAGGTGTTCAACATCATCAGCCAGCAATCCACAGCAAAACCAGGGTGTATTATAGAGCTGGATGCCATCACTGACTTTGTAAGTATACTTTAAGAGAAGTGGAGTGTATTCAAACAAATTTCACTTCCCCTCTCTCTTTAGTCATGTTCGTCTAATAGTAGAAAGAGACTTCTTGGATAGAAAAGATATTTACAGAAACTTCTCCCCTGATATAATGGATATATAAACTGTCATGTATTAATAAGCCATAGTTGAATTCTGAACCACCAGTAGACTTCTGAGTCTCTGTGAAAGGTCAACTATGATAAAACAAAAACAGGTGCAGAGCAAAATTTCTTTCATCCCCTCAGGTGGTTTTGGTGTGTGCATGTGTGCACTTGTGCACTTGTGCATGTTCGTGTAACATTAACACAACTTGTGTCTGTGTCAGTGTGTCTTCATGTGGGATTCACAGTGGATGAAGCAAGTTGTTCGGGGTCTGCATCTGATGTAGTTTGATAATGGCTGCTGTTGTTCTCCACAGCAGGGGAAGGAGACCCAACTCCTGCATGTTTTTGAGGAGGATCTGATCCTTGGCAAAGAGAGAACAGAGTGCGCACAAGAAACCCTGGCTTCTCCTCACACTGGTATTGACAGAACTAATTTTTCTAAGTACTTTAAAATGTTTATTTTTAAGGCTAAATATCAAACATTTGCACCACGTTCAAACTCATTAATAGCAGCGCTGCTCATTGATATTCTCTGTGTGTCTGTGTTTTCTCCTGCAGCCTCCAGCGAGGCAGCCTTCTCAGCACGGTTTTTCCTTGTGGTGGTCGAATTGACCCCGACAGGTCGCTCGCTCCTCCACATGTGGCATCTCCACCTTGCTGCTCGACCCATCACCATGGGTGGGTACTTGGAACAACAGACTTGAGCTTCACAGGATGTGGGAAGAAAATTGTTTCACGGTCAAATAAATAAATGACAGCTTAAAATGTGTTTTTCCCCAAGAATTGGCAATAATTTATGAATATAAAGTTATTCTGAAATCTGAACTATATTTATGGTCTCTTAGAATGCAAACAATTTTAACGTAGTGTCTGTCACAAAGTAATGTATAGAAACAAATACCTTAGCTTTTCTAAATAATATTTCCCGCCTTCCTGTTTGTGTCACCACAGAAGAAACCACGACAGAGAAGGATACCACCGCATCAGCGTCTCCTCTGAACAGCTCTACGTTTAGCTTTGACACGTTCAGTTCTCCGGTGACTCAGAAGAGTAAACCCTGCACTTCCAATCTGCAGAGTGCCTGTCGCCTCAGCCTCACAACACACAGGCTATACAGCCAAGAGATGGCTCTGCCAGATGGAGTGGAAGCCATCAGTGTTACACCCTCAGCAGGTGAGGCACAATGAGGACACACACTCACATACAAATGACATAAGTCTAGTAGTAGAATGCGGCTTGGAGGATAAGTGCACAGACTCTGAACACAACACAAGGCATTTCAAGCACAAAAAGGGCAATATTGATTGTAGTAATAGGAACTGTGTTGTCATTAATTATTGTAGTAATAATAATAATTGCATTGCGTTTTGCACTGATACAGCATTGTAATAATGTAATTACAACAGGGTGTGAGTATGGCAGTCTAGTAGCATAGCAGAGATAGATTTAGCAGTCACTGAGGTATCTGCATCAGTATTGACTAAGCTGGTGCACAACGTACGTTGCCATGGGAACATCATTTCTAAAGAAATGGTCCTTCAGTTGATTGAAATAACCTTTTCAGGAACGTATAGACATTTATTTATCGACTAAGAAAGAGTTGCTTCTATTATTGCAGGAATAAAAAATATAAAGTGACAATCATAGGGATGTTTTTTTATAACAATTTACATCAGCAGTCTGGAAACATTTTATTAAAATTCTACTCAAAGTGAATAACAAGTTTTAACTCCTGCCTTGTGCCTTTTATGCTTTCTCTGTGACATCATAATGTTGTCCAAAAACTCTTCGGACCATAACTCAAGGTATTGTCTCAGGAACAGAAGGGAAAACTTTTTCCCAGATACTTGGTTGAGTCGGTGACATTAATCTTAGGTGCCTACCTTGAAACTGTGCTGATTTATAGATTGTATAGATTAAGACAGATCGCTGCAGCTGGCAAAACAGGCTGCAATGTAATTCCTCAGGGCATTTGGCGTCATCAATTTACAACCATTAAAAGAAATAGGGGAAAGGAGAAACACATTTATGCCTAATTGTGTGTTGTCCACTTTCTTCCCAGGTCACCTGAGTGCGTCATGTTCTCTGCCAGCTGATCGTGTGCCTTACCTCATTGCTACTTCCTGTTCTGATGAAAAGGTGCGCTTCTGGAGGTGTAATGTCATTGCAACAGAGCCGTTCAGTATGGACAACTTGGTGTACCAGTGGGAGGAGTGGCCTCTGCTGGTTGAGGAGAGCACTCCCAACAGCAGTGCAGTAAGCGTGCAAGGTCATCCCATAGAGGTCAGCTGCTGTCACTCTGGACGCATTGCAGTTGCCTACAGACAGATGCCAAACACGCCTCTGAACTCGACACCTTATCTGAACTCTCACAGACTGTTGACTTCTCCTCCCACCCTGGCTTCCTCGCCTCATGTGCACTACAACAGCAACACCCACCACCAGACCCCAACCCTGACTGTACAGCGCAGCCCAAATCTTACCCCAATCCCCAACCTAGCAAACACTAGAGAGCCATTGGTCCACATTGGCATCTTCCAGTGTGAGTCCACTGGTGGTTCGCAGTGGATTCTGGAGCAAACCATAGTCCTGGACAGCACAGATCCCTCAACAGGAAATGCCAACATTCAAAGTGACATGGACTCCCCTGTACCCAACGAGTACTGTCCTGGTTCTACGGGTAAGAGTCTGGTTCATTTGGACTGGGTCTCCCAAGAAGGTGGGTCACATGTTCTGACTGTTGGTATTGGGACAAAGATTTATATGTACGGCCGTCTCATTGGGAAACCTCCTGAACTTGGCTTGTCATCTGATGCCAGTAGAGACCAGAGCTTGTCTCGCCTTGTTCTTCTGCGATCAGTCGATCTGGTCTCATCTGTCGAAGGCTCACTACCCATTCCAGTCTCTCTCTCCTGGGTACGAGACGGCATCTTGGTTGTAGGCATGGACTGCGAGATGCACGTCTACTCCCAGTGGCAGCCCCCAGCACCTTCCAAACCCAATGCTGCGATTGCCCAAGACACAGACATCAGCAGCAGTGTCTCCTCCATAATCTCAGCCATCAGACAAAGCCAGGAGGATGGTCTCAGCGCTGCTGCCCCAACTTCTTCTCTTGCCCCTCCCAAGAGGGCCCTGACAAGATCGATGATGAGTCTGGCTCAGAAGCTCAGTGGGAAGAGGACAGCTTATGATCTGCCTGTAGAGATGGAAGATTCTGGGCTTTTTGAAGCCGCTCACCAACTCTTTCCCACTCTCCCCCAGTACCATCCTGTACAGTTACTAGAGCTCATGGATCTAGGGAAGGTGAGTTAAAGAAGTTAATTAATTACTGTCTATACTATTTTTTCTTTTCTTTTTAGTTTTTTCTTTTACTTAAGCACCTTCTCCAATTGATATGACAGGCCAGTTTTGTACATAATATTATTTCTACATTTAAGAATAATTGAATTGCCAGGAAGTCGACGTTTGTTGTGACTTATATTTGAAATATAAAATTGTAATTTGTCTACGTTAAGGTTCACCGTGCCAAAGCCATCCTCTCCCATCTGGTGAAATGCATTGCTGGAGAAATTGTTACACTTAAAGACAACACCACCAATCCTGAGAAACGCTTGCGCTCGCGGACCATCAGTGCCGGAGGCAGCACAGCAAGGGACCGGAAGATATTTAGCAAAGCAGAGAAATCCACCACCGACTACACCGAGATAAGCTCCATCCCTCCCCTGCCATTGTACGCTCTTCTGGCAGCGGATGAGGATACATCACCAAAACCTGGTGGGTTTACAACCATTTGTTTTTAGAATAGTAAAATACATTTTTGATAATAACCTTTATTTCAGTAGTACAAGAAAATATAACCATGTTAAGAAAATATGTAGTTGTAAGACATCACACATATTTACAAAGAAAAAATAAGGCATGAGTGAAATAAGAGAGAGTATTCAATAAAATTACAGAATCTAAGCAATATGTTTCCGTTTTTAATGCGGCATTTCGAAAGGCTTTGCACCTGCTGATATATTACTGTGTATTTGCAAGCAGTAACAGCCCTGATCATAACGCTAGAGCTGAACCAGTCCTCCCTTTAAAAAAAAAAAAAAAAAAAGCAATTGACGTAATCTTATAATCAGCTGGACAAAAAACACTTCAGAGTAGGAGGTAGAGATGCTTCGAGATATTGAACTAATCTTAAAAGACTGCTCTTGTGGATAACAACTTAATAAAATACGTTGGAGTATAAATTAATGTTCTGCTGTGTTGAAACGATAAGGGTGAAGATAAAAAAAGATTGTAACCCTGTCAGCGTATGTTACGTCTGACAGAAAACAAGTACACAAACAACACTAGGCAAAACATATTTACAGTGGAAGAGCAACTATTTTTTGCCGCCATGCCTCAAGGTGTAAGAGACAAAGAATAATATCCTACTCTTTGTGTCTCTGATGATAGAAAATGAGAATAAAAGCAGAAACTTGTATACAGATTAAAAAAAGGTCCTGCTCTTTGGTATTTAATTGAATCTACTTTCTCCCCAGCAGGAGGTTATTTCTCTGCATGTCTCTAATGAAAAACATTTCTCGTGTAATTTAGTTCTGTTTGGTGTCTCCCTACAGATAAAGTGGGCAGTGTGAGTGGGGATAGTGGGCATGGCTCCACTCGCGCTGATGTTTATGATGAGCTCTTTCATACACCCAGCATTGCGGACCTGGACCCTCTGGACGACGATCAAGAGGAAACGGGGAACAAGGTCTGTTTCTGTTGGCTTAGAGGGAATTTATGAAAATGAGAGTGGACAGCAACATTTTGGCTCTTTTGGTATTCCACTGTGAAGCTTAGAAGTGCATAATTGTGCATGTCGATGTTCATTTGAGATATATTTGCTGCCTTAAAAAAGAGACCAGTCAAAGCCTATAATGGCCTTAGCTAATGCATCAAAGATCTAGCCTTGTGTCTGCTGTGTTTTATTATGAGTATGAATCCAGCCATGGCATATTCTCCCTTTCACATAATCTCTATCATGTGTTGAATAAATGACCCTGCAGTTGTTTTACAGACTGTCCTCTGTCTTGTTTTCTTTCTGTCTTCAGGTTATTGATCTTTCGCAGTACAGCCCGACATATTTTGGTCCAGAACACGCCCAGGTCCTGTCCAGTCACCTCCTGCATTCCAGTTTGCCAGGCTTAACCCGTATGGAGCAAATGTCTCTCATGGCGCTGGCCGACACCATCGCGACCACAAGCACAGATCTCACGGACAGCCAAGGCAAGAGCAAAGGTACTGCAAGGAAAAAACATAAAAGAAGGCCTCTTTCTTTGCCTCATTCCAAAGCATCATATAATTATGTTTTGATGAAGCAATAAGAGCTGTCTGTCCTTCATTTAACAGGCGGAGAGACGCTGGATGAGTGTGGTCTTAAGTTTTTGCTGGCTGTCAGACTTCACACCTTCCTCTCCACCTCCCTGCCTCCAGCACATCGAGCACAGCTGCTAAGGCAAGGTAAAGTGGGATTTTCAAACTGTTTTCATTGGGGGCATTTCATAGCTCACACAACCATAAAGGGAAAGCCCCTGGTCAGACACAGTGCATTTTAGCAGCCCTGGGCAGCCTTTTGCAAGGGTTTTCAATGGGAGTTAAGCGTACTGCTCACTGTTCTTGCTTTGCTGCGTGCCTTGTGTTTTTCTGCTCTATGCACCTTGCATTTTTTGCTTTGTATTGGAAAACTTCATCCAGAGCAGAAAAGTCTTAAGTTTATTTAAGAAGGGACAGTGCAAACTGATAAATACACATGGTATAAAAATGCCAGAATTACTCAAGAGGCTATTTTTCATCTGTAGTCCCTTGGCCAAAGTGTTACACAAGGATTCCTAAAATACAACAGAGCAAAAAACAAACACACAGGGTATACAGTTTAAGACTTCTATAATAAAATAGTAAGAGAAATAAAGAAAAGAACAGGAAGAAAGAATTGGGGAGTGATGGATGTGTTTTGATTTTTTTCCTCTAGTGTTTTGAGTGTTTGTTTGTAGTGTGTCAAGTGGTTCAACATGCTGTAGTTGGCCTGTGACCAGCTTGTTACACAGTACTTCAGATGAGTGAAAATCATAGAGTGTAGTAGTGCAGCTTCTGTAGACATGTGATTTCTAATGGTTCAAAAATTGCAAGATTGAATTGGACCCTTTTATAGGTTTGACATCTGACCCAAATGAAAGGTTATAAACAATAAATACCCCCAAGATACTTGAATCACCTGCAGTTGTTCACCTGCTACAAGTATACGAGGATCACAAGCAGGTTTATTGCAACTGGAGGCATTTCCCATTATGCAATTGGATGAATTGAGAGGCAGACCCTCTGTGGTGGACAACAAGTGATAGCGTACATGGTTCACATTAAGCTAACGTTAGCTCACTTTCATCATCGCCATACTAGGCAAGCTGCAAGACATATCCAGGGCTTGAAGTTCTCCGGCACGGTGCTGGATTTCCGGCGCAGGAATATTCGAAGCGCAGCACCCAGCAGTGGAGGCAGTTTTCAATCGGCACCCATGTTAACCTATCTGACTGACTGTCCACACAGGCCGCTGAACAAAGCGGAGCGCCCATGGAGGCTCGCGCACTGCAGTGCTTCAGTTCGGCGTCTGGTCTATTTTTCACGCGAGCTGCGAGCGCTTCTATTAAGCTGGATAGAGCGGATCGTACCAAACAGGAAGTCAGACACAGAAAAGATGAGAGAATCCGGCCAATTTTCAAAATAAAATAAATTTTAAAAATAAAAGCCTGTTTAATTATGATGTTGCTTGTCCGTCTATAAATATTTGTTCAGTTTGGTCTAGACACGAGAGAGATGAAAACACACACACACACACACACAGACAGAAAGAGAGAGAGAGAAATGGCTACAGGTTGGCGGCTGCAATTCAGAGAGATAGAAGATGCTCCTTGATGTCAAAGGTCGTGAGTTCAAGCCTCAACTGATGTAAAATGTACATTTTAATGCAGACGTTTTTGTTGTCTTCCTATTCTGCCTCTTGTTGCTCAGAATTGCCTAAAATTGCAAATTGCAAATTAGATGTCGTCGTTCCCCCCCCCCCCCCAATGCCCTCTAAAAAAAATTTCAGGCACAGGATTTTTTTCTTACTTCAAGCCCTGCATATCTGAACAAATTGAAGCCTCCGCTACTTTCTAACCTTTTACCAACCATAATTAGGCTGGACGATAGACAGCAGACTGTCACACTGTCCCCAACTCATCCTGAAAAAAAAAAAAACGTTGAACACACCATCATCCAGGCAAAACTCCCAGACCAGCTGGTGGTACTACCTGTGATTTCTCTTCTTTCTGAGGGTCTTACATACCCACACAGATCTCCTTCTCCCTGTCACCAACGTACCACTTTACCACGTAGATTTTAAGATAACTTGACAGTAGAATAGCAGTTAGGCTAAGTACAGGTGATTTGGTGGATGCTTCGCAACAATTAAGGACGCAGCAAGCAGCAGAAAGCGCTCTGTCTCATTGTGGTAGGCTTCAACAAAAAAGACTGTAGCTTTCGTCTCACTGTACAGGGCCACATGGATAAAAACATTCCCTTTCTATTCTGACAAAATTAGCACAATTTTCCAAAAAGCCTTTATTATATTTTCACTTGGCGTGATCTTGCAAGACTTGCAAGATAAGTCTCCAGCTTGCTGCTTAAAGAGCAGTCTCCTCACACTGCTTTTAGTCACAGTATTGCTCCAGTGCCCACTGACAGTAGCTCTCAGGGCAGTAACTCTATAAAGACTCCTTAAGTTAGAAAGGGAGACGGTAATTGATGGTCTCAATAGTAATTTTTTTTAATGGTAAAAAGAGTAAAAGAGAAATGAACTATCTATAGTCTATTCATTATCCTTAACTATTGCAATAAAGTTACTCTTGAACAAGGCACTTAATCTATGTGTTCCTCAGCACCTCAACACTGTAGCTGGAAGAGGCAACTCACTACTTTAAATATATAGAACCGACTGTACTTCTGTATTAACTTGCAGAACAGTGTTCATTTTCACTTTATAAAGTACAGAACACCCCCCATTCTCCACATATCCTTTTTGTCTCTCTCTAGGCCTGTCGACATGTCATTATGCCTGGGCCTTCCATTCTGAGGCTGAGGAGGAGCTGCTGAACATGCTGCCAGCCCTACAGAAGGGAGAGCCCACCTGGCCTGAGCTGCGCTCCATGGGCGTCGGCTGGTGGCTGCGCAGCACCAACAAGCTACGCAGGTGTATTGAGAAGGTGAGGCAGCTAATAGCATTAGTTAATTATCATTATAAATTCAGGTCTTTTTGCTCCAATTCTAAATAAAGACCCAGTGCCAGTTTTGTGAAAAGAAACTGTCTAATTAGATGAACAGTTTTGCACATTGTGCAGTCAGTGGCAAGTCAGTGTTAAAAAGGGGGTATGCTAAATGACGACACCTTTGCCTCTGGAGTTAAGTTTGATATTCAGTTTGCATTCATGTTAGATATTGTAATCTTGTTTTTTTCTGGTCATTTATATGAAGTGCTTTTCTACATATTTGAAACTACAGTTTAAAGTCGTTCAACAGAATACAATAGGCAACTATTTTGATAAGGATTTGATGGGTTTTAGTCAAGCAAAAATGTCAAACATCTTCTACTTTGCTGCTTTTCTTTGTCTTACTCAGTAGCAAGCTATGTGTTTTGGTCTGACACTAAGCAACACATCAGGATTGTCTCCTTTTTCTTCAAACACATCTCGCGCAGAATAATTTGAAGACGCTATAATGATATAAAAGGTCTCCCCATAAAGGCTTTGAAGGTTGGCCATTAGTGTGTTAGCCTTGTGTACTTCTCATCGATTGCTTCATTTATAAATGAAGTGTTGTCAGGTAGGTGACAGTGAGATTCTGCTGAGGTTGCTATAAAACACAGCACTACTTGTTTGAGCGACTCTCTGAAATGACCCATAAAGCTTCAACTCACTCTGTGGATAAAGCTGTACAGACAGAAGAGAAGCTAAATGTATTTTTTCTTCTACTTCGTCAGGTTGCCAAGGCTTCTTTACAGAGAAACAATGATCCTCTGGATGCAGCTATATTTTACCTTGCACTGAAGAAGAAGGCAGTGGTCTGGGGATTATACAGGTAGGCAGCACTGACATAATTTTGCATCACAAATTTTGCCCCCAAACCTTAACCAAGATTAGTTCTGTCAGATTACTGGAGATCTTTGACGCCAGTATTGTTGTTTTGAATCCATAACGTCTTTCTCTCCAGGTCTCAGAAGAATGCCAAAATGACAGAGTTTTTCCGCAACAACTTCAGCGAGGACCGGTGGAGGAAAGCAGCACTGAAAAATGCGTTTTCTCTGTTGGGAAAGCAACGGTTCCAGCATTCTGCAGCCTTCTTCCTGCTAGCCGGCTCCCTAAAGGACGCTGTGGAGGCAAGTGGAAAATAGACATGACACAGTGCTTGCAAGAAGCACTTGTTCCTTCAACTGCAAGTGCCACTTGTCAACCTGCTAAGCCTAAGTTAGAAACAATGCTTTCAGCTTGAATAATGTCAAGTGCAGCTCATTTTCATTTATAAAATGTCTGTAGCATTGTACGTATGCCTTTTTGCCAGCAATTCACAGTCAAGGGCAGTGTTTGATGATATAGTAAAAAGCAGGGGAACCACATTCACTTGTAGTTCTGTAGCGTGCTGCATCCTTTTTATCATTGAAACAGCTCAATACATTCCCACAGTGGTGTCTTTGTCAAGAGCTTTTAGCACAATGCACTGAAGAATTATTGATGTTGGCAGTTGACTCTTGGGTTTTCCTGTCTTTGCTCCTATTTGTGAGAATTTTCAATGGCATGCTGTTACATTTATAAACCAGCAGCACTGCACTCTTGTTGAAGCTTTGTAAATGGGGTCATTATCTACTAGTGTCATTTCATAAAGATATATTTGCATACATTTTCATTTGTTGGTGTGTGAATGTGCATATTTTTATCTATGGCTGTTAGAGTGGCTGTAGTTGTTTAAAAAAATTATATATTAGTATTTCTGCCTTCTACCAGGGTTAGTTTAAGCCACATAAAACAGCTCTCAGTCTTCGTGCTCACATATCAAAAGGGCTGCCTCTGGTCATGTTGTTTGCTTAACCTTTTCTTTCATCAAGGTTATTTCTATTTAGAAAGTCCCTGAAGCAATGAGTCACATTATTTCGTCTGCGTGAGTAAGTGGAGCTTCTCCAAGCAGTTTATGGAAATGAGTGTCACCCAGGCAAAGGGCTATCATTGACTTTGTTTAGTCTCTCTGGCTAGGAGGTAGTCTCATTGAAATGCACCTCATACCTTACTGGTCGGGAGCAACCACAACAACTTCAACTATCCACTAACTCTTTGCTGTGTGCACAGAATTTTATTTTGTTTTTTTTGTATTTTTGGTTACTTTCGTTTCCACCAAATAAGCAGCAAAGAAAGCTGTAACTTCAGAAGATCATTAGGTCGTACTAGATTACACTGTGTTCAGAATGCACATCATTTGTCTGCTTATATCTTGTTTTATCCCACCCCATTCAGTCCTGTGCCAGTGGCTCAGACAGCATTTTTAAATGATAACTAACTGTGATATCTTTATTTCCTCTTCCAGGTGTGTATAGAGAAAATGCAGGACCTACAGCTTGCCCTGGTGATCTCCAGATTGTATGAGTCTGAGTTTGAGACATCGTCCACCTACAAAAAGATCCTCCAGAGACATGTTCTGGGACAAGACAAACAGGTGCAGATTTTGTGTACAACTTTTACAAGCTACTGTTTTTTTACTGTGGAAAATCATCAGACAACCCAGTGTTGCTTGACTCTCCAGCATGTTCTAACTTATCCACTGCAAAAGCCAGAATGAGCAATTGTAATTCTCTGTGTATGTTAGATTCATGCCCACCAGGACCCGTTCCTGCGGAGCATGGCTCACTGGGTCCTGGAGGACTACAGCAGAGCCTTGGACACTCTACTCGAGCAGCCTGCTAACAGCACCAGCTCCAGGTCCACTGAGAGTAAATGTGACGCGGGTAGGTCTGCAGTGCTCTGTATGCCTTTTTTTCCCTTTGACTCTATGCAAATGTGAAATAAATAAGGTACAGTTTGGTACTGTGTGCCACAGAAACATTTATTTTTACACTAAATTGATTACGTACAGGAGTGTTGCCCCTGATTTCACCATTCTGCAATTTCAGTACGAGCAAGCCCACCACCCTATTGTTATGCACTTGCCAAATTTTCACATCGTGACTTTGCACTGCTTTATTGTTATTCCCACATTTTTTAATGTGTATAACAATCGTACAAAAACAAAAAAACAAAACTAAATGATTATTTAGACAGAAATTATATATGTGCCTCTTGTTGTGATTGCTGGTATCGACAGTGTACTGTGATGATTTTAAGTTGAGGTCATTCATGGCAGTGCTTTGTATTGATAATTATAGGTGGTGGGGTTTCTTTGTTGTTTTGTTTTGTTTTTTCCTCAAAAAAGAATGTATAGTCATTGCTTTGTCATCATTTGTATAATTTTGCAGCAATGTGTCAGTATTTTTTCAGTTATTTATTGTAGATCTTATAATAGTTTTAATAGTACCCTGAGGATTTTAGTTTCAAAACACATTGCATTTATGAAAAAAAATGCCTTTTAGTCAGAATCTGTCCCTGTGAAATTAGAAGTTAGTAGCTGTTGAGTAGAAATAATATGGTCTGTCAGAAGCCTTTAAAATATCTCAATACCATGTTCACTTTTATACCTTTCCTGCCAACATGAAACAGGTTCCCTTTCCAGTTTACGCACCTAATTTTAAACCATTAGGAGCATTTCAAACATGGAATGACACATCCTTAATTACAATGGTTCCCCTTAAAACTGGTGGAGATGCAGGCTGGTTTGCTAGAAAGCATCAAAGTTCCAAGAATCCTGAACGTAACCAGTTCAGGATACAAAGTTAATTTGGCGGAAAAGAGGTGTTTGTGGACATTTCAGGCCTGTCAAATTCAGCATTGCATCTAAAAACAGGGAGGTAGACAATAGTGTGCAGATTGTACACTGTGCAGCTGAATCCACTGCTTTCAACAACTCAGCTTTACAACTATTTTTGGTCCTTTAAGTATATTTAATTGTGCAAGTAACAGCAGCCTACTGGAAACAGAGGACCACTTAATTGAAGGAACGCACAGCGCTCGCCTTACGAATAGATGAAGAACTGAACTTAATGTGAACCTCACTTTGACTTAAGAGCCAAACCAGTCCCAGATTAACATCCCTGTGCTACATGTGTTTCATAAATGATGTTCTCAGAGCACTTATAATATGCCTACAGAGAAGAAAACACTGGTTTATTTAAAGTTTAAAATGGGTGCTATACTTTATAGACTGTGTGATGTCCTTGCTTGGTTTTCAGTACAGGCTGTTGCTGGACCTCTGACATTGTTTACACCTGAATGAAAGACATTCAACTTAATGCATCACTTTTTTGTCCAGAGTTCTCAATAAGCTTTCAGTTTTTGAACTCACAGCTCCACTCTCTGCTCGCCTTTAAGTGGCCACCACATAGTGCAATTTGTCAGTGTCTAAGTGCTCACATAGCTGTGTGCTTTGATTTGTTTAGAAGTTCAACAAAGAGGCCAGCTATAGCTCCATTTTAGTCTCAGATCCAATATCACAGCTTGTCCTTGCAGGTCCTGTGGAGTGCCATTGAAAGAGATGAATCTGTTTCAGTGGCGCTGGTCCTGTGATCAGAGCTGTAAAAGTTGCTATTTTTTTGACATCAAAAGATAAAATCCACTTTCTGTTTCTTTTCATCTGTGACAGGTTCCTCCTATGTGTCCGCATGCAACCCAGAGGTTTTCAACTTCTACACGTACCTTCGTACCCACCCACTTCTCCTCCGCCGCCATTTTGGCTCCTCAGACAAGGCTAAAGTTGGACTGACTGCTGAGGGTCGCAGGGCTGACTCCATCAGCCTAGAGGAGAGGAGACTGTTTTTCACAGCTGCATATGCACACCTACAAGCTGGCTGCCCCATGCTATCTCTTGAAGTCCTCTCCAAGATGCCCAAAGTCCGCAAGCATTCCAAACCTCCCAACCAGGATGGCATGGGCATCGCTGCTGAGCTCAGTGTTGGGAGCAAGACCGGACAAACATCGGACCCGGATTGGTCTCAGCCGGCTCTGAACGGCTACGAGTCAGACGGAAACAGCTTATCCAACAGCCACTCAGATTCAGTGTTAAGTTTTGACTGGAGCCAGCCGTCACTTCAGCTCCCAGATGAGCCGTTGGAGCTGAAGTGGGACAGTGAGAAAGAGGAAGAAGAAGACGATGAGGAAGAAGAAGAAGCTAAAAATGGTAAGAGAGGTAGAGCTGCAGACAGCAACAGTGTGTTCCAAGACACGCAGGACGCCATGTCACCGCTAATGGAGACAGTGACCGGAGAGGACAGTGAGGACTGCAATGACTTCATAGCTCCATCTGATGACATCTTGGCTGCCCAGCTAAAGTTTACTGCCTGCTTGAAGATCATGACCAATGAGCTACGGACGCTCTCGACGGGGTATGAACTGGATGGAGGGAAGTTGCGTTACCAGCTCTACCAGTGGTTGGAGAGAGAGGTAAAAGCACACTCACATTTAAATGTACCCCTTGCCCCTCCCACTTAGCCCTTATCCCTCTGTTTTGCATGTTCAAACCTAGGGGCAGGATGTCATGATTCTTGTTGGGAAAAAATAGAGTGAGGCACACTGGCTGCACAAGCAACAGCTAGCTAACTAGCTCTGTGTGGCTAAAAGTTGCAGATTGATTGATAGGTGGATGTCATATTATTAATTGAAATTGGTCGGTACAAGCTTTTGTAAGTACACGTCATATTATGTTTTACATGAAGAAAACATGATTTGCTTTTTTTCAGCATATATTATTGAATGAATGCACAGTATGGCTGGCATGGGATCTAAAAGGGTTTAAAGGGCATTTTTTATTTCATTTCCCCTTCAAAGGTCAAATCAAATCTGTGATATTTTTCTGTTTGCATATTATAATAACCATCTGTCTGGTGAAGCATTAGTCTGGCTGCACCCTTAAGTTCACCCAATAAAACTTTTATAACTTACATAACTCACACATCTCTCCTGTCTCCATGTTCACTGTTTCAAGATTGTATCTGTCTGCGGCACCGTGTCAGTGCATATAACCATCATATTGGTTATAACTCTAGTGGTTTTCTCTTATGAAATTTGTTTGCCTTTTTTCCTGTTTGACAATTTAGCAAAATGTTTTTCTTTCACTCCCACACATGTTGGATCAATTTCTTCTTTATGCATTGATTTTAAGATTAGATGTTTTTTTATTCTGTTTAACCCAGGTGGTGGCTCTCCAGTGTTGCTGCAGCTACAGGCCCTGCTTGCCAGAGCTGTCTGTCCAGGGTGATGCCCCTGTTTCTGGGTTGGTGGAGGAGGAACAGGTGGGTGTAGATAGCTGGCGGCTTCTAGATTTGTTAGATGTTCATGACAGAAAAAAATCGATTCATCACAACAGCACAGTGTGTCTTGACACAGTTTGAAAAATTGTAAATTGAAAAGATTGTTGCACCTATTTGCCTCCTAACATGATGCTGCAGCAGACTTGATTATCATCACATGCCCATGCGCAGTATGCACAATGTGTATTTACAGATTAAAACTGCATGTCAAAGACCAACTGATTTATTTATTGTTGATTATTGTTGACAGAGCAGATTAATGTGCATTGTTTTATAGCATGGTTGTTTTTACCATACCACTGTGGGGCTTTTGTTTGAACACCAGCCAGCTGGATAATGTTGGCATATTTACAGGGATGCTGATTGATTTGTCTATAAAAGTAATAAAGTAAATCTGTCTTTGCAGCCCGGGAGTCCTCGTGGTGACAGCCAGAGGCGCAGGAGACACTGGCTGCAGAGTAACCAGCCTCTACTGAGGATGTTTCTGAGCTACTGCAGTTTGCATGGCTCCCACGGTGGAGGACTGGCCTCTGTGCGCATGGAGCTCATTTTGTTGCTTCAAGAGTCTCACCAGGTAATTAAAACAGGCACAGATGCACACAAAGGGCTACTGATAGACAGAGCGTGACAATTCAATCTGGTTAGTCTGTCTCTGGAGCAGCTGCCACTAAATGACTGTGCTAACTGACTTTTAGGTTGCTGGGGAAAGTGATAAAACAATTAGTTAATTAATCAGCCACTTGATTGGCAATTGATTGAAAAAATGTTAGGGATTTTGTTAGATTTACTTGTTGGTCTGCCTTGATTTTGTGTCTGATAACATATAAAGAAGGACTCATGATATATCCATGAATAAATGAGACCAAGTCTAGCTCACAGAATGTATTGACTGTGGGCATAAGCCCGTCATTGGCTGCGTATCAGATGGTAACACAGATGGTAACAGGCATTTTCAAAATGCCTGTCGCTTTGTTAAACTAGTCTTGCATAGCCAGACCTATCGGCACACTTTGTTTTAGTGCTGTGTGTGGAACAACCACCTCCAAGCTAGCAACCTACACGCTTAAAGGTGTTTTAATGTTTAATGTGGTGTTTTCTTTAGCTTGGATCTAGCCATTTAAATGCCAGGGCTTGCCTCCCCTCATACAGATGTTCCACCACACTATTTTGCAAAAGCACTGTCGCTTCATCTTGGGCTTAACGCCACCCAAAACGACTGTGATTGGCCTAAAGAAAAAGCCTATAGTGTTTTTCCCCTTAGTGCAGAATTATGATGGGTTAGCCAGACCTTTCTCCAGTGCTGGCACGAGGTCCATTGTCCGAAATTCACTTTTTGACTGGCCAAGATGACTGGAAGATGAAAAAAATCTACCTGTTGAGCATATTTTTTACCAGGCAAAATAATGAAAAAATAATCAGTACATTTCATGAATATAATAAGGTATTATATGATGAATACAAACTTAAAGACAAGGCCAGAGCAAAATTTGAAGCAAATTGATTTTAATTTATTGAACAACTAATCATTACAGCCTCAGTATGTGAATAAGTTCCGTCTGTTAAGCAGTGATGCAGTGTATATGTCTAGAGTTTTATTGTGAAAGGTAAGAATGGAAGTAGTGAAGCTGTAATACACTGCAGCTGACAATGTTGGAGGCAATTTGAGTTTGCCATTTTGTTTTAGACTACAGAGCCTCCGTGTTAATTTTTTATTGCCTTCTTAAGTATGGGCGCAACGGTAGGGAGAAACAGACTGGCAGCAAGTGATAGTTAAGTGGATCAGCTGATGTCCCGTACGGTAAGCTGTACTGTAAAACTAGGGTGCAACTAGGGTGCACCTGTGGCACCATTTAGATGTGCATAAAACACATCTCTAGTGCGTGTGTGTGAAACTCAAAGAGCAGAGAAGCAGCAGAGCAGTGTGCCCCTAAATGACACCAAAAACGTGGTAAAGACTCTCAGCATAGTTTTTTATTACATGACCTTTTTTGTACAAACATATACCTGTACATTTTGTGGAAAGACATCCAAGATTTACTCACCAAACAAAAAAATCTACCTGCATTTGGTGCATGGCGGGTATTAATTTTGGACCCTTCGCGACACCACAAGTCAATTTAAAATGTTCATCAATTATACATTTGCCAGTAACAGCTTCACAAACACTTGCCCTGACTTCTGTTTTTCTTATTATAACAAAGAAGAAATTTTTTGGGGTTGTTTGTCAAACCACGCAAGCACTTTTCTGATAAGTTGTGATGACAGTAAATTGAGCAAAGTAAATAACTCATAATGACAATAATAATTGATGCAGCTCTAGTTCAAGGAGATACTACTGAGAGCACTGTTTTGTATTTGCAACCAGAACATTTTCATCACAAAGAGGTTGTTATAAACTTAATCTGTCAGAGGTTCTTAACATACCTGACACCACAAACTGAATGTGACATTATTTGTCTGAATTATTACTAATTACTTAGATAAGTAAAACAACAAAGATGTGAGCAGAATATATATTTTTGCAGCACAAAGGAAAAAAAACATGGAAACATTCACACTGGCAATCAGAGCTGCAGTGTTATTAACAGATCACATGTTCTCTATAAGGGCAAGGATGTTGAGTAGTTGAGGGGCAAAGTGCGAATGTAAGACGAACATGAAGCCATCTAAAAGCTTGTCTTAATGCAACCAGATTCCCAAGACACACACACACACACACACACACACACACACACACATATACACACACTCAGACCCACTTTTTGTGTGCTGGCGATCGTCTGCACACCTCCGGCAATGGGCTGGCATGTTGTGCTGATTCTCCAAGTTCCTGAGGGAGGTTCTGCCCAAGGCTTACTATTAGAAGGTTGAGTCAAATTTTAGGAGGTAAACAACTCAATGAGGTGGCATGGGAACAACGCTCTTGAATGGTAGCACAGTCGACGAGCGCTGGGAGTTCTGTCTACTCTCGTACTTTGATTTTGAAATAAAAGCAGTTTCCTTTGTCCCAGCTCTGGTCCCATGTTTGTCAAATTCCTCCATTGTTGTCGAGGAATTTTTTGTATTATTTCCTTTGTCTTAACTTCAGTCAGCTTGTAGAGCTTCTGTTAAGGAGGTTAGTGACAACTGAATGTGATTCATCAAGCGTGACGAACATAAGCCTGTGGTATTCTTGCGCACAGCTTCATGTTCTGGGATCTGGTACACAAACACAAAACCAGGCACCCCTTCGTTGCCTGTCTTTTCTTTTAGCTCTTTTATAGTCATTCTCACATACACTGGAAAACACAACATGCTCTCTCCAAGTATAGGATCATGTACGACTTATTACGGCTCAGGAAAAGGCTCTTGTTTCACAGATCAAAGCATCACCTCTTGTTTGCCAGATGCCTTTTGTGAGCTGTTTCTTTTGCCTTCTAAAAACAGAAATGAGAATGTTGAATATATCTGCTTTTATTTTTTAAGTTCACTGTGATGTGGGTGCGACATGTTGTTATGCATATGTCCCTGTGCGTAGGTGTGGTGAGTCTGATGAGGAGTGTTTTTTTGTGAACACTAAACACTTTTAAGGGTAACTTTGGTATTTTTAACCTGGAACCTCTTTTTCCATGTTCCCAAAAGTGGCTGCTGATCGTAGCACAGGTCAATTCACGTCCACTAAAAGTGCTTGTTTTTGCCACTGTCAAGCTCAGATTATTATTGTAAGTGTCTGACAGTCTCTTTGATTTCTCCCCACAGGATGACTCCATCCTGTCAGCAGTCACACCATGCTGTCAGCCAGCCTCTATCCCTCTTCTGATGGCTTGCACGGCCAACGTAAAGACAGTAGTGGCCAATCCCATTGTCTACCTGACCAACCTGGCTCATGACATCTTGCAGACCATCAATTCACTAGATTCTCCTCCGCATCCCGATGTGGTTAACAATGAGGTGAGGCAGTCTCTAGGTGTGAGTTGCTGGTGTTGGAGATATTGGCCGTGGAGATGTCTGCCTTCTCTCAGATATAATGACATGAGATGGCACTCTGCCTGTGGTGCTCAAAGTGCCAAAAAAGTACATTTGAAAAACTCAACAGCAATGTCTCTTTCCAGAAATCATGACTCAGTTACTCAAGATAATCCACAGACCTTGTTGTGAGCATTTAGGAACTATTTCCTTTCTACCAAATTACATCTGCAAATCATATTAGGGCACAGAAGCACGCATTTAGTCATGGACGAGAGGCTCGTGAGAGCATGGGGTGTAAATATTAATGGCATCCTCCTTTGTTGAGCTGGAACGTTTGCTAGCTCAGCGGTGCTGGGTGAGTTAGCAGTAGATGCAAGCTTCCCTCTGCAAGATCATTTGGTAAGCGGGTGCAATTTAGTAAAAAGAAAGTACTTCCTACATGAAACTGCTCACAACAGAGTCTGTGGATTATCTTGAATAACCAGATCATGATTTCTGGAAAGAGAAATTCCTGATGAGTTTTTCAAAATAGATTTTTTGACACTTTGAGCACCACAAGCTGAGTGCCATCTAGTTCACCTCTGATACTGATGATTTCATAAGCAGACATTTCCTCTCGATAGAAGTGCTATAAATTATTAATATGTTTTATTGGGACATCACATCATATTTACATAGTGTCTCAAAGATTAAACATGTCCAGTTTTATATTTGTGCAAACACAGATATATATACAGATGAAAAAACATTTAAAAAAAAAATAGAAAAATGAAACAAAGACCACCCTCCCTCCAGTTGGTCCAGTTTACATGATCAATTACTGTTTTATAGCATATTTAGTGTACAGCTAACGTACATAAGTAGACATGTTCAGCATCCTAAAGAATTTAGGACATTACGCTGCTACAGACATACAGTTGGATACAAAATGGTGGGAAAGTGCATTTACTAATGGAAGCTGTATATGCTTTATCAAAAAATGAGAGGATGGGTTGCCATGTAATGTAAAATTTCTTAGTCAGCCGTCTAGAAGACAAGTTTTTCTTGAAGTTTAATGGATAACATTAGTTGTCAGTCTGCCTTGAGAGTTTTGCTGGGGGCTCAGGTGATTTCCAGTGTACCAGCTACTGGTGATGAGAGAGGCAGAGGACAGCACATTCAGTTTCTTTTGAGTAAACTGTGGGTAGTTGAAGGACACTCTAAAACATGGAGATGAGTGGGCAGGGTGTGATATCTGTACCTCGTACTTCTGAAATGCTTTTGAAATTTTTTTCTAGAAGTCTGTCAAGTCCTCAGGGTGCAAGTGGGGGAACTTATTGCAATGATACTTAGTGCAGCTGCGAACATGGAGATGTTTTCAGGCAGGCTATATTTGCTGGTTAGACTAAAGAAGAACTATAGATTTGATCATTCTGAAAGATGACAATGATTCTGGGAAAGTGTGCAATGGCTCAGATATTTTTACATTTTTAACTTTGAAACAAATGTGTGACAAAGTATCTATGTCCGGGTGGATCTAATGCATGGTATTAGCTTATTGCAGACATATTGGTATTAGCATACTGTATTTGTCAGCCAATAACCACAAAGAAATTGCAGTACAGATATGTAAAATATATGTTTGTGGTAGTTTAAAAATAATGAAAAAAATGCAATTTTTCATGTGTAAATTCTATCACTCAGTACAACAATTCTTTAAAAAAATAAATAAATCAAATTCACGAGTCCTCATCAAAATAATTGTTTACGTAAGATTAAAAAAAAATCAGTTGATATATCATTTTTGAAACAAATTTTAAGGTTTGTATTGTGTGTTAGTGCTTTAATTATGATTGGATTATTGGACCTCAAATACTAATACGTGTCTGTTTTTCAGATCTATGTGATGCACACGTTGGCTGCCTCCCTTTCAGCCAGTATATATCAATGTCTGTGTGATGGACACACCCAAAGGTAAGTGTCCTAAACAGGGATTTTAATCTATTAACCCTCTTGGCTGTCACTTTGCAAGGACTGTTCCATAAAGCAACATAACCAGCAGCTTCATAGTGAACTTTAATACGTCCTTTTTAACATTAAAGGGTCCATTTCCAGTTGACACCTTCTTTAATCCAATCTCCCACCACTTAAGAAATTTGTAGAAACCATTTCAGAGCCTTTGAAACAAAAATCTTTTTGTTTCAGAGTTTTGATGACTGAGTGCCATTTTATGTAGCCAGCATATGACTGAGGACCACACAGAAAAAGTGCACACGCTATGACTTTTTTATCACTTATGACATATTATTCTATGTTTATAATTACTTTTTTTTAATGAGGCTTTAATGATTTTTTTAATGACATGCTATAATTTGACTTTTTCATGACATTTTTTAATGACTAACTTCACAAAAACTATAACAGTGGACAGTGATGTAGTCTACATTACACTCATATTTCATGCTAGTTTTCCACTTTGTAATACATTTAAAAGTAATGAAATAGAGACAGTAAAGTGTGTGACATTGATTAGATCCACAGCAGTCAAGCAGCGGCTTCAGCTGTGGTATGACAAACCACACGCAGGACTGCTGAACACAGTAACACTTGAACCAGCAGTAATAATAATGACAATTTGTTAAGTTTATTTAAGATTATGATTATATTTGATTATGATGATTTAGAGACGGCGGTGCATGGTTGCCATAGTCTGTAAAAATAATGGACATAGCTACCGTGATGTCACCCATTGGCTTTGAATTCCCATGTTGAAGCCTCGAATTGGCATCGCAGCTGTCGCCGTATTGGTTTTTTGGAGCCAGAAGTGACCATATCTGTGCAAGAGGCCGAAGCTGTGGAGGACGATGAGGTAGTTCTGACTAAGCTGAGCCAGCCTGTCACTTAGAGCAGCCCACCCTTAATTATGTGTAACCTTAAGCCTTAATATAAGTTATAAAATAAGTTATAGAGACCAGAACCATTATTTGTATCTGCTAGTAAGTTGGGCATTTTAACATATGGGTCTATGGGGATTGACTGGTCTCCTGAGCCAGCCTCAAGTCGCTGTGAGATAAACTGCATTTTTTGGCACTCCCTCGTTGGTTTCATTTTTCAGCCCTGGAGGTTGCTGCTTGGTTGTTGCCTTTCCTAGCATAGCAAAATTATGCCTTCAGGTTCATGATAGCAGCCAGAGGCATCACATTTTCGGGTTGTCTTTATCTACACCGGTCTGTACGTCCCATTCTCGTAAACACAACATCCCCAGAAGGCCTTGGTTCGAATATCCTTAAAAATTTGCACCGATATTCGATGAACTAAGTATAATTTGGTGGGCAAAGGTGTGACCTCACAAAGCATGTTTTTGGCTGTAACTCAAGAATTCATTCACTTATTATGAGTGATGACATTTTGTATCCAAAAGTTCAAAAGGTCAGCTTCACTGTGACATCATAATGTTCTGCAGAAACAATTTTCTGGCCTTTACCCAACGCTAAAACTCCAGACACTAATCTTAGGCATCCACCTTGAAGCTGTGCTGATTGTATAGACCTCCTGTGCTGTCAGATTGAAGTTGTGTGTGAAGCATCCACATTTTAGAATCTGTAGCTTCTTTGCAGCAACATCTGCATTTGAAGCATTGTCAACTTTCATGGCAACATATGAGATGCCATGACATGGATGTAAACTTGAGCGTATTTGAATAGTGGCCCCCTCAATTTTTACTCCAATTACTGCCCAGTTTTTGAGCCATCCGTCTCTTAACAATAATTTGGGGATCTTGGGAAATAGATTTTTGCATATCCCACATACCCTGTGTGAGATAAAATGCTTTTATCCAGCCTGACTGAAAAGGGTTTGAGTTCATAGTGGGTATCTACATTGCAGCATCTCTCAGAGCAGGCTTCTTGAATTCTTTATATGACTTCAAGCGATGCTTAACTTTGATACAACTTATTCAATTTTCCACCACATTCACCTTGACGCGACTCCATTAACAGCACTAGCCACCACTGGATTATTTATCTATCAAGAGTGATCTGACTTAGCTTTCTTATTCTTAGAATTAGCATTTGAAAGACAAAATGCTGGCAAAAATAGCGTTAATTTGCATCCTCCAGTTGTGTGTGTGTGTGTGTGTGTGTGTGTGTCTCTGTCTGTGTCTGTGTGTGTGTTAGAAGGTTTTTAGACTTATTGGAGCAGAATAATAAGAGATAAGGGGGAAGGGACATGACTACTGGTAACCAAGCAAGAGGGTAATGCTCACATACATCGCAAGTCAAACACTACAAATGTAACATCAAAGTGGAAAATTCTTTTCAAGATGGCTTTTGTTTATGAGAAATCATCTCAGCACATGCTTCGGGCTGCTTTTACACAGCGCTATAGATGCATGATTTAAGACATGGAAAGAGACAAACATGTTGGAAGTTTGCAAACCAAAAATATGACTGTCACTTGTCTGTTTTGATCGTGTTGAGAATGATTTATGAGAGCTGCAAGGCTGCTGTTTGTCATTCTTATTGTAAATACTTTATTAGATTTTTGGTTTTGACAGATGGGAGGAACATTGTTTATTTAAGATGCGTAGGTAGGTACCATAACTCCCAATCACTTTGATAACAACCCAGTTGGATTTAAACTTTGGCCGGGTGAATGCATATGTGTGTGTGTTTGGCTTACAGCTGTGCTGCTGTGTGAGTTCCTGTCACGGTTCTGCCAGATTGCTTGATGTTGTACAGAATCACTTTTAGCTACGCTTGACCAGACGGCAGTGCTGTGACCCCAGAGAGAGAATTGCTCGTATCAATTACATAATGTGTCAAAAGGGAGTTTTCTTTAAGCTAAGAGAGAATACATTTATTATTCTTTCAGAGCAAGATCTTAGCATTTCAAACCTCACACAGTTCTAAGCAATGCGATTAAATGAGCACTTGGTTTCGTATCTTCCTCATCCACTATATACTTCATTCACACACACGCAGCCATCTATTATATACCGTTGGGAGTCCAACAGCCCAACTAAATTAGCAAGGCTATTTCTAATTTAACACTGTCTTTGTTATGGTAATTATGATATAAACTCTCCTGGTGTGTCGCTGCAGAGGTTTGATGAAATTGTGCTTCTGTTTTTCTTCCTCTCGAGTGTGTGAGCGAGCAAGTGTAAGAGGGTGTGTGAATTTTTTAAGAGGTATTTCAGGATGTAGGTTGCGGAGGTTGAGTGTTGCCACCAAGTTGACAGTGTTTTGATACATGATTCTACTCTTTTCTCTCTCTGTTATCTTGTTAACTTCAGTTTAATTTAGTTAGCTGTTTAAAAAACGACTGGCAGGTACGTCCATGTGAAGCCTTGAAGCGTTGTGTGTGACATAGGGGATTAAATTTGTTGTGAGAAGGCCACAGCAACTGCCACTCCCTTTTATGAACCACACTCCCTTTGACTTTTAGATTCTGATTGATGTGGAGTCAATTGGTTTTTTCGCAGAAGCTTAAAAGGCGACTTATTGGATGTTAAAATCTTAATAGACTCCCCGGTGAGTTAAACATTCCATATTCTCTGTAATATTTCCTCTGCAACAATTCAAGTTTTTTTTGTGTTGAAAAGTTACTTGATGTGAGAACTCAAGCACTGACATTTCCTTCATCATAAAGCCTTTCTTCTCCATTACCAAACAGCATAGATAGGTAGCTAACCTGAGATAGAGCCCATTAGTATTTTATATCTTGACAGAACAGAGCTTTGCTGCGGTGCCTTTTACTTAGAAACATCGTCTCAGAGTTCAAAACAATGTTAAAACACAAAAAGTAAAGTCCCCCTTCAGACACATTTTTAAGTATATGTAAAAAATACTATTATACTGTACATAAAAGTTAAATGAAGCTCTGAAAAGAGTTTGGAAGCAGATCTACTTTTTCACCCTCATTGAGAAATTCTCATGGATATATAAAGAGATCTGGAGACAGTGTTGCAGGCAGGGCCTCGTTCATTCAGAGTTCACTGAAGTTGCTCAGTGGCTCATGAGCCAAAAAAGTTAAAATACCTGGATCTTCCGCATCATTGGGCCCATAGAGCAAGCGTGCTTTAGACTGTGTCAGCCAAACCGTCAAGTTGTTAAGCCCTTTGCTAACTTGAGTAGGGATATAATGATTCTACCCATCTAGACTCTCTAAATGTTATCAAACAGAATCGATCTATTCCTGATATTGAAGTCGTTTTGCGGGAGTTCTGCCCAGGGTTGGAAATTAGCACCAGCCTGGAAACTCTGGAACTTGTTTCACGCCTCATCCACCACCGCTGCTTGCTGTAGGTTTCTGTTGACCAGGTGACCAGTTGATCTTTAAAATAGCAGTGTGCATCAAGATAGCTAGCGTTAGCATTAGAGGACACATTGAAGAGATTTCGCCACACATTTTTTAGCCTCAGTCAGACCCAGACTCATATAAGGAGTCTGTGGTACACCAAAATCAACAACTAACAGACTAATAAGAATGTAAAGTGTAGTAAGCATCTTTTATTTGTTTGTTTGTTAGCTTGTAGGCTAACTGGCAGTGACTGACAGAGCATAAGTGTTTGTGAAACATACGATAATATCAGTTACGAAGCTCCAGGGTCTGGTTTAAATCCAAAAACTACACACTCCATCATGTTTGCTGTAAAAACTTACACTACGCTCATTTTAACTCTGCTCTCTGAACTGACAAGTTCGCTCTGCACTCGAGGTTTCTGGTTTCTTTGCAGGTGTTGTGCTGAGGTCGGTTCCTCCATAGGCAAATTTGAGTTTCCTAGGACAGCAAAGGCATGACCCGCATTACTCATTACCTTTGTTGGTTGGGTTGATTAGGTTTAGGCAAGAGGAGTGGAATTGTATGGGTTCACGTAAGAATGTCACGGTAAGCTATTCAGAGGTAAGGCAGAGTAGAGCGGGTCATGCCTTCGCTATCCTAGGAAACGTCAAATTTGCCCCCCGGTGATAATGTGTTTCGCATATTAGACAGCAGTTGGCTTTCATCTTAGTGACATACCTCATCTAACCCCCCCCCCCCCCCCGGTGGGTGTCTGAATCTTACATTTTAGGTAGGTGCACAGACATCACCCTCTACAGTACAGGAGTGTGAGAACACCTCTCTAGTGACAAACTTTGCACAGTTACAAGTCAGTCTAGCCAAGGGCAGACATTTTAGGGGACATAAACACAAGAAAAAGTACAAGGGAACTTCAAAAACTTTACTTTGTAGTTCAGCATTTCATGTTAAATATGTGCCCTCGTACTGACTGTGTGTGTTTGCTTTCTTTTGTCTCCTACAGCCACGTGAACCACTTCACAGGAATCGTGTATCAGAGTGTTTTGCTGTCTCAGAAGCACCCGGTCAAAACTGTCAGCATGGATGAGTCTGTTCAGCCCAACACGTCGCCTGCACAGTGGCCAGGTAAATCAGCCAAACCACACACATTTTTTGCCTGAATTAAAAGGATCAAAGTATATTTTTCTTATTGTCAACAAGCAGAAGACCCAAACCAACAATGCGCTTACCCATCTCTTCAGTAAGTATCATTTTAAAAAGCCTCAGGTTTTGCAAAATAGCATTGCACTACAAACACTAAACACAGTGCATCTGGTTCTTGTGCATAAATGTACAATTCTATTGCCACTGTGATGTCCATATCATATGCTATACAGCTTCCCTGTCCTGTCAGTGGCATTCAGCCTTGGACTGAATTCTCCAAGCTCATTTTGTCCTACAGAGGATGTAAAAACCTTGTCATGAATCAGGTTTCTGCAGTCCCCATAAAAAGTTTTAAATTCAGTTTTATAAATATTAAGCCCTAAAAGTCATTAAATAGTCTTGTACTGCTTTAAACATTCTATCTAATTTAATTTAGCATCTTTAATTTCCTTTAGTCAATATGAGTCAAGCTCTACTGTGTGGAAATTCACATTTCTGATGTTCCAAATCTTTAAACCGACCACTTAAAGGGCCAGTGTGTAATATTTGGCATGGTTTATTGTCAATCTGAATCTGAATCTGAATATTCTACCCATTAATATGTTTATACAAGTGTATAATCGCTATAAAATAAAATTTGTTTGGTTTTCGTAGCCTTATAATTATGCTTTTATATATATATATAGCAAGGGCCTTGCTTTAGAGAGGTCGCCATCTTGCGCCGCCATGTATGTAAGGCAGCCTGAGCGGACAATCCAGCCAGCCAGAGAATGCGTTTCGCGTGTATAAATAAACCAACGAAGACAGCGGAAGGAAGGAAGAAGTGGGAGGAAACAGCAGAGAGTGTTAGTAGTTCGTCGATAGAGAGTAGTAAAAAGTTTTTTTAGTTATAAAGTTTGCCAATGGACCACACTTACCACGCAACAGGAGAGAATGAACCCAAACCGTCATCTACGAGGAAAAGAAGACGCAACTTCAAGGCCAATTTCCACCAGATGCGTGTTGGTTGCGTCTGCGCTCTGGCACGGCAGCGGAGCCGATAGGATTCCATTCTAGTCAATGTGTTTGTTTCCACCAGCTGCGGCTGTGATGCGTTCCGGCTCCGTCTCAGCTCCGGCACTCCGGAGCCCTCCGCAACAGATACGCAGGACTTCTATTTTTGCCGGACGACGGAGCACAACGCAGCAATTCAGCACAGAGCAGATCGTGCGGGGCAGGAACTCGTGCACAGAAACACAATAAAACATCCAGTTAATTTTCAAAATAAAATACATAGTGTTCACGGCGAATCATATTTCCCTGCACTACACCTTAAAAACTACATAATGGGCATAGGCAGGTCTGAAGTCAACAGGTCAGAGGTTTTCAGACGTCATTTCACCCCGTGAATACCATGGACGAGGAGATATTAATCATGGCAGTGCACCGAGATGTCTTTCGGCAGAGCTGCACCACACCGCACAGCAAACGCAGCCGGTGGGTATTGACGGATGGCGGAGCACGCAGCGGATAACCAGCGCTGCCGTTCCGCAACGGACACGCATCCAGTGGAAATCCGGCGTCACTCCTTGTGATGCACTCTCTGCGGCGCTTTTCCTCCTGATGATATATCTCCCCAACAATGGCAGCAGTGGCACCGATTCCCATTCTGTGCATTCAGCCTCTCTTCTCGCCCGCTCAGTATCAAACACATCGAGTTCCTCATCTGTGTGCTCCGGCTCAAACAGGTATGGCTCTGGGTCTGTGTCCGCTACAAGAAACTCTTGTAGCCATCGCGTTCAAAGTCGTCCATTGCAGCTACTATAGTCCGGAGATATCGCTAGGCTAAATAAACAGCTGAGCTCTGTTTACCGGCTACGCTGTCAGTCAGTGTGCGGGCTGGAGATTGGTGGAGCAGAGAGGGGAGGGGGGTCCCCACTTGGTATGGTAAACAAGTATGTGTGTAAAGTTATGAAGTGTGCGTGTTACGCTAGAAGAGTCAGAGTTTGGGACTGAGTCTTTTACCCCCTGGAGTGTTACCGGAGTTTCTGGAGTGCTCAAATAAACGGGCCTTTTTCCCGAACGCTCCTCTGGTCTCCTGCTTGTGAGGGATTCATTACAATATCGTAACATGGCTTAGATTTCTAAATAAACATTCACCTCGTCGCTAGATAGACCTACTCCTGAAAAACTCGTGCGCAAGGCTTTTTGTCCCTACGAGGCCACCGTCATTTACCCGACAGGAGGGGTGAGCGAGTGAGCCCTGCAATCTAGAATTTGACCACTGATGTCACTGTTTTCAACCCATTTTACACACTGGCCCTTTAACCTGATACTGTCTTTTTACTTGATACTTGAACTTACCGATTGGCAAAGTTTAGACGAACCTAACTCAATCTAATAAACATATTCCTACATGAAACCTCATACATACTGCTTACCTTAATACTTACCTGCAATACTTGAATAAGAAAAAGATGATTTGTCCAAAAATCGGTCTTAAATTTGGTTATTAATGATCTTGAAAAAGGCTTAAAAAGCATGAAGTGTCTGATACCTGTAGACACCCTGTGAAAGATTTTTTTATTATGAGTAACTAAGTAGTGCATTTGCTAGGGACAGTTTTTAGCTCCAGATTTGATGCCTTGGTGAGTGTTTACAGCAGCTGCATTGACTCAAATAAAAAACTACAGTGCCTCTGTTCATTATAATAAAGAAACATTTCACCCAGTGCAACGATTAGCCATGATGATGTGTATTCAGTAGTTAATGGACATCAATAGAGGTCATGGCACAGAGGAATAAGCTACATCAGGGTTTGGCTACGCAGACAGGACTTGTTAGGATCAATACGTTGTTGATTTTGGTCTTTTCATGGGACTTGTTTGCTCTAAGAAAACCTGTGTATTGTCATATATTTCCTGAAAGGGAAAAGGAGAGGTTGGCAAAGACCTTGTAGGTCGAAACATTGGATCGATAACAAACTTTTGGGGGCTTGCAAAGTTCAGTGTCTTTTACAACCTCTCCTTTTGCCTTTTGTTTGCTGTGTCTTGTCATTATCCATGATCCATCTTTACGACCTTTTTTAAAATTAATCCTTTTAATGCAGTCATTAAGCTGATTTACAGTGGGATGTATCGTCAGCTTTCTGTTTATTTTTTTTATGCAAATGTGTACTTGGTGTGTTTTTGTGCATTTTTTACATTGGGTATTAAATTTGGTAAGCTCTATTGTGGTCAACTATCAAAAAATGCAGTTATTGCAGTTTACACACTTTAAATGGTTCCTCAAATGGTACTGTCTGTCTCTCTTTTGTCCTTTCTCTTCCCCTGCTGTCCTTCCCTATCGTCCTTCTCCCCAGGTATTGCCTCTTTGATTCGCATGCTGAGCTCAGCAGGCGAGGAGAGTCAGCCAGGCCTAGCTGTGCTGCTCTGTGAGATCCTGACTGCTGTCTTCCTCAGTCTGTTTGTTCACGGCATGGCCACTCACTCCAGCAACGAGCTGTTTCGCATCGTGGCCCACCCCCTCAACAGCAAGCTCTGGGTGACGGTGTTCGGAGGGGGCGCCCGGACCCCTGTCATCGAGAAACCCAACAGCCCGTTAAGAGCAACCCCACCAGGTGAGCAGGGATTAGTTTGGCTGATCCAGTTTTCTTTCTGACAGTCTGCCTGAGTGGCTCTCTCTCTCTCTCTGTGGGGTATTTCTTTTGGAGGTGACCCAGTAGCTAAATCAAATCAGTGCTGCTAAATTAATTGGGTCCCAGTCTGTAGGTCATAGTGAAATCCATCAACCTGTTAGTGTGGGAGCTGCTTTCCTCACACTCTGTCTGTGCTCCTCTCTCATGGCTGGCAGAAGAAACCTGATGTAATGCCACTGTAACTTCTATTTATTTGACAAAAGTAGGCATTTCAAACTACAGTTTTTTCTCTGTTTAGAAAGATATTTTATTTTTTTAAAGATGATGTAAGTGTCAACAAAAAAGAGCATGCCTCTCTTGGAGTGAGCATATGATGTGGGAATTCAAAAGTAAGTAGAACTGTGTTTCCCAGTGAGTATGTCCCAACCTGCTACATGCATCATTGAACAGGCTAAGCGACAGACTGCTCGCCCTGGCTCTATTTTTGCAAAGCTTTGTGCATCTCCAACGTATTTTCAAAGTAACAGCAAGCAATTGCTAAGGCTTGCTCAGGGCTTGATAGATTCCCTAAATGTTGTTGTTCCTCGTAGTATACACAGACTGGTTTTGCGTTCTATCTGCCAGTTTTCTTGCTTGTTAAATGTTAGGAAGACGTGTGACGCAGCCGTTCTGAGCTGAGCTTTGGTCTGACAGCCCTTTTTCTTTGTATTCTTGTCACTTGCTTTGAAAGAGCCGCAATAGACGAGGAACTGCTGATTTGTAAAGTTGAAATGAGGAGATATCTAAGCAACACATCATTTCACTGTAGAATACAAAATAAGGTCGCAGCTGGCTGGAGGGAGATCACCAAAGTCTGGCACTTTCTGGTAAATCACAATCGCTACTAACAGCGTACTTGCTGTCGGCTATATTGTGTGTCATTTTTTAGTAAAGGTCACAATATAAAATGTGTGTTTTCTGTAAAAAATGTACAAAAGCAGGATAATAGCAAGTAGTCACCCAACTTTAAGTGTTTACGTCCACAGTCTGATCTGGAGTGCACAGCCCATAGGTACAAGATTTGTTTACATAAGGTGACAGTGTTAGTTATTTTAAGCCCAATAAACACAAAAGATATTTGACCAGAATTTCTACTTTTCGTCTGGGACATCAAACTCTTCCAGGACACCTTGACAGCACCAAATTTTTCTAATGTACACCCTGGTTGTGATGGCAGCTGAAATCCTAGATCAGCAACAGTTTAACAAACACTCTCTCTCTCGACACCCCAGCCTCACCAAGCGGCACAGAAAGGAAGTCCAGAAGATTCAGACTCCTGTCATCACGCAGTGGATCAAAGGACGAGTCTGGGTTGGAGCGGGAAGGCCCACTGAGTCCCAAGCATGGCCCTGTAGTGGAACAAGAAGCTACCTCTGTCTTTAAAGAACGATTTGTCCCTCCAGAGCTCAGCATTTGGGATTACTTTATCACCAAGGTAATACAGAAGATTTAAAAAAAAAATTAAATATCTATGCCTTTTCTTTGTTTTCTGAGTTAATCTTGAGTATACTGAATTGTCACTGGGGTTTCAAATGTAGGGTTTATATCCAACAGCATAATTATATTTTGACCATATTACAGTTATGGTCATAGTTCATATCTAATGGAAATAAACTGGCAATTCATAATCATCTAACTACATTAATCTGCCATAATATTCAACATGTAGTAAATCTGATTGGTAGTGAATGAATGGGTGTTTTTGTTGAGCTAAAACAGTGTATTGTTGTGTCTTTAGCCTTCGCTGCCACCATCAGAAAATAGAAATGAATACGACTCGGAGGAGAGCCAGGGCAGTGAAGATGAAGAGGAGGAAGACAGTGAATATGAAGATGTGTTTGATCCCAGCTCTCCACAAAGAGAGCATTCGAACCACAATTCATACAGGTGACGACACAGCACTGAGTGGATATTACTGCAGGGTGACTCATCTTCACCTCAATTCAAGCTGCCTGGAGTAAACCTGCATATGTTTACAGCTGTCTGTGCCTTTCCATTGACTTTGAATTCAGTCACACTGCCTCTAAAATTGCACCACATTCACTCCGAACACACTTTTATGCCTACAGTTATTTTGAAGGCAGCTTTGGATCCATGCAGAGTATTTATGTTCAGAATTGTAATCTGATTTCTAACAGCTTTTTCCCCCCTCTCAGTTGGTGTTTGATGCGTCTGGCAATGGTTCAGCTGGTGTTGGTCAACCTCAAGTCCTTTTACCCAATGGCAGGATATGATCTATTAGGTAAACAATAGAATACACGACACACGCTGTTCTGCACTGGCGTCCAGGATGTAGATAAGTGCCGCCCCATTTCTCACTGCCTGTCTTAGCTAATCTTGTTGCCTTCTCGCCTCTGCTGAGCGCAGATCTGCCTGTGGGCTCTCCTCTGTGTCACGCTGTGCTGAAGACGCTGCAGCGCTGGGAGCAGGTGCTGCAGAAAAGGCTGGAGATCTTTGGGGGCCCCCCTTCCAAGTATATTGCTACCCCCCTCCAGGATGAAACAACCGCACCAGGCCCCGCCCTGCTCAGACACAAGGCCCTGTTTGAACCATCCAACACCCCATTCAGGTACCACCATGAGATAGGGATCAGCAGCACAAGAAAAAAAAAAATCAGAGAATGTTTTTATATTTTTTTTTTCAACTAGGTTGAATTTGAAATTAGTCAGCGTTCATGTGTTTGTTGATGTACATATTTATATTCACTCAGAGCCTTAAGAAAGCTCGTGTTTTTGCAGTGTCAAGTCATTTTTATTTATGTAGACCAATATCACAAATCACAATTTGCCTCAAGGAGCTTTACAATCTGTACAGCACACAGCACCCTCTGTCCTTGGACCCTCGCTTAATAAACTACCCAAGAAAACATTTAACAGGCAAGAAAAAGGAAGACGCCTCAGGAAGAGCAACAGCGGAGGGATCCCTCTTCCTGTACAGAGTAGACCAACATCCTAAAGTGACAAAAATGATACAAAGAATGCGAACATATTTGAAAAAGATGGATCCAGGAGGATGTCAGTCAGCTTCCAGGTGTCGCCAAACAGCTGGAGCCTGAGCCACATGACCTCTTCACCATGTATCCTGGAGAGAGGACAGGCTACATAAACACACAAGAAGCACAACTAAAGCACATCATTCACACAGAAAGGAGAAGCAACTGACTTATCCTAATATCGCTTTAAGCCAAAAGATATATCTTTCAGCTTTTAAACATAATGAATTAATGATGCTGTTCAAGTAATTACAGTAAACCTTACAGCAACAGATAACAACACATCCATACCAATAGACACTGTTCATCAAGATCTCCATTGATTTTATCCTTCAGCTCATGTGACCTCAATTGATTTCCACATGGCCCATGCAGTAAATACTGTAGGGTTTTTTTGGAAGATTGTACTGTGCATTTGATGTGTTTTTGCCTTGAAGGAATATTTCACCCCCTAAATGACCACCTGTACATCAATTACTCTGCCCTTGTTACGTCAAATTACTGAAGAAAACCTTTTCTCGCATGCCTCAACAATGAAAGAAGAATCCAGAAACAAAGATAATTGACTGATGAATTGGAGTAAAATGGAGCTGCTGGTCTACTGCTGCCTCGATCGGTTGCTTGTTTGTGTCAGTAGCCCTTTCTACACAGAGATCGCACTAAAGAGCCACTACGAAGTCCCTTCTTCATACCACCTTTACATTTTTCACACAGAACCAAACGATGGCGGCAGCATGCCACTTCAGTGTGTGATTTTAGACAACATGGCAGCAGGTTGGAATCATAAGAGGCATGATGTGTAACAAAACAGCGTCAGCCTCTAGTGTGGTTAGAGATTATTTTTGGGCTTTTTGCCTTTAATTGACAGGACAGTGTGAAATGGGGAGACAGAGAGAGAGAGAGAGAGTGGGGGGATGACATGCAGCAAAGGGTTGCAAGCCGGAATTGAACCCACAACTGCTGCAGCGAAGCATCGCCTCCATACATGGGGCGCCGGCACTATCCACTACTCTACCAACGCCCCTAACAGCTACTTTTTAAAGTAGTACACACCCATGCTGCCCATGATCCCGTTCTGCCGGCTGTCCCAATTATACAGACATCATTTCAGCGCTATTACTACCGCCATCTCCGGCTTAAAGGCAAGACAACTCTGTCCCCCCATTCAGCGATTGTACCTTTTATACAGGAGTGCGAGATGGCATAATGGCGTGGAATTTCTGCCTTGCAGAGGAAGTGTAAAAGGGGCTATTTTGTGAATTCAAACCAACTCTCTACAAAACCAAAGTCACACAATGACATAAAAAAACTAACACATTCAGGCAACCATAGACCAGCAGCTCCTGTGCTCAGCAAGGTAAAATTACTGTTTTTGTCAGTACGGGTCTGGCCTTGAAGAGAGCGTGGATAAGTTTCACCCTTAGTTTAGTTCCCTGTCATAAAAAGCTGTCTGTGGGAAGAACTGAGCATTTGACTGGATAAATGAGACTTGGATTATGCTGCACGGGTTGTGTGAGAGTCTGTAAAGTGATGTTCTGATAAAGTTTTGCTGCTCTTAAATGTGGTCACCTGTGACTTAAATTCATTTTTGGATTCTTCTCATTTTTGAGGCATGCAAGAAAAACAGAAAACATGAAACAAATAGTCGTTAGGGGGATGAAGTATTCCTTTAATCACCAGATATGTGGAGTTTTCAGATCAGCAGCACTGGCAGAAATCAAAAAAGATATTTTCTAACACATTGTGTTGTGCTTCAGTGAACTGATTTAATGAGTATTAGTGTTAATATGCAGGAGGTGTTATATTATTTTCAGGACGAGCCACCATTCAGCGCTGCCAGTGAAGCGTCTGTGGCAGTTTCTGGTCAAGCAGGAAGAAGTGCAAGAGACTTTCATTAGGAATATCTTCACCAAGAAACGGGACCCAAATGAGGTACACACGAATGAGTTTAAACTATGCCAACCCACTGCATGATCTGCCTCCATGTTGCACAGCTAGCACATATTAATTGTCACAGAATAACACCTTAACTATTTGCTATGATTAAATCTAAATCTCTGTAATTAGCTCCAGGCAAAGTGCATCATTATTGCTTTTACATCCCTGTTGTGCTTTTTTTGTTCTGCATGCTAAACACATGTATATTACTGCCTCCAGTTGCATGTTGATGCTAATTCCAATAATTACACCCTGTATGATTAACCGCACAATAATTCAGTTCCTGTGTGTTGACTGCATGGTTCATCACTGGTTGTTGTTGTATGTTGTGTGTTTTGTGCGTGTGTGTGACCACCCTTTGCTGCTTCCCCAATCATTAAAGTCGGGTGAGGACCAGCCTGACAATATGAAATGTTCAGGGATGGAGGAGACAGGAAACAATCAGGTACAGCTGCTTCAGATCAATTGTGACTTTTTACTGGGGCGGGATGGGCTTGGTGCCAAATCTCAGTACCAACCAAACTGTGTCTGTGACCAAAAATACTGAAAATTTAAGAGCATCTTCAGTTTTTTCCAACCTGGAGCCTATTTTCCCATGGTTTTGTGTCTAAGTGACTAATGGGAGCAACAGTTTTTGGAATTGAGAGAGAGGGCTGCAGTGTAATCCCTGCGGGTAGTTATGCACTGTCAATGTACATCCGCTAAAAGTGCTTGTTTTTAACACTGACAGGCTCAGATTGTTACTGTAAGTGTCTGATAACTTACTGAAAGGATCCCTACACAGAAAGACCTTTTTGTTATATTAATGAACAGTTATTATAGCCTGTATTGAGTGGGTATATTTATACATCTGACTGGGTGAATTAAGGGGTTTATTACAGGCAAACCAGAGTTGATTTGTTGGAACATTCAAAGATGAACCAAGACGGCTTTTGTGAGTTTTATTTTACTTCTATCGACTTTGAATTAAGTGTGTTTACAATGTGGAAATTGTTGTTTTATCAGATAGAGTCTAGTGGGTTTGGTGAGTTAAGGGCTGTTTCTGGTTAAACAAAAAGGACCTTACTTCTGAACAAGAAGGTCTTTCTCCGTAGAGATCCTTTTCATAATGTTGTCGGACACTTAAAATAACAATGTCAGCCCGTCAGCAGAACGAACAAGCACTTCCAGTGGACATAAATTGACATTGCTCAATTGCCCGAGTGATGATATTCAGCCTGTCTCACTGCTGCTGGCTGCAGCCCTCTCGCTCAATACTGGACCAATTTTAAAAAATGTTGTGTCCATTAGTCACTTAGACACAAACACATAAAAAATGGGGTCCAGGTTAAAAAATATCAATGTTACTCTTCTAAAGTTTAAAGTATCGGCACTGATATTTGGGGGGTGGGGGGGGGGGTAAAACAATACCCAGCCCTAGAGGTGGGACAGACATTTTTGTGATGGAGTCCTGGGGATTATAATCCTGAAAATTGGATATTTTATAAGTAAAAAACCAAGCCATTTTTCTAGTACATCATTAAAAAAACACACCTTTAATCTCTCACATTGGGCTGCAGAAAATACTTTCAGGCTAATTTGGTCACTGTTGACAAAAAGCTGAATTGGTCACTCAGTTTACCAGTGTGCTTTACAGCATGTGATAGACTAGAGCATCACTGGTGTTAGAGTCACATCAAAATCAAGTTTGGTTCACTGTGGAAGCTAAAACTGTAATTTTGATTTTTGCTCGGATTAATTATGCATCCCTGCTCTGAACAAAAATGTGTGATATTTTCATTATTAACAGCAGTACTTCTGATTTGTCAAGACCCATGAGTGTGCAGCATCGTACTCTGCAGATGTTGTGAAACCTTATGAAACATTCTTCATATCACCATACTGTAGTGTGGGCGGTGCTAACTCTATCACTGATTAAACATGCACATCATGTGCCTTGTTTTTGCCTCCTACAGTAGAATAGTAAATGTGGCCTGTCACATGTAATCTGAGAAACATAAAATTTATGATCTTGACAGAATTACAGTACGTATATTTTCTGGGCCACGAACTCTGAATGTTCCTGTCAGTGTTTTGATATTAATCTTGCATTTAGCTGTCTAAATATTCATGTGAATGTGAACCATGATTCTCAAATTGTACTGTACATTGATGCTTCATAGAGGTTTCTAATCTCCTGGTGCTCGCTGTGCAAGCTGCCACGTTGTAGCTACTCCATTTGGCTTAGTGTTAATTAACCCAGTCTCTCAGAGGAAAAGCTATGAAGCTGAATAGCTTCTGATTAATGGGCCCAACACTGTCGCAGTGAATCTACGCCCCACAGGGATTATGTGCTCCACCAAAATGGCAAACAACCATATTTAGATTTCTGCAAGTCAAGTTTTACTTTATTCTTCCTGACAGAAAAAGACGTGGTCTTTTCCCCTTGAATAAATGCTTTAAAGACTTTAATTCAATCTCATGCTCAAAGGATGCCCGTCTCATTTTGAGTAACATCAAAATGTTATATCTCCATACAATATGCATAGATACAGTATACACTACTCTGCTACTGCATACATCCCATAGGACCTCTATGGTACAGTGTGTGCTTGTTCTCATTGCTCAAGAGTTATTACGCTGATGCTATCTAATGGCACTAACCCCGTTATGTTGTCAACAGGGTGGCCTGATGTGCCCTCTCCTAACCTCTACAGTCAAGACAAACGAACACATAACAGAGTAGACATATTACACATTGTAGAAACCAAACAGAAGGCTTTGCTGGAGCTATGGCTCTGTTCTAACATCCGCTCTGTTGTCTCCTACAGCAGATAATTCGACACTTCATTTATCAACCCCTCTCATGGATCTTGTCAGGTCATTGGTTCTGTAGCATGAAGGGAAATGTACTGTATCTGAAGTTATGGCTGTTATTTGTCTGCTCAAATTGTTTACCAAAGTTTCAACGATAATGATTGAATCTCCGCGGTTGTGATTTGTGTGTGTGTGCGTGCGTGTGTGTTCCTCTGTGCAGACTGAGTCAGATCTGGGCTCCCCCGGCGGAAAAGCACGCATCATCCACAAGGAATCTGACATCATCACAGCCTTTGCCATCAACAAGGTACAATTCATTTACACAGATGTCACTGAACAGTGCAAAATACTGTGAGAAAAGAATAGTGTGTTTATAACTAAGGACTTTATTGGTTAATGCTAGCCTTTTTTATTTAAACCCCAGAATGTCCACCTGAAGTATAATGCATATAATTCTGTCTGTTCAGAAACTATAATTAGTCAGTACTCTGCAGGGTTAAACAATAATGATTTTTTTTTTTTTACTTGCCTCTATTCAAATAGTTTTTTCTTCTAGCAGTTACCAAATAACAACAAAGACTAAAGTCAATTGTCATAAAAAAATGACCCCGTTTTGTCTGCCTTTAAAATTATGTGTTCAATTCTCGATTGGCAAACAAGTTGCTAGATTTAGCAGCCCGACGGGGCATTTTACTTACCGTGGACAATCAGGCAATCATTATTGTTGGGCCCTGCTATGGAAGCCAGTGCGGTAAATTCTGTATTAAAGTTAATTTAGTTTTTTTATGTTAGATTTTCCAACCTCTCCTGTATCTGTTGGAAAACTGCTGTCAAACAAAACCTGAGGAGCAAAAATAAAATGTTAGAGTTGTTTATTGTGAAACACTCGTGGCTATGAATCTTGCTTTAGAGACTTTCTTTGAAAACATTTTAAAGCTGCTTTTATCAATATTTTTTATATTGAAGTATTAATTTTATTGATTTTGTCTTGCTTTGGTTTGGCATTACTGTTAGGCTTTCACATTGCTTTGTTTATCACGGCACTTTGTAAACTCTGTTTTGAAATCTGCTATTTAAGTGCAGTCATGATTATTATTAATAACTGTGCGTCAAATGTCTGTACCAATTATGAAAGAGGTCACTTGTTGTGATGAACCATCTGAAAATAATTACCCATCTCTGCAGTCCTTCTCTAAGCTTTGAGGGGCAATTTAGTGTCTTTTGACTCATTGTTTTGCATTGATTTTTTTGTTTCTTTTTGTTTTGGCGTGTAGCATTGATGTCTTACCGCTCTCATGAAACCCGTTTTTAGCCACAGCTGTTATTAGTGGGGAAAAAAACTGTTATAAACCCAATGACTGTACCCCACCTGCCCTCTACCAAGCAGCTGAAAGATAAAGTTAGCAACAAGCTTTTGAACGTAGCCGAGCATTTAGCAGCTAGGGAGGTCAGATATTTTCCTCAGGAGTCTGCGGAGACTAAAAACACAACTAAAAGCAAGCAGACTGAATACTGGGCAAGCCAGAAACACCATATAAATATTAATGTTGCTCTGTGCTTGCTTGATGTGTAAATAGGCAACATTTGCCATTTTAATTTCATAAGGTGATAATGCGTCACTGCGTATCCCTAACTGACAAAACAAAATCAGTAAGTACTGATGTAAGTAGTTTTAGCCCAGCAGTGCATGGAAACAGTGCTTTCTCATATGGTAAAACAGATGTGCCGCTAGCCAGATAAAAGTAAACTTAGTCTGAAAATGAAGTTTCAAACTGTGGTGGATTCAAGTTAAAATTTTATCAACCTGAATTCACTTTGACCAACAGATTCAGACACACATTTTAAATTCAAAACAAATATCAAGTTCTTCTGGCCAGTGGCACAACTCCTACGCCACATCCTCGCCCCTTTGATGTTGATGAGCCTGTGTTTTCTTTGTTTGATATCGGAAGAGGTTCACACTGTGCATTGTAGCTGTTTATTTAAAGGGAGGCAGTGGTGCTGGCGATCAAAGGAAGGTGCACCGCAGGTCATCATTAAAAGCAGAGAGTTGGATGGTTTTGTGACCTCAGGCAGAATAGTGTTTGAAAAAGTCTTTGTGACTTTGTCTTTGTGGACCTTCTAACTTCTAGCCTCACCCTGTTTTCCTCACCCTCACCCTTTCTGTCACACGCCTTTCCCCACTTCCTGTCTCTCTCCGTCTCCCAGGCAAATCGTAATTGTTTAGTCATGGCCTCCACCCATGACATTCAGGAGTTAGATGTGTCATCCATCTTGGCCACACAGATCTTGACATGGATCGATGACGATGACGCTGAAGCCAAAGGGTAAGAGAGCAATCTGTGTGTGTGTCTTTGTGTGTGTGTGTGTGTGTGTGTGTGTATGTGTGTGTATGCATACTTTACTTGTGAGGGTTCATCCAGAGTAACACCAACTCACTTTTCACCCTCATACCAGCAGCTAAATCGTGTGTGGGAGTGGGACAATGTGATTGGCTCAGTAATGACTGTGTAGGTGGTGTGTATGCATCTGCAGTGTGTGTCTATGTTTGGATGTGTGGCATAATTTACATGTATTTCTGTATGGCAGCTCCTTTGTGAGATATTATCATATTTCAGAGCAGGGTCACTTTCTGTCAGTATATGTTACTATTGTCCTGCATCCCTGTTATGTTTTATTTTTGCTCTATAAATGCACACAGTACTAACAAAAATGGTTTTCTTATAAACAAGATAATTACAGCTGGCTATTTTTCTCTTCTAAGGATTAATAATCTGAAATTGCATTCTTAAATTTTCAAGTGTTTCCTGCTTATCTTGTTTCAAATCTGTCTCTGAACTAAAACCGAAGAGATGACTGAGATTTTCGTTTCTAGCTAACGTTATCCTTATAAGCATGAATATTTACAACATGGTTGAGTATCCACGCTCACTTATGCACCAAACACCGAGGCAGATTCCCTGTATGTGAAAACCTAATGTCAAAAAACTGTTTCTAATTTCTGATCATTATTCTGTCTCTGTAGTGTTGGTGATGACTTCCTGGTGGTCCACACACGCGATGACTTTGCCGCCCTCCATGGCACCACACCGTACACTCACAGTAGCCCCGGTACACCCATCAACATGCCGTGGCTGGGAGGAGTGCAGACAGGCCGGGGTGCAGCTGTGGTGAGATCTAAACCTAAAGTTGTATGTGATTATTTTACCTGAGCCATTTGTTTTCCCCACCTGTCCTCTCCTGCTTTATTGAGTTATTTTTTTTATATCTGTCTTCGAGCCGTGCTAGTTGTTTTGCATGTTTTTGGCCATTAACTGCTTAGACTTTACATAGCTGACAACTATTTTACAAGGCCATACAACTTTGCATCCTTAGTATGCTGGCCCACACTCACCTACAGTTTAGCTCTGATACAGTCTGTACAACATAGTGGCATGTTTCAGTAGGATAGAGGTGATGAGAGGCATTTAGTCAGTCAACAGAAAATGAATCAGCAGTTACTTTGGTAAGAGTTCAAAGGAGATCAAAGTCAAGCAGAAAGGCCAAATGTTCCCTGATTCCAGCAGTGATTGTTTGCTCCCTTTTTTTGTCTAATATAACAGTACGCTGAATGTCTTTGAATTGGGACTGTTGTTCTGAGCATTTTAAACTCACCCTGGACTTGAACAAAATTATTGACATTTAAATTTTGTGACATATTATAGATCAAACAATGTTTTGATGAATTGAAGAAATAATCAGCATATTAATCAAGATAGAAAATAACTCACTTGCAGCCCTGTTTTTGGGGGGAAGCCATTATTTCATTTAATCTTTGTACAGTATGAAAATACCCCTTTACAAGGTGTTGAAACTTGCTTGGGATAGTTAATCTGTCACAATGAACATTGTCCTCCAACCACATAAAGTGCTTTTACACTACATGCCACATTTACCCATTTACACACACATGCATACACTGGTATGGAGGCGGAGGCTACTGTACATGTGCCAGCTACTCATCAGTTGCAGCTCTTCATAATTGGACACAATGTGAACAAACGAGCGAGCGAACATCAGATTCATTCAGTGCTTCCCAATGAAGATGTCGTAACCTGCTCCAACACTAAGCAACATGCCGCTTGTTTGAACAAGTGCTCACCCTGGCTCTGTACTGGTGAAGCTTCGTGCACCTCCAACCTGTTTTCAGAGCTTTAGCAAGCCTTTACTTAGGGTTGCTCAGGGCTCAGTAGGCTCTCTGTATGTTGTTGTGGCTTGCAGTATATCTGGCCACTTTTTCGGGCTTCATTCGCCACAGTTCACTCTGTTGTATGTTAGAAAGAGGTGTCAGTTATTCACATACACTCACACAGTGACAGCACAGCCATTAAGGTTAATTTAGTGTTCAATATCTTGCCCAAGGACATTTCAACATGCTGACTTGAGGATTCAAGGGACGAACTGCCGAACTTCTGCTTAGTGGATGACCCAATTTATTCCCTACTGCTGTTTTGATTTTTATTGTACTCATATTTTTATAATTTTTAAATTAGGATATTTCCTGCATTAAAAAGATTGTTGTTCACGTTGATGGAGCATCTCTAAATGTCTGAGTATTAAAACAGTGACTTTTGGAAATGCATTACCATGAGGTGATAAACTGAAGCTGGCTGAAATTGTCTGAAAGTTTGGAAATGAATCCACCCATCAGTTTGGTTTTGGTTAATCATGGTGAGCTGTAGTATCAAGTTAAGACAGTTTGTAGTTCAACTAAACTTCAAAAACCAGCGTATTTACAGTGATGATTGCCACATGGGTTTGGTATACTCTTCGCTGTTTTTCTGGGATTATTTGATGCTGTTTGTTGCTCTGGATCTGCCCTTCTTGGTACTCAAAGCAAAATCCTCAAAGCAGTTTAAATGACTTTAATTAATAATTCATCTTTGGGCTCAGTTTGCCACAAGCGTCATGGCTGCTAACATTAGCTCTCCTCATTGATTTACAAAGGAGCAAAGATGTTGCTGACTGCTACAGCTTGTGATACACCAAACCTCCATCATTTTATGCCATTCTTAAAATGAGAAAAGTCTGTAAAAGCTGTTGTACTGATCAGAGAAACTTGGCGTCAGTCGTGGGGAGATAGATCTTATTCTGGTGGTAGCAGTGTCTTTGAATCTAGTCACTTATGAGTCATGTTTTGTTGATATTAACCAGCTCGCTCGTTGCTCTTGATATGCAAACTGGACAGTAAGAGCCACTCTGCATCGTAATTATTTTACCAACCAGTCAGGCAGTGTGCTCAAGGTTGGAGCAGAATACATTTGGAGACAATAATAAATAAAGTCCTTGGCAGACATTGGTGTTAATGCCTGCCTCTCCCAGCCACTAGTCATAATACAGGACAGGAAATGGTAACTGAGCTGCAGTATATTAAGACAATTTATGCTACATGCTGATACAACAACCATCCATTTATGCTGTAACTTAAATGCAGCATTAAATATGTGCTTTGGCATGATGATTAAGATTAGCATTTTCTTGACTTTTAGGGATTTTAACTACAGATGAGGCTTTTTGAGACGTGCACCTCGTTACGTAAATGTTGTGGCACTTTTAACATTTACATAAAAGTTAATGGGGGTCCATTAGTAAAAAGCCATTAGTTTAACAGATAGAGGAAGCAGCGTTGAATGTATTCCATGTGTGAAAAAGGCTGGAGAATAGTATAATATAATTTAACTTTGTACCATAACATAGCCGTGTACTTCTCCCTATTGTAAAAGAACTAGTGCAGTTTCCATTTAACACATGCATGTTCAGAACGTGCCGATTGCTTAATCTGTGGTACGTTGCCACTTGCACCTTTCTCGAGAACCACTCATACAAACAACTTCACACTCAACACTACACTGCTTTGGGTCCTTAGCAATACATCTGCCGTAAAATAACTGCATCACACACCTAAGCCACAGCTACTCACAGTCAGAAACTTTGGTGATATACACTTTGAATCAAGAGGGAAAACACTAGGAACAACTTTACCATTAGGCAAGGTAGGCAACTGCCCAGGGCCCCAAACAGATACTGATTTATTTTAGTGTTTGCATGTGAAAAATATTGGCTTATGTTACTATTTTAACTCCTTGTTCCCCCAAATAATACGCAAAGGCCTCCCAGAGCACTTAAAAAAGATATGCAACTCTACGATATACAACTTACTATAGAGGGATACATTGTACAGCCACATTTACCTCACAGAAATGTGACTGGTTTCATTGCAGATTCAGATTTTACTCACAAAATAAAACATGTATATTTGATGCATTATTATTCATTTAAGTATCCAGCATTATTTTAGAAGTAAAAGTTCCACTTAATTTAAGTACATGCTGATAATGCCTCTCTTTCACTCTCTATTTGGAGGAAAATTTTGAATGCTTTTACTGTGAGGTGTTTGTACCTTTTAGTTAATAGTTTCACTTGAGAAAAAAAGTTCTGAGGTATTTCTTCTGCCACTGCTAATGGCCAGCACTCCCAGTTAGAGAAAGTAAGAGAAAGAGAGTAAAGAAAGATGGCTGTTGCCAGGGACCCCAAAATCAATCCCTAAATAAATCCTTCAAGAACACACCCAAGTCCCAACTCCTCACAGTCCAAAACGCTGGTGAAATACAGCAAGGGTATTAATTTCCAAATTACTTATCAGTTGCTTTGACATAACCACTGTAGTGATAAAATAGAGCATGGATTTTATTAGCGGGTATTTCCTGGTGGTAACATTAGTGGTGTTAGAAGTTAGTAATGGCAGAGTGGTGCTGTTCCTGCAGGCTATCTTTGATTCCAGAGAAGTGAAGAAGAGTTAAGCTGTAACTTTAGTATATCTAACATCCAGCAGTAAAAGTAAACTGCAGTCAGTGAGCTGTGGCTGGCCCGCTGTGGACGACATGCTCGACTCAGTCTGCCTAGCCAGTGACTTCAGGAAAGTGAAGAAGAGCTCAGTTGTAAAATCAGTATATCCAGCATCTGTACTGCAGTCAGTAAGCTGCAGCCGGCCAGCTGCCGACATGCCCGACACCACAGACCCCTGAAGCCCCCAACCCTGAACAGAGTACTGTTCACATGTTCATTCAAAGTTCATTAATAATGAATGTGTCGTGTTTCCAAACTGCACAAAATTTGACAGTGCACGCCTCGAGTGAACAGCAATACACTCGCTAAATGTGAGGTAGATTGGATGAATGGTTCCCAAGATGTGCAAAGGACACACACACACACACACACACACACACACACACACACACAGTTAGATTTACCGTAATGATGTTCTGCATTGTTTTTAACAAATGTTGGTCTACTAAACTTCGCCTCCTCATCATCTCCACCTCTCTTCTCCCAGATGATCAAGAGAAATATCAACAATGTAAGAAGGATGACCTCCCATCCCACACTGCCTTACTGTAAGTACGACTCCCGATATGTCTGTCAGTAGATTAGAAGAGTATCTCCAGACATAATTTTTCTCGTGTTAAAAAAGAGCCTTCAGGGGACGATTACATCACCAAAAAGTTTCTCACATGTAGATATTTAGCAAGTGGCAATGTTTTTTTTCTCTACTGGTCCCAGTGCTGCTGTTGATTTAGAAAGGGCTGAGCGAGTCCTACTTGTTACAACTTTGTATTTTCCAGTCAAACTGCAAAGTGGGGATTCAGTTGTGAAGTGTTTCAGTGGAATAATTCCCAGCAGGTCGCAAGAATGGCTGTTGAAGTGTGCGGGCGGGCGTGCGTGCGTGCGTGCGTGTGTGTGAAATAAACCGTTTGCTTCATCAATAATAAAATAGATGATTTCAGTAACAAAGAAAAGCCAAAACCTCATGTTGGGACAAGAATGCTCGTCGAGATGCTCTGGGAAATGAGCTGATGGCACATTTTATCTTGTTTTTTTCCTGTTTTCCAGACCTGACGGGAGCTCAGGATGGTAGCGTCAGGATGTTTGAGTGGGGTCACTCCCAGCAGATCATCTGCTTCAGAAGTCCAGGCAACTCCAGAGTCACCAGAATACGATTCAATCACCAGGGAAACAAGGTGACAAAGTCAAACATGCACACTTATATCGAGTATATCGAACACTTAACTACCTCCATCAAGATGTCAAACTATTCTTAGCTATGGAACATAACTGCATTGTGATGTGAGGCTGTCAGATTCAGCAACATTTTCACACTTTGCCATGCAGGCACGAACCACAGTGGGGAGTTTGGCTTCAGCACATTTTGTTCTTCAGCTGAGTGATTCAACCACTCTGAACTCAGGCACTTGCCTCAAGCTAATAACTCTCTCAGATGGTGCCTCTCCTGTGCCAGTACCATCTTATCTGCCTGTTCTGGCCAAAAGAGTGAAATATGCTTTAAAAAAAAACATTAAAAAAATAAATTGGAAAGAGATGACTAGCAGAGCGCTTGATGTTAGTTATGTAAGTGGTGCTTGAACTTATGAGGCTGTTGACGTGTTTTGGAGGATAATTAGAGAACAATCCAAATCACCAGACGGGAGAGAAGGTTCTCAATGGGAGCGCAAAAACGGGAGGAGCACCCAACAATATGTTTTTGTCTGTCTGATGTAAAGTAAATACTAATTTTAACTTAATATCAGCAAAGTCTAATATCTGCCCTCTGAATTTTTTGTGCAGTTCGGTATCGTCGATGCTGACGGAGGTTTGAGTCTCTGGCAGACCAACACAAGTGGGAATGCACCCAAACCATACCTGGTGAGAAACTCACCAAGACGATCAATGTGCCGCCTTTTCATTCCCAGACATGTTTGTTTTTAGTTTTGTCTGTCTAGACGTTCTCAGTGTCCTCGCGCTTTCTCCCTGTCATTCTCATTTTTGTTTACTCCTCTCCCGCTTCTCTATTACTGTCACTGTTACTAACCGTCTCCTTTGTTTCTCTCCAGCAGACGTTGCAGTGCCACAACAAGACAGCTCACGACTTTGTCTTTGTGGGCTCCTCCTCCCTCATTGCCACTGCAGGTCTTTCAACAGACAACAGGTAGGAGAGTTGTGAGGAGAGTTGCGAGGAGAATTTCGTCTCCAGTCGTGACAAAAATTGTTCTCCCATTTGAATTCTGTTTTATGAGCTTCTAATTAAAAGCTGAATCTTTTCTGCTCGACTCCATTGTACTGTGGCCAACTGGGATAATGACATTGCCTTTGATAAAAATGCAAGACTGGAAACTAATTTGGTCAGTTTTTGACTCCACAGGAACGTGTGTCTGTGGGACACTCTGGTGACTCCTGCGAACAGCTTGGTACATGGTAAGACGCAGCATAAGAAAAACATTTGTTTTTATGACTCCGCGGTGGAGACAGCCGTGACTGGAGGCATAATGTTTTTGGGGTTGTCCATCTGTCCCATTCTCGTGAACGTGATATCTCAGGAACGCCTGGAGGGACTGTATTCAGATTTGGCAGAAACGTCCAGTTGGACTCGAGGATGAACTGATTAGAATTTGTGTGACCACACAAAACACGATTTGGCCATCATCAGCAGTCACATGCTTCGTATGACAAAATATCACACAAATGTCTAATAGGAGAAAAGCATGAAGTGATGACATTTTATATCCAAAAGGGCGAGGGTCAACTCCACTGTGGCATCATAATGTTCTGCAAAAACACTTTTCTAACCAACACAGACAGCTGGTCAGACACTAATCTTGGTGTCCACTTTAAAACTGTGCTAATTATATAGATCATCTGTGCTGCAGGGTTGAAGATATGTGTGAAGCACTCAAGTTTTGAAATTTGTAGCTTCTATGCAACAACATCCATATTTGAAACAATGTGTGCTTAAATGGCTGTAACTTTGTGTTCTGTCCCTCTGGTAATCCACCACAAGCTCACTGGTTTTGCTGATATTGAGCTTCAGGCGACTGTCGTTACATCATGTCATGAAGCTCCCTATCAGTCCTCTGTGCTCCTCTAAAGCCTCGTTTCCACTAAGCAGACCGCTTCAGTTAAGATGGTTAGTTGTTTGGTCACGAGGCAGCAAAAAGTCTGCTTGGACTTTGGAAAACTCTGACAGGCACTTTTTCGCTATTTTCTGACATTTTATTATAAGCAGTTAATCAATAAATGGAGAAAATAAGTGGCAGATTAATTGATTATTAATGCCAAGCAGTGTTTATGTACAAAATTTCAAATAAATTATACATCAAATATCAGAAGACAGAAAGAAAACAACTTTTTGGAGCCATATTTTTGGGGCATTTTTTTCCCTTTTATTAGAGTTTATCTGTAGTATAGAGCAGACAGTAAATTAGGGAAAAGAGATGGTGGCACCAGACAGGCATGATCAAATCAATTATTGGAGATATCATTTAATTAATCAAAAAAAATATTGTAGATTGAAGCCCTAAGTGGTATACATTTTTACCCTACATATTTCCTCCTCCCTCTTTCCACCGGTTTTATTTCCACTTTAAATGCTGCTCACAGTTCTGTCCCGTTCCCTCTAACTAATCCATCTTCCTCTCCTTGATACCTCATTCTTCTCCTTTGCTCCCTCCCCTCAGCTTTCTGCTGCCACGACTCTGGAGCCACCGTGCTCGCAATGGCTCCCAGGCAGCAGCTGCTTGTCACAGGTGGGAGGAAGGGCTGGATCAGCGTCCTGGAGCTCGCCCACAGGCACCAGCGTCAGAGCTTCCAGGCCCACGACTCGCCGGTCAAAGCACTGGCTGTCGATCCGACCGAGGACTGCTTTATCAGCGGATCAGCTGAGGGCAACATTAAGGTAGTTTCACTGGTTAATTAATGCAAAATTAACTGCATTTCTGTTGAATAAATATGACATTTTGGGAGGTACATTCCAGGAAGGTGGGGGGTCAGGGAGTCTGATACATTATTTTTTGAATATATGAATATTTATTAGCATTTGTTGATTGCTTTCAAGGTCAGCTGCAAGTGGTAACCAGACAGTTGTTTGAGAATCTCCCGGAAATGACCTTTTTCTCCTCAATTTTATGAGTTTCCAGAAACAGTAATTCTAAAAACTTGGGTTTAGGAAAACAGTTTTGATTATTCCCTCAGCACAAGTTAACCTGTGCCTGACAGAACTGTCCTGCAGAGCGTTTGGTCCCCAGGTGGGAATGTTTCTCCCTCCACGTCAACAATCACATGACGGGTGCATTTATCCGTTGAGACGGTGAGCCCCATCAAAGTCAATCCAAACCAATGTCACACTTATGATTAACCACCTGCTCAAGATAACAGTGTGACTGATGGAGACTAAAGTGAAAGGTGAAAGCAGGGTGACACAGGAAAAGGAGAGGGAAAGTGTTTTTAACTGAGCAGGCAGGAGATGTGACCATCTTACATAATATATTTCCAGAGACAGGCAGGTCTTTCATCTTTTTGACTTAAATATGTTGGCGAGGATCACACAGCTGTCACTCCAAGGATGAAGCCACTGCGTCACGCAGATGTACAAGAAATGGTGCAGTGCACATCTGCTTGAAATTCAAATGACTTTCATTCTGGGTGATTGCTACAAAAACGTCCAAAAGCTGTGTGTGGTGTCACTCATCTGAAGCTATTAATTGTATAATGGCTGATTGAAAATTTAACATGGACGAGCTGAAAATTCATAAGCTTTTAAAGTGTTTGATGAGAGTCCATGGAAGTGGAAGATTAGCTAATATGTACCGACATCAGTCTATGAAATACCCTATCAAATAATAACGCTCCCAGACTGGGAATACCAATCAAACAATACAAGTTGCTCAGAGCTAATCATGGCTCTCTGTTTCTTACTGAAGATGTAAATCTTTAAAAACATATCACAAATTTATAGTTTCTTTTTTTCAAAGGCTAAACCGCAGTAAATAGTTTATGTGTTGGGAACCATGGATCCAAACCAGTAAAATGTATATGTATAGAATTTATATATGTGTAGGCATCAGTCAGACTTAGCATATGGTAGCAGCCTGGGGCGGCTTTTTGGAATTGACAGTGAAGCATTTTTATCGCTGCTTTTGAATTGCAAAGCACCTCATGCTTTTCCACTCGAAGAGTGTATGTTTTGTGCATGAGCACCCTGAAAACCTTGGGCTGAAAGGTAGTTGCTGTAATTGGCCCTTTGCTAAGTCCCGCCCCTGGAGCAGATTGGCCAATTGTAACGTAGCATTAGGCCAGCTCAAACCAGGGTCCAACAACAACACAGCTGTGCTCCATTGACTCTTAACGCTGTAATTTCAGATTTCCTTCATTTTCAGGCTGGTTTTGTGGATTTGGAGTTAAATGTTGTGCCTGGGGCAAGTCGTGTATTAATGATACTCCTTACCTGGAGAGGTTGGAAAAAGATATACGTTTCTTCCCTGTTCCAAAACCAAAATCAAACCCTGAAAAGTGTAGGGTTAGCTAGCTAGCTACTTAAGATATAGATACTGAATGTATACACATGCTGCTTTTGCTTTTTAATGATTATAACAGTGAAACAAAGACCGACCCTGCTGTACAGGAACCAGTGAAGGGAAGCAGGGAAACTTTGCTCATATTCAACCAGCTGTGTGTCATCGCATTATGCACAGTTGAAAGGCTCCCCGACAGCCTGACTGCTGGCAGTGGCACAGTGGCAAAGCCAGACACCGTTCACACTGCGATGGCACACAGCTGGTTCAATATCAGCAAAGTTTCCCTTTATATTCATTGTCTTGTGTGGCGATCAGCAGTGATGTGGTGGTTCACTTTTACACTGTGATCTGTAGCCTGTAGTTCGGCTTTAGCTTCTAACTAACTTTGTCTTTTTTTACCTGTTGTTGCTGCTGAGTCAGTTTGACATCCTGGATACATCCTTCAAACACAGACTGTAGACTCCTCTGTCTGCTTCTCTCTGGAATCACTCTTTCAGTTTTCCAACAATATGATAATATTTCTTCAGGGAGTGCAGTTAGTTACAGTGTGAGCTCCATGTTTACTCTGACAGCTTGTCAGACCATCTCAAAGGGGCGGAGCGTAGCAGAAGGTCAATTAGGCTGGATGATTGATTTACAGCAGATTGTCAGACTGTCCCCGACTCATCCTAAAACAAGCCTTGAACCAACCATCATCCAGGCAAATCTCCTGGACGAGCTTAATCTAAATTTCTGTTTTTGAACATTATGTAGCTACTTCCTGAGCCTCAGGATTCTTCTAGCTAAAAAGTAAAAGGTTCACAGGGCCGATAAAACTAAACAAATTGGAGAGAAATTTTACTGATTGCTTTCACACAAGTCGTGAACATACTCAGCCTTCAAGAATAGAGAATATTACTTCATCCTGATGTATTATTCAAACTGTCTTTCCAGCAGAGACAATGTTACGTAGCTCTGCTTACTCTCTCCCCCTCCTTGCTCTGTCACTGACTGTGAGAGCTCTCTATCTTTCTTTCCCTTGCTCACTCTTACCCATGCCTTCTTCTCATCTTCACTCTTTCTGTTCAGTTTTGTTGACATTTCTCTCTCCAGTCCTCTCCTTTTCACTGCAGCTGTCCCTCAGACCCTGCAGGCTACAAACTTCACCGAAGCTAACATGAATTCCTGATGTCCTCCCTTTCTCTCTGTCCTTCTCCTATCTTTCTTATTTTGTTGGTTAGAAAAATCACCCCAGTGCAAAGCTCTTTGGCTGAGGCTCACTGTTGCTGTCCTAACTAATGTTCATTAAGTATTAATTTAGAAATGCACCTGCTTTATAGGTAGCAGCAGCTCTTCGATGAACCCAACAAATTCACACCAACGCACTCTGTTTTAAACCTGTTAATGTTAGCTGTGTGATGCTAACATTTAGGCTTGTCACTGTGTGTGTGTTGTGGGTGACCAACTCTCCCCACCAGGCACAGAATTCGCACTCCCACAGCAGTAGTCTCCAAGCAGCAGGGAAGTGGAGGGACAGCGGGTGCGCTGGCTTGTCTAATGATAAAATTTGGTCTTTGCAAATGTAAATAATGTACGTGGTTATTTGCATGTAGAGCGAGGAAGTGACATCTGATTGCAAGTGATCACCTGAAACACATGTGGAGACACATTCTACTACCAGGTGGGACCAGACAGACTTCAGCCCTGACGCTTGCTGTGCCTTTTGATTGTTGCCAGTCAACCACACCATTACCTCCATACCCTAACCACCCTGTGTAATCAATCTACTGTTTATTTATTTATTTATTTTACTTATTTCACAGTAGCTAGTTGCTAAAATGTTGAGGCAGAGGGTACTTGCTGTAGCTTTGGTTGAAGAGGAAAAGCTTTCAGTGAATAGTTTGTTGAACACAGGCAAACAGAGATCTGTGTGGGTACATGAGACCCTAAAAGAGAGCGTAGCTCACTAGGAGAACCACCAGCTGGTCCATGAGCTTCGCCTCAATGATGGCCTTTTCTGGCATATTTTAGGATGACTTGGGGGCAGTTTGACAGCCCGATGTCTATTTTTGGGCCCAGGTGAACAACAATGAGTACACTGGTCCTGTGAACGATGAGCACCACCAGTTTCTCCGATTTGGCTATGCAGACAGTACTTGTCAGTTACTTGTTAGTAGGATCAGTTGTAGTCATAAATGTAGAATATCAGCAGACGTACTCTTTGATATGCTGCACTGTTCTAACTGTTCCCTCCTCTCCTGGACTCCCCAGATCTGGAGCCTGGCCACACAGTGTCCGCTCTACACCTTCCCAAACGAACATGCTCGCCAGTCGCTGTTCAGGAACCTCGGGACGGGTGTCATGCAGATCGAGGTGGGACCGGCCAATCACATCTTCTCCTGTGGCGCCGACGGAACCATGAAGATGAGGATCCTCCCCAACCGCTTCAGTGTGGTCAACAACAACAACAACCACGGCAACCTCAAGAACGATGTCAAGTTCATCATATAGACAAATACGGAAAATAAAAATAAGGTGTTGAAGCAGTTTAACTGAAAAATGTGAAGTTGCCAGCACTACTGCTGTGGGAACACATGACAGGAACAGTGACCGTCGTGGGTTCACTTCGGAGGAACGATGCCGTGATAGAACAATGACGCCAAGTGTTATCAACCAGTGTAAATGAAGAATGACTTTCACGACAAAAGGTTGAATAATCATAGGATTTACAGACTTTCACAGAGTGAGATCCAGCGAGTCGTCTGATCCAGTGGCCCAAGAGTGAAAGGATCACATCTGCTGCTTTTTACGCGGGACATGAACCCGAGCTGACCAACCACAGAAGCCTCTACCAGTGTTATGACCTGTAGAGGAAGTGGGCACAGGGTAACAACCGAGGCCACGGAGTGAGAGACAGAAACCCAGCTTCATATTCTCTTAAACAAACTGCCATCTCAGCGAGGACTGACGTGAAGAGCCTTTTTTTGCACAGAAAGTGAAGCTGTAGAAGGAGCTGTGAAGAGTCTAGAGCTGCAGCGTTGTTCTTCGTATACAGTATCACCATATCTATTAGTTTATATTAGTGAAGCAGTCATGATAGTGGAAGCTGGAATCACTGCTCGAGTGTTCAGGTGTTAAAGTACAGTAGACTGTGTCTGCGATATATCATAGAGGGACAGTAAGCGATCCCTTTAGGGGTTCGAACGTCACCACAAGACTGCACGGCACTGTTGAACCCGCTCAGCACAATGCAGTAAGGCCAGTGGACATCGTACAAAGCACATTATATCCAGTCTCAAGGATTCACGGCGCATTCTGGTGCTCCATGTATATTTTTAGCTGCGGCCAGAAGCTCTGTAGACTGAATCACAATGTTTGTTTACAGTAACTTCTGGGTGGAAAACCCCCACATCATGTACATAAAATCAAACGGCGCTGAGCAAACGCTGCCTCAGTTGGTTCCTTTTTAGCCACCTAAAAAAAATCAGTATCAGTGTGAGTGGACATTATATTTAAAATATTTTCTTGGCTTTACCTTGTTGTCAGACGGCTCTTTAAGACGAGGAACTGAGGCCGTTATCTCAGAGCCACCAGGCTCCTTTGACCAAAATGGTGATTTAAATTCAGCGAACATAGGAGTTACTGGTCTGCTGCCTTGATAGGTTCAAGGTGTGAGGTAAAGCAAAGAAAATATTCCAAATACAGCAGTACACAGATATTTATTTTTTAAGGTGGGATTTTTTTTTTTTTGTTTTAGGTTTGTTTGGTTTATCAAAGACACTACTAAAGCTACAAAGTGCATAAAATAAGCACAGAAAAAACATCAGAGAGGTCGAACCACAGTGTTAAAAGATATATCTTGATACGATATCTCTGAAATTGAAGACAGAAATAAACACGTTTGCTGATTTCACATAGCTCCGCAATAGAAATCAATTGTCAGCTGTTTCGTTTTAGCATGACATCATGGTGATTCAGTCTACAGCTCGCTCTCCACAACAGTGTCTCCGCCCTTTGGTGGCCACAGTTTTTCCCCTAGGAGATTGAAATTTGGCGTGAAACCAGCCAAGGTGTTAGGAAAATCAGTCGATCAGGTGTTTGTCACGAATGAACCACACTTTAGGAATTACAGGATGTCAATTTTCTGTCGCTATTATCATTTCACATTTTGATTTTTGCTAGTTGACTGACGCCTCTTTTTCCCACCTGACTTGAAATGAACACAGTAAACTAATTTTTTTTAAAGATGGAGATAATAAACGTGTCATATCTCTTAAATTTAAGGCAACAGTTTGACATTTTGGGAAACAGTAGATGAGACGATTGACAGCATTCTCATGTGTCTCCCCTAAATGTAAGGCTACAGCCAGCAGGTGGTTAGCACGCAGACTGGGGGTGGTCTTTAAGCTAAGATAGCCATTTTAGCTCAGAGAGTCATATTTGTGTGGATTAAACCAATTTACTAAATTTTAGAGGTGCTGGGTCAAGAGGAAAATTTTGGTACCATTGTTCTCATGTTTCCTTGTTTCCAATCTAAGCTAAGCTAACCAGCTGCTTGCTTCATATTTACTGGGCACACACGAGAATGGTGTGAACTTCTCATCTAGCATCAACTCCCTCCCAAAATGCAGACATATTCCTTCAATGAAAACTTTTGACTTGAGTTTACGTGTGTGCCACTACCCAGTGTTTTCTTGTTTTCCATGGACTACCTGAATGCGCCACTTGTCTCACTCTATTTGCACATAAACATGAAGCTAAATTATATGTAGTGTGATGCATATAACTATAGGAGGCTAAAGCAGCCCGAGCCTTGGGTAATAAGGTAATACGATGTTGTTAATCCCGGCCTAGATTAAACCAGTGGTATTATTATTACTATAATTATTATTATTAAGTGTCCTTAATCTCTGAAAACTACTCGTACCATGCTGGCACAGTACTGCGGTACTGGATGTTGATTACAATTGATACTGAGTTGCACAAAGTAGCTTTAATTTAACAAGGCCCTCGTTGATATGGGACACCGTGATTAATACCTTTTCTGGTTTAGTTTCTCTTGAAATATTAAGCTTAAGAAGATGTAGCAGGAAACTTTGCTGTTGACATTGGAAAGGGGGCGGGGCAGTGAAACAAGTTTTAATTGATTTTGTTGTGGAAATGTTTTATTCCAGTAACAATGCACTTCCCTTTCATCGACTCCAAACTTCCATACGGACCATGATTGAGAACTGCCTTGGACAGAATATTGTTTGCCTTGTGGTAATCTTCTTTTTATTAGCAGTCTTGCTTCTTTTTTTTTTTTTTTTTTTACAGGAATTAACTTTATTTTTAATCATTTACTTGCTTTATATCTCATCCAAATGCAGCACATTGCCTTCAGTTGATGCTTGGAAAATGTAATCTAGGTTGGAGTGTAATATCATCTTCCACATAATTAAGGAAGAGGTTGATGCAAACTGTCCTGCAGCTGTTTAGTCTGAAGGAATATAACCCATGAAGCTATCTACCCACAGAACCTTGTTGTGCTGCTGTAGGGAAACAAAATGTACATGAGCTTTGATTTCAGGGAGGACAAACTGAGGAAAAAACCTTTAAGATGAAGCAGATTTATTGCAGTTCTGTATATACATAGATCTATACACTAGGCTTCTCATGATGACTGCGTAATCATAGTCTTAGATATGACAAAGGCCACTTTATGAAGAATATCATTCTGTACAAATACAAGTATATTTATGAAACATGTTCATATTTAGGATTATAGACAGTGATCAAAAGGTAGATGTATTGTTGTTTCCTGCTTTGTTTGCCTCTTACTGTGGGCTCACCGTTTTCTTTCTTTTCTTCTCATTATTTCCTGACGTGGGCTCCAACAACCACACTGCTATTTTTGTTTTTCCCACAAATCAAAGTGGTTGGAAAATCATGTGTATTTCTGCAGCAACTGGAGAATAAAATACTTTTTATCAAAGCCAAACTATATGTACTCCTACAGAAACTGGAGAATAAAATATATTTTATCAAAGCAAGTGCTTTCTCGCCCCCCCCCTCAGATACTCGCAACACGAAGAGATCAGTTTGTGTCAGGGTGCACGAGCACATGAAACAAACTCGCTCAGCTAAATCAAGTATCACATTCAGCTCTGACTCATTTCTTTTTTTTTCCTCCCTCCTCAATCTTGCAAATGTGAATTTAATCAGATAATTCTAATTTTATAATAAAGATGTCGTGTAAATCAATGTAAAATATACAGAAAATGTATCAATGTAATAAAAAAAATATGTAACAAGAGAAGATGGTTTGCTGTAATTTTGAAAATGGAGGTGTCCATCGAGCCACTTGTTTAATAGATACAGGTCAACTCTAACTTTGACTGCAACAAATATTGTCCACAGTGGCAAGTGCTGAAGCAGCATATTGAATTTGTTTCTAGTCTTAACTTTCCATTAACTAAAGAGCAAAAAGACCCATTAAAGTTCCTTATAATTGCACTGATATTAAAAATTAAGTCAAGTCTTCCAACCACTCAAAGCACTCTTTACACTTCGAGTCACATTCACACAAAAGTGTAAGAGGCTACCATACCCGGTTTCACCTACTACTCAATTTTTTTAACACACTCACACACCAATGGAACAGCCACTGGGTAAAAACTGGGTTTTTAAATCCTGTGTCATCTACAGCTACTTGCTAACTGACTTCTTCACTGCCTTTATTGGCACATTTCTTTGCACACTGCCACCGCAAACTGTCAATCAGCGGGACAAATGGGAACACACAGCATTGTCTGCAGCTAGTAAGCACAAAAACAAACCAAACAGGAAGCTATTCATAAAACTATTGCTCCATAGTCAGGGGTGCAAACAACTCATTTTCTGGCAAATTTATGTTAATTTAATGACTTGTGTAGATTGAAATTTTCAGCCACTTGAGGCAGCAAAAACAAGCTGTGAACTAAAACAGTAAAGTTGTGGAACAGTCAGCTAAACGATGAGCTGAAACTTGCAAAGAAGCTCTGTAAAGCTGAGGAGAGCTGCAGATTCTCTAAATTCATCAGTCGATCAAGCTTTTCATCTGAATTACTTTATTTTCATAGAAGAGCAAACACTGAATTTCTTTACAATCACATAATTAGCATTAAAAATTAAGTGTAAATCATTATTTTTCATAGCTAGCAAACTCTACATTATTATAACATTATTATACATTTCAGTATTTTGAGATCTCAATATCAGGTACAAAAAACTGCTTCTGATTTAACAGACTGGAGTATGACTTTGAATTGTAATTGTTCTCATGCCATCCAGTACGTTCACCCAGTACTAGGATGAAATGTGGCTCACTGTAGTAGACACTTGTTTCTCCTGATATCTCGTTGAATCTGAAAACTGTTAATTATTTCCTGTTTTTTAAAGGCAGGTGGGTTAAGTGCACATTTAGCAGGGAAGGACCAGGCAGAACCAACCAAGTAAGCTCTAACCAGCTGAAAAGACAATGAATTATTATTAAAACATTTTTTAAATCCTGTTTCCTCCTGTTTGTGTTGTCAAAGGCTATGTTCACATTACAAGATAATGTGGCTCAAATCTGATTTTTTTTCTCTCATGACAGATTACACAGTGTAGACACACAGATTTGTCGGCCACTTGTATACCTGTTCCTAAGTGGGATACATATCTGATCAGTGGTCATGTGACCGCTGTGTGAGTGTTTTACCCGTACATCCATGGATTTTCCACGTCATATTGAACTGCAGGTGCAGATCACTCACCATACAGTATCAGAGTGTCAAAACTACAGAAGAATATGGGATGATCCTAAAGTTTTGGAGGAACTGCTCCTCTGTGAAACCCTCCACACTGCAGCCCCACCACCCTGACTCCTCTTGTCCTCCTCTTGACTCCTTCCTCTCACCCGCATCCTCAACATATGATGAATTATCATCCGATGACGGCAGCAAATCATTTGGGAGGTGAAGCTTTAACCATTTATTTTATTTCCTAAATGCCTGGGTCACAAGTGTGATGTTTTTTGTTGTTGTTCCAACATATAGGACGTGATGTGAATGAGCAAGAGGGGATTGTTTCAGTGTTTCCCAATGAAGATGCTTTAATCTGCTCTGTGTGTCAGTCAACAGGCTAGTTACATGATGCCTGTTTGAGAAAACACTCGTCCTAGCTCTATTTTGGCAAAGCTTTGCACACCTCCGCCGTTGCTTTGGCTCGCTCAGAACTCCATCGGCTCCCTGAACTTGTTTGTCGCTCGTTGTGAATCTGAATATTTTTTCACGCTCCATCCGCCAGAGTTCACTTGCTCACTCGGTGTACGTTAGTAAGAGGTGTGTGATGTTATTGACTTTATGTGAGGCGTTTCAGGGCAGCGTCCGTTCACACTGATGTAAGATACGGGTCACTTCAAACATGAATGTAAGCAGTCTAGGCAGAAAGATCAATCTTGGGAAAAATCAGAATTGAGCCCTGTGATGTCAACATAGCCAAAGTGATAAAATAAAGATGACCTCATGTTTGATCAGGTAGTCTTTGTACATTTTAATACTTCAGTTAGAGGTAATTTATATGAGAGAATTCACTCTGAAGTAGTCCTTATCTTACTGGCTGATTTGTTTAGGCGTTTGTACACACTCATGAATCAGGAGAAGTAAAGTAGACAGACAGAGAGAGCTGGTCGGCTGGTCAATCGGTGAAAGAGTCGTCTGAGTGGTTGGCTGAGGAGCTCACAGCTTGGCGTAGTCCTTCAGGATGACCTCCAGCTTCTGACTCAGCATGATGTTCCCTTTAACCTTAAGCTTGCCAGAGAAAAACGCCTAAAAAAAAAAAAAAGAAAAATACATCTTTGAGAAAGCCACAAAGTCTACTGATTTCTGGCTGTTAGTTGTTTTTCGAGTACACAGGGAGTAAAATGGGGCCAAGGCGCCTGCAGGGAACACAACAACCTCAAATGCAAAAGCAGCAACCAGGGACAAAAGGGAACGTGCGACCGTTGATGCTATGGCGGCAGAACAATAACATTATATTTATATTCATTAGGTTCAGAGATGAGAGGTGCAGCACAAAAGTCTCTATATCGGGTGAGCTCAACCACTGATGACGTGCGGCGCTTTCCTCGGCTAAAATCAATCAGGGGACGGCGGTTATGATGACCCTGGGTGACAGTGAGCAGCATCCTTTTTAACTGCAACTTATCTTTCTCCAGCTGCTCCTTTCATCGTCAGAGAGGATGGAGAAAGACCGAGCCTGAGGGACCTTCAGCACAGCAGCCTGTTGACGCTCTTTGTACAGAGCACGCACACACTCACAGGCCTCAGATCAATATCAAGCGCTCTGAGAAGAACATAAATTCTGTGCAGTGATGGCCACTCCCTCTGACAGATGAGATGCTACAGACATAACAAGTAGTGTCGATTGATTACCCGCGCTGAGTGCTCTCTCAACCCGGCTTGATAGATCATTTTATTTCGCTCTTTTCTGACGTGATGAGATCAAGAGAGAAGTCATTACAGACTGAAGGGCTCTTCAAAGGCACTTTGCCTTTAATTAAAATGTACAAGATGAGATTTTAACGTTGGAAACAAGATGTTAAATATGAGGCTACTAAAAAAGAAAAATGAAAGCATCTGTTTTAAACTTTATCTTAAATGCTTCCTGTGTGAGCTCACTGTTACTCTATAAATCTGGTTTTACACACAAGGCCACTCAGAGGAGCGCAGCATGTAAATAACCCCTTTGATAAATAGATTTGACTACTTTTGTTTGTTACCTTCTGAGGGTTCAGTTTCCCCTGCACCACCTCCATGAAGTCTTCATCCGACACGGTGAAGGTCACATCCGCCTTCCCACTGTAAGGGCCTTTGTGCAAGGAGCCGCTGCCATTCTTCAGATCAATGGCTTGGGGGAAAAATAGAAGCAGAGGTAGAAGATTGAATAAATCATAGACGTTTGACAAGTGTTTGACTCGGTAGCTTGGCTTTGTTTTTACAACTCACTCGTCCATGGCGTTATTTTGTCTTTAACACAGATGTTGTCCTAGTTTTAAGGGCTGTAACAAACAGTTCAAAGGCTGCACAACTTTTTTTGTTGACTGTCTGTTCATTCAGTTTAAATGTGGTGTTCCTGCACAGCTGCAGACAAAGATTACACAACACTAATATTAATATTTGTAGAATTAGATCCAATGGTGGCTGCTTAGGATTGTAGGATTGTTTGTATGCATTTTTATGGATAACATTGATGCTGAACTGATGAGAATACTGTCGAGATATGACACCTTTTATCTTTGTGTCTAGAGCTGTGTGTTTTTGGGGACACTATAATATAAGTCATTATATTTCTTAAAGGTAGTTTGGTAGATAGATGAATAGATCCCTTACTGTCATTGTATGTTATACAATGAAATTTTGTTGGAGCAATCCATTCAGCAGCCTATAAATGTTACACATGCACCAACACACACTAGCTCATCATTCTCACGGTCACCTACACACACAGATTCATATCTACATTTTTAAAACAGTTATTGCACAGAGTCCATTATGGCACCGCCATCTTGGGTGTGTGAGGCAGGGGGTGGGGGGGTGGCAATTCTGTGTGTGGGGGTGGGGGTCTATAGTCGCTGCAGTCTGTCCACAGCTCTGGGGAAAAAGCTGTTCTGTAATCTGTTTGTGCGTGTGATGGGGGTTTCTCAGACTGCCCGAGGGATGGGTGGTGAAGAGGGGGCGTCCAGGGTGTGAGTTTGTGGCCCATGTGAGATGACGGCCCGCGTGGATGTCACAAAGGTTTGGTCGGGGAAAGCTGTCTTGACAACCTGCTCCAGGCCAGCTGTGGTGCAGCCGGACTACCACACTGTACATTCATTCATTCATTTTCTGTAACCGCTTAGGAGCCGCTGGGGGGCTGGAGCCTATCCCAGCTGACACTGGGCAAGAGGCGGGGTACACCCTGGACTATAGCAGAGCTGACACATAGATACAGACAACCATTCACGCTCACATTCACACCTACGGGCAATTTAGAGTCACCAATTAACTTGCATGTCTTTGGACTGTGGGAGGAAGCTGGAGTACTTGGAGAAACACAGCACAGGGAGAACATGCAAGCTCCGCACATAGGGGCTCTCCCACCCTGGGTTCAAACCTGGAACCACTTTACCACCATGCCACCACCACACAGTACAGCAGTTTGTTATTATGCTCTCGAGTGTGCAGTGATAAAAGCGGATCAGAAGCTCTTGAGGACGCCTGTTAGGTTTCAGGGTCCTCAGTTAAAACATCTTTTGCTGGGCTCTTTTGATGATGTGGGAGGTGTTCAGACTCCAGGTCAGGTCCTCGGCTATGTGCACCCCCAATATTTGGGTGTATTATTTATGTAATATTTATTACCAGGAGCAGCATCAGAAATAATCTCAAAAGAAATCTGGCTGTAGTCTTGCTAAACAGTGACCCTGAGAGATCCCCAGTTGTTGCAAAGCTTTTAGTCCTTAAATAAAAACCCACATTTTGTATTTAGATGTGAGATGGTTTCAGACCTTTTAAAAGTCTGTACAAAGTCATGTAGTGTATTAGCAAATCAAAATGTAATATAATAACATAATATTAAATCCTCTTAAATCTGACATACCATAAACTGCCTCACTTTATCTTATACTCGGACAAAAAAGACCTGAGTTCAACTGATACTTGTCCCAACAAGGCAATGTATCTGTATAACACTCAGTGCACGTACTCCACTGTGCAGCAGTCTTGCCGTCATTGGTGATCTCCCAGCCAAACACAGCATTCACCTTCTTGACCAACTCTGAGCCCACGTCTTTGATACGACGGCCAATCTCTGCAAACACAAGCTCACTCTGAAGGCCCCCCGCCTGCACACAGGTAGGGAGAACAGAAATACTATTTATGTCTGTTTTCACATAACAGATTTGTCAGTATACACACATATATAAAAAGAACGATTAAAAAATATATTAAAAATAAATGAATACAATTTCAAAAGAAGGAAAGAAAGGATCAGTAACATCTGAAAAGTACAAATTAATTTTGTATGAATTATCTGCAGAACTACAGGGAAATGAGCTCCAGGTCTCTCCGAGGGATTTTTTAAAGAGAAAAGAAAGACTGTTGTTTGAATAAGGCATTTACAGAATGACATACTTGGGTGACAGTTTCTGGAGAAGCCTCTGATGTGCCATGTAAATCAACATAGGCCCCAGCTAGCACAACGGCTTCGGTCTCCTTCACCTGGACGAAAGAGAAGAGCGCTGATCAGACACATCATAAAAGACCAGAGAAGTCTGACTCATTTATCCACAGATCTGTGATGATGATTGTGATCCACACTGACTTTGCACTGGATGTGAATTCTGTTGCCTTCCTTCCACATCTCAGTCTGTAGTGACTGACCTGGCATCACTGGCTTTGCAAAGCGAACCTGAGAAAAGGACATTTTTATAACATGTAACCAGACTTCATATAAACCACATTCATCAAGCATTTAAGCCTCATGGTTTCAGTTTTACAAGTCCCCAAATTAATGCAGCCACTTCTCTTGAATTACTCCTAAGTGCCACTGAAAAATAAGCCCATTCACACAAGTGGTTCTTGCATGAGGCCCAGTGACCTATAAAGTCAATGACAGGGTTTGAATCACAGGTAATGCTTACCTTGATGGCCTTGAATCTGGAGGGGTCGTTGTCGGCAAACTGCTTGAGGACGTGTCTCGCAGCAAAGCCGAACGAGCACAAGCCATGAAGTATGGGAGCCTTGAAGCCTGAAGCCAAAGAGCAGTTTTGAGTATGGTGTGTTGAAAGCAGCTACAGGAAGTTTTTAACTGGTTATGAAAGAGTCTCAGTTTAATGCTGATGCCTTTACAGTCAGGTCCATAATTATTTGGACAATGATACAGTTGTCATCATTTTGGCTGTGTACACCACAATGGGTTTTAAATGAAACAATGAATACCTGCTTAAAGTGCAGACTCTCAGCTTTCATTTAAGGCTTTTTTCAAAAATGTAGTATGAACCGTGTAGGAATGACAACCATTTCTTCACACAGTCCCCCAACTTTAAGGGCTCATAAGTATTTGGACAAACTAACATAATCATCAATTAAACAGTCAGTTTTAATACTTGGTTGCAAATCCTTTACAGTCAATGACTGCCTGAAGTGTTGGACACATAGGCATCATCAGATGCTGGGTTTCTTCCCTGGTGATGCTCTGCCAGCCCTTTACTGAAGCAGTCTGCACTTCCTGCTTGTGTTTTGGGTGTTTTGCCCTCAGTTTTGGCTTCAGCAAGAGAAAAGCATGCTCAGTTGGATTCAGGTCAGATGATATGACTTGGCCATTGCAGAACATTCCACTTCTTTGCCTTAAAAATGTCTTTGGTTGCTTTTGCAGTATGCTTCAGGTCAATGTCCAACTGCACTGTGAAGCATCGTCCAATGAGTTTTGAAGCATTTAGTTGAATCTGAGCAGATAATGGTGCCCCAAACACTTCAGCTTTCATCCTGCTGCTCTTGTAAGCAAGACAAGACTTCACTAGAATAAATACAGAGGGTTTATCACAAGATGCAAACCATTGGTTAGCCTTAAAAATGGAAGGCCAGATTAGAGTTTGTCAAAAACCATCTAAAAAGCCTGTACAGTTGTGGAACAGCATACTATGGACAGATAAAACAAAGATCAACTACCAGAATGATGGGAAGACAAGAGAAGGAAGAAGGGAAGGAACTGCTCATGATCCAAAGCACACCACCTCATCAGTGAAGCATGGTGGAGGTACTGTTATGTCATGGCCATGTATGGCTGCCAGTGGAACTGGTTCTCTTGTATTTATTGATGATGTGACTGCTGACAAGAGCAGCAGGATGAAAGCTAAAGTGTTTGGGGCTACATTATCTGCTCAGATTCAACCAAATGCTTCAAAACTCATTGGACGATGCTTCACAGTGCAGATGGACAATGACCTGAAGCATAATGCAAAAGCAACCAAAGACATTTTTAAGGCAAAGAAGTGGAATGTTCTGCAATGGCCAAGTCATATCATCTGACCTGAATCCAATTGAGCACGCGTTTCTCTTGCTGAAGCCAAAACTGAGGGCAAAACACCCAAAACACAAGCAGGAAGTGCAGAAGGCTGCAGTAAAGGGCTGGCAGAGCATCACCAGGGAAGAAACCCAGCATCTGGTGATGCCTATGTGTCCAACACTTCAGGCAGTCATTGACTGTAAAGGATTTGCAACCAAGTATTAAAACTGACTGTTTAATTGATGATTTTGTTAGTTTGTCCAAATACTTATGAGCCCTTAAAGTTGGGGGACTGTGTGAAGAAATGGTTGTAATTCCTACATGGTTCATACTACATTTTTGAAAAAAGCCTTAAATGAAAGCTGAGAGTCTGCACTTTATGCAGGTATTCATTGTTTCATTTAAAACCCATTGTGGTGGTGTACAGAGCCAAAATGATGACAACTGTATCATTGTCCAAATATTTATGGACCTGACTGTATATGACAACAACCAACAAGACCATCTGTGTGAACACTGGCTATTTCTGTGTCATTAATCTAAATGCCTGTCCTTAAGTCTGACTTCCCATAAAATCAGATGAAACAATTTACAGCACGCAGACCCTAAGAGCCTACCTTACACTTTCTCAGCTAAACTTTTGCAGTGAGTTGTGTATTGGCCGTTTAAAAGGAAGAAGGAGAATTTAGTGGTTATGGCTGATACTACAACTACAACTAAAAATAAGATAAGAAAGGCTAAGGGACACTGATAGCCAAGAGCACGGTCAACCTTCTTCGGACATTCAACAGATGGAGAGAATTGTAGGATTTGGAGGGATTCAAAAGTGAACTGGCTCACTTCCTCTAAAACAGGTATGTAGTATGAAAAATTGTAAAAATAAGTTGCATCTTTCACTGCTAATACAAATGAATGCGTTAGCCAGATCATGGTCTTAACGACACTAGGCACTGGTACTCGTGGGAAATGCAGCCTTCATTCCAGGAGACAGTACTGCTTTTGTCCACCGCATGTGTGGACTCTGTGTTGTGGTGGGTGCTGGAGCTGAAGAGAGGCAAGGTACACAGTGATGCCATATCCTTTGCATCCTCCCAGAAAAGCTGTCCTGAGTGTTTTACGTGGACGTCAATCAACAGGCAGTTATAGAGTGCTGCAGGGATGATGGTTTTTTTGTGGGCCAACATGGAAGTTAGCTTCGCCCTGGTTCCCTCATCAAAAAGCCTGTGGGATTTTTCATTTGGATTGTTAATTAATAAACAAATAAATAAGCTCTGTGGCAAACCAATGTTTATGATTCTTACAAGTTTTGTTCAGCAAACAAACATTATAGCAACATTAGGCTATAAACAAACACACCACTGTTGCATGACTTAGCGTTACCACCACAACGAGGCTTTAGCCATGTTTGGTGTGATGACATTTCATAGTCTTATTTAACCACTGTCTTTTTAAATGGTAAATGGACCTGCACTTGTATAGCACCTTTCTAGTCTTCCAACCACTCTCTACAAGTCACATTCACCCATTCACACATTCACACACTGGAGGCCGAGGCTACCATACAAGGTGCCACCTGCAACTCAGTTTTTAACACATTCACACACCGATGGAACAGCCAAGGTTCAGTATCTTGCTGAAGGATAGCTAAAAGCTTTAATTCACAGGTGGCTTATTAACTGACATATTTTATGCCACATCACAGGGTGTGAAAGTCTAAGCTTGTTTTAACCACAGACCTTATTTCAGGCATTTAACCAAAATCCCATTCAAAAAAATCTGATGACTTCAAGATGAGGGAACCAGGAGTGCAAAAATGCTAACTCATTTCTAGGTTTAGGACTCATCCCTGCACCACTCTATAAGCAAAACAGGAAGCTGTTTATAAGTTACGTTACAACCTGTTCACCCACTGGCAGTAACAACTACTGTTCTGTATTTTAAAACCCAAATGCAGAACCTTTAAAGTATTAATGGGATCAAAACACATCACTTGACTTAAGTTGACCAAAATAAATTCAGACACTTCTGATGGAAAACCCATCAGGACACAACACACACAGAGACTCTCACCTCCCATGGCAGCAAAGCTGGGGTCTATATGGAGAGGGTTCCAGTCTCCGCTCAAACGGTACAGGGCGGCCTGTAACCGCAGGGGAAACATATTGTTTAGATCTATATCTAATTCATAAACCCCTGAACTTTTCATACACAAATGTGGGATGAAATTAAATTATCATGAAGGCAATAGAAGAGATACCTAAAATAAGAATGTCTTTGAAGTGATACAGTTGCAGTCATTTAAATTGCTCAAGGGACTTCGTTTTTTTTTTTAATCCTCCTTTTCTTTTTTTAATTTTCTGCTGCATCATACACTCAGTGTTTGAAAACCTTGTTCAACACTTCTTCACATTTTGTCTAAAGCGTTAAGGTTATTTCACAGGCACAAAACAATATGTCCTATTTTCACCCACACATCATCGATGCAGCTGATTTATTCTGCAGCTGAACCCACACAGACACACTCACTTGGTCTCTCGTGGTCGAATCAATCACCACAGCATCTGGTGCCCGTTTAGGTGGGGGCACGGGAGCCTGGAGGAAATAAAACAAATCAAATATGAGGCAGCAATAACTCCCAATGTCTTATTTTCTGACTCAAACACCGAATACGTACTTTGGCTTTTTCAGAGGTTCTCTTCCCTCCAAACCCTCCAGCTCCGACCGCAAACACTGAAAACTGGTTGTAGCAAATCAGCTCGTTGCCGTTGAAGGTGTTCACTGCAATGTATATATATATATGAAACTATGTTTAATTTGATTATAACATTACTGAGTAAGGAACATTACTGTTGGACCCTGACAGCTAAATTTAGAGCAGAGCACTATGAAGATCAGATGTGAAGCGCTTTGTTTTACAAAGACATATTTTTTTATGTTACTGCACTGATGTACTTTCTTTGATTTAATAAAAATCAAATCAAAATATCTTAGATATTCATCACAATTTGAAAATTCTCTCACTGAATTGTTGAAATGTTATTCACCCACCGCATAATAAAACCCTTCAATGATGACGAAATGTGCTTGAATCGTTAAAACACATAACTAAGAAAAATTAAAATGGAATAAAAAAATGAATGAAACAGAATCTGGAAAAAAAATTAAAACAGATTTTACAGGGCTCTATTTGAGAGACGATGAGAAATTAAGAAGTAAGAGATGCAACAAAGGTCCCATGTGCTTAGGGTTGCAGCGATATACGGGTTTCAAGGTCTACCATGATAAAAATTTGACAGTTATCTTACTGTGCACATTTGCTGATCTGCGATATTGAAAACAAAAATGCACCTTCCTTTATTTTGATTATTTTCTAAGAGGAGACTTTGTACACATACTTCCATCAACAAAATGGTTTCAAGTTTCAATTACAACAACAAAATGTTTGTTTAACCAACAATAACCATTATTTTTTCATTTCTTAAAGGCTCATTTTGACTGATAATAATATAAATTCTGTGATATTGTGATCCTGTGAAACTTTCTTAGACGGTTATCATACCGTGAAAATCACATACCGTTGCAACCCTACTCTTGTTGCACCTCATGGTCTCAATGCCTACAGGGGATGTCCCATGTTTTTGTGAGCAGGTCCCTGATTTGTTTATATGTTGTGCACATTTATGATGACACACATGGATGTGAACAAGTGTGTGACAACACGATAATTGTCTCTGAAATGTAGTTGAGTAGAAATGTTGAGGAGTACAAAAGGAAACACTCAAAATGATACGGTACTTCATGTACTTAGAGTAGGTAAGTTCCACCACTGACTCTTCTATATTTTTAGTGAAGTAAATTATAACTGAACTCAAACTACAGGTTAATCCAGTACGAGCTGATGCATTAACTACATTACTCCCAAACAAAACTGACTTGCATCTTCCCATCAGTGTCTCCCAAATGCATAAGTGCTGTTCCGCTGAAGGATCACAAGCACATCTCTTCTGGTTTTGCTCAACATTACACAACTTTTTGACAGCAATTTCTGAGTGGCTCTCAAAAGCCTGTTCCAGAGACATTCAGCCCAACCATGACCTGTCGTCTTTGGTCGCTCTGCACAGACCTCTGAGCTGCTGTATGACATGCAGACTGCTCTGCATTTAGGAACGATGGTTGCTAAGAAACTTATTCTCCTCACCTGGAAGTCTACCACTTCACCCTGCTTTGGCTCAAGGATATGTTGTGTATTATACATGCATAAAGACTGCATCCAAACAAACCAGACAGAACAGACTGGAGAGAATTTGAGGACATTTCTTGACATAGTGTCATTACTCCACTTCCACAGGGACTCTGACCTGCCTGGCTGCATGAAGGGTTCTGGTGTTTAACTCGATTAGTGATACGTTACCTTGGTCTTGAGATGGTGACTGTTCATGTAATCTTGTAAACTGGCTGGCAGCCTTTTTATTTTGTTCTGAAACTAAAGTACATTTCTGCAGCATGCTAAACCCAACAATGTGCAGTGGATGTTGACTAAGAAGGGGCAAAAGTGATGACATCATTATGTTAGTATCGCTTGTGTGAAACAATACACACAGCGAAGAGCCACATTTCCTCATTACAGCACATCTACAGTAAAATTAGAGCAGCAGGAAACAGCCACATGGAGGCCGACTGCAAAGAGACAATTAGCAGCTGTCACAAAGAATCAAACCCAGTCTGCTGCTGACACACTGGCCGCTTAATTTCATTAGGTCACTTCAAAATATAACCAGGTATAAATACAAATAAAGCTGCATCTGCAGGACGTTGCTGTGACGTGTTGTCTCACCCAGAAATAACTTTCACTCAGGAAGGATAACGGAGGCCGACTGGTTTAGTGTGCATAAAGAAATTACATCCCTGTGTGAATCCTCAGGGAACCACAGGTCCCATGTTATTTGTTTTAAGTAGGATTAATTATAGATCAGAGCAGTTCTAATATCATCCGTCTCTATGGAATTGTCAAACAAAAATATGAGCCGTTCTTGGTCCATTATTTCAATCCCTGCAGACACAGACTGAAAATTAACTTTCATTAATTCAGCATGAGAGGCAACTTTCAGGAAAAGACACATTAAAGTAGTGAAAACAAATGAATGTGGAATAAATACATTATATGATAAAAGTTATTCACCCTGGAGGGGGAGGAAACTCACCATCCAAGAGGATGAGGGCTCCGGATCCTTTGTCCAAAATGTCTGCTATGGTGGCCTCAGAGGTGAGAGTGCCTGAAAAGGTATTTTATCCAATTAAATTCTCCTTTAATAAAGTACCATACTTAAGTCCTGTAAGTACTTAATATTACCAAACCAGCTCTGTATTTCATGACACGACTGCGCACATGTATCATTATGTTCAAGTCACAGAGCTATTTGAAAAATCTCCTCAAGGTTAACAACACTTGGTGCAGTTTTATCGGTATTTTCACAAAACTCACAGGCTCTTGACACTTGATTTTTCTGCTCTACAGCTGAAACAGTTAGTCCGTTTACTATATCAACTATTTTGATAATTTGCGGCTCTACTCTGAGCTCTTTACTCTATCTCTAAAGCTGAGCCCAGCCACCCTTCTGAGGAAACTCATTTCGTCCGCTTGTATCCACGACCTCATTCTTTCAGTCACTACCCAGAGCTCGTGACCATAGGTGAGGGTTGGGATGTAGATGGACCAGTAAATCGAAACCTTTGCCTTCCAGCTCGACTCCCTCCTCACCACGACGGTCCGGTGTAGCGGCAATCCATCTCACGCGAACAAGACCCTGAGATACTTGAGCACCCTCACTTGGGGCAGTAACTCTCTCCCAACCCATTTATTAACCTAATAGAAAAAAATGTGCTCTATTTGTCTGTTTTTGAGTTTTTTCTAAATCTTAATTAGTCATCTAGTCCAAATTTATACTTCCGTTAAAACGTCATTAGTCATTATGAACATCCCTATGACTGATACAACATACGACTGATTAAAAAAAAAATTTCAGTTAGTGAACAAGTCAAGCCAGAAGTTATTAGGGGTGTAAATCACCAGCTTCATCACGATACGATATTATATTGATTTGTTTGGATGACGATACGATGTTTGCCGATATCACAAAGTCTGTCACGATACGATTTTGATTCGATTCGATTCGATTCAGGAGCCTGCGATCGATATGACGCGATATCATGTGCCCATCTAACACAATCATTTACATCAACTCACAAAAACAACTAGAATATGATTTGACCATTTTATTTCTGAGCTCTGTTTGTTGTTTGAGAAAAGGCGCGCTTACCCAGAAATGGTGACACAGACGTGCTATGTAAATTTCAAAATAAATGTGTATCTTTAAGATGACGATATGGATCAATGTTTTCATTTTGCATCGATATAATCGGATTGTTATTCAATGAATTGATGTATCGATGTGGATCGATGTATCGTTACACCCCTAGAAGTTATGTCATTTCCGACTTCTATCTTTCTTTGAATTATAAAACAACACAATTTGGGAAACAGGTTTAAAATCTTTTTCATAATGCGGTGGACGATATGCAGATACTTTCTTGAAATATCCTCAAAATAACAGAAAGTGTTATTAAACCACCTTCTGGGTTTTTAATTGATCATCAGAGATTATCTTTTAGAACAACAAAAGCTTGGCTCTGTGACTTGAATGTCATGATAATACATGAGAGGCACAAACTGGAGCCAGACTGGACCATATGTAGTCATTTTCTCAGTATGGGCATGCTATATGAATTATAATCACAGATAAAAATCAATCATGGCTTAAGAGGTAAAATGGCCCCAAGTCTTAATTATCTATTAAACTCAGCCTGCTCCCCGTTACATGGCATACACACAGTAACATAAATCCAGGTAAAATGACTCATTCAGGCTCTAAAATTGCTTTAATTGTACTTTTAATGATGTAAAATCGACTGTAATTACATTAAGTTCTTATGTGCAATAAACTGCATGTGCTTTAACAGCAGAAGAATGAAATACCTGAGGTTGGCAAAGGTTTGTAAAGCTCCAGATACTGCTCTCCATGCAATACCTGACACAAAACATTAGAACAGCTGTGATATACAATATACCTGAAAGCCTCATTAGCACGACTAATGTGTGCAGGGCTGTGTGAAATATACCATATGGATACAATATGCATATGCACAACAATGTCACACACACAAACAGACTTTTTAGACATTATGTGTGTGTTTTCTGACCTGTGTGAAATCTATGTCGAGTCCAGGTATTGAGCTGAGCCCGCCTCCCATCATGGCTGCCTGGGCGGGAATGACCCCGAAGGTGGGGAGGCAGCTGAAGCTTTCATGACCTTCATACAGGAACCTATATGAAAACGTTAACAGTGAAAAGTCACACTTGCACAGGCCTGTGATGGTAAGCATGGGTAGATTTAAGTACCAAAGTAAAGTGAATCCTTTTTTTCCCTACACACCTGAGATGGTCTGGGTCCTTGGTGGACATGCCGACCCCCAACGCGTAGAGGATACACTGGATGTGGTCGAAGCTGAACGTGGTCGGTGGTAGTTTTTGTCCCACTACCTCAGACTGAGAGGAGAGAGGAGTTTAGTGTCAGCTTCTTGGACATAACAACATACTGAGGGCAGAATATGAAAGAGGTATCCTGTAATTTAGACAGGGCAAACGAATATGCAATTTTAAGGGTTTGCAGAAAAGTAATAAGGTTCACACCACGGTAGATTAGCTTCACAGCTCAACCCCTGAATACAAATGCGTTAATAAACACTGCACATACAGTCAGAGTGGATTAATCAATTATATAGGTGGAGCCCAGGCACTAAGTGAATAAACAATTAATCAATCTTTGATTATAGGGCACCTTTCTAATCAGTTATAAAGAGCTTTTTAGTGACACTAGCAGCGTGGCTCTAAGGCTGACTATAATATCTACGCAACTGTTACATGGATTGCCATGAAATTTTGTCATGGTCATCAGAGGTTGATGCCTGCTGGCTTTGGTGATCCCCTGACCTTTGCTCTAGCGCCATGATCAGGTTAAAGTTTTCATTTCTCCCAGGAAATATCAAAACATCTACTGACTGGACTGGCACTAAATCTTGTACAACATTTATGGTTCCCAGATGATGAACCCTGATGAGTTTGGTGATCCCCTGTAGTGTTGTCAAAGATATTGATACATATCAGTTCTGAATATTTGAAATGTTCAATGCTAATTTTCTGCGGCTGCACTCGCTCACTTAGTTCACTTAGTTTTTCTCTGTGAATCAAAAATAGTGCTGAATATTGCTACTTTTCAATTTAATTTAATTTAATTCATTTTATATTATATCAGATTTTTATTTTATTTTATTTTTAAATTTAATTTTCAAAAGTTAGAAATTAAAGTATCGCACTAATCCCGTGACATGTTAAACTAGATGGTGAACACGGTAAACATTACACCTGCTTAGCATTGTCATAGTTAACATGTTAGCATGCCAACATTTGCATTTAGCTCAAAGTACAGCAGTGTCTGAATACCATGAACGTACTGAGATAAAGTAAGAACGTCCTGCATGGCTGTAGACTCTTACATTTCTTAGGAGATGATAAAAAGAGTAAACGCAATAAAGGAACCTGTAGGAATAGTAGAAATATTTTTCAAAACAAGTTTAAGTGTACTAAAGGCAACAAAAATGTGTTCAAAGGCTAAAATTAATTGAGGCGTGCTATAGAGCCGACATGCCACACCCAAGTCCAACTGTACGATCAGGTTAAAATAATTATCAGATTGAACATGGGTGTAAAGTTTGTTGTGTAGTTGTTGTAGTGTTTGTGTATCTTTAAGTCCTCAAATGTGTCCGTAAAATGAATATTAATGCACGAAATCAAAAATAGTTGACCTCCTGTCAGGTGACCAAAAAAAAAAAAAAAAAATCATAAAGTTTTAATACGTTCTTAAAGATGAGAGTAATGGTTTTTACCAAATATCTTGGACATCAAAGGAACTTTATCCCAACCCTGGCGTGCATTTTGGGGCACCAGTCACTACAGAACTTTGCAATTTTTGCCAGTTCTTAAGTGTGTGCCACTTTTTGTGAGTTTTCCAGCATCCCAGGCCTCTCAAAAATGTGATTGCACAGCAGAAAAATAGTTTCTTGCTCACAACCCCAGTATATTGCTGAACTTCTCTGCCCCTACTCCAACTCCCAGTCTCTTAGATCCTCAGAACAATGTCTTTTAACTGTCCTGCGATCGAGGCTGGTGGGTAAGGATGATCATGCCTTTGCAGTAGCTGCTCAAAAGCTCTGGCATAATCTTCTACTCTCAATCAAATCCTCCCCCTCCACTGACACTTTTAAGACAAATCTTAAGACGTACATGTTTTCAATGGCCTTGGGTTGTTTGTAGTGGTTTTGATATTTTAGTATTTCAACATCTTTTTTTTTACATGTGCAATTGTTCTACCCAGTGTTATTCTGTTTTATATTTGTGTTCATGTTATATTGCTATATACGTGTGTGTGTCATTCTCTTAACGTGTATAGCACTTGGGTCAAATGCAGTTGTTTTTAAATGTGCTGCAAAAAAACTTGATTTGATTTGACTTGATTTGAAAATGCAGAAAAAAGAGTTTGCATGATCCCCTGTTTGATTTAATCTGTGATCATCAGCAGTAATGTATTTGAGGACCTGTGGGATCTCACAGAGTTAAAAGGAATCAGCAGTTCAGAAATGTCCTCCTGGGCCGGACCAGGCAGAGCTTTGTATGTGATCAGCACAATTTTAAAACAGATCCTAGAGATGACTTGTGGCCAGGGCAGGGAGGCCAGAAAATGGGGCGCTGTTCGATTTGTGCTTGCACTTCTGTTAACGAGCAGCCTGAAAATGGACTGAACAGAGCATCGCAGTAATCATGTGTTAATGACACAAAGTCACGAGTGCCTTTAAAAGCTCAGGGAGGTGGAGCCCTTGGTTGTATTGTAAACGTTTTAAAAGCCTTATTAATCCCAGCCTGAGAACCTCTGGCAGAGCTTTCTGATACTTCAAGACTCAAACTGATCATGAATTTTCCATCACGGCTCCTGCGGGATTTGGAAAAACCTGCACCAACGAAACTCATTACAAAATAAAGACCATCTTCTTAAATTCTTAACATTCACTTCTACAATTAATTTAATATTTAGTATCTGCCTTTGATATCTTATTTATTTCTTTTAATGATTTTTTTTCTATTTTTTTTATGTGATGTGTTAAAGCACTGTGTAAACATCGTTTTTTGCAATACAATAGTAAGGAGTTTGAAAATACTTAATAGTCATGAGTTGATTTTTCAGATTTTATTTATTTAGTTAACTGTTCAAATATATTTTCTGCAGTTTTTATCTGGTACTAAATAACTTGGATAACTTGATAACTTAAATTTAGCATGACTTACTCAACTGTAACTAAAAGAAAACTATCTATAAAACCATCTCAGTTCGTCTTTCCACTGTTCCATCAATCACCAACTCTGGTTTGGTGAACCCCATAATTCATCCAGTTAGATGTGACAATATGCTGGCTCTATGTGTTCAAATTTAGGGCTCCTCCCCTTACAGTCGATCAAACGTTAGTGGACCAGAAAGGTCATTAGTCAGCAAGATTTCATTTGTCGCTTAGTCACATAAAAATTATAGAACTCTTATTAGGAGCTGCACCTTGTCAAAATAAATCAATCCTATATGACGCAACCATGTGGGAATTTAATTTGAAAGGACAGACACAAGAAGAGGCCACACTCAGCAGGTCAGACGGGATGTTCCAAACCAATGTTACAAACCAATCACAGCCGACAGATATCTTTCCCTTCTCCTGTAAATATTCAGTGTGATAAATACGGAAAACTTGATCATGTTAGTGCAGGGCTACCCAGAGCTTGACATCTGTCCCACGGACGATAGGTCTACACACTTTTAAGCTGGCACAGTAAAGGCACAAGTGAAGCACCAAGCACCCGACCTCACATTTTCCAGGCAGTTAAAGATGCAGCATGTGTACGGCCCCTAATTTCCAGGGCTGGTACCTGCGGTTATTCCACAGGCTAGTTAATAACATGTCGGGCAGGAAATGCAAAGTGTGGGATCATTTTGAGAAGGTGAAGGACGAACCCAAGGTGATATGTAAACTCATCTTCATTGGTCGACTACAAACATGACGTATCATCTGAAACATGGAAGTAGCTACATGCCCATTAGCTGACAGCATCATTAACAGGCGGCTCGCTCAGTGTGTGACGTGCACTTGTAGATAAAATATAGGCCTATATTAATGAAGGTTCATTAGTACGGTTTTGTATTTCTCTGTAATGTAGCACAGTGTTAACAATGTTACTGATACTATTCTTTCTCACACCTTGAACTCAAACCATTGTGTTGCCCCGCCCCAAATATATCATTTAATAATTAAATTAATATCATGAACATGGGGGCGACTAGTCGACTAATGGCCCTAAATGACAACTGTTGGTCAACTAGGAAAATTCTTAGTTGGGGGCAGCGCTATTAAAATTACTGATCATTACTGATTTCAATGGAGTCTGGTTGGTTTGGCGATGACGGAGCTGTTTCTGTTAAACAAAAAGGATCTTACTCTTTAACAAAAAGGTCTATCTCTGAAGGTATACTTTCAGTAAGTTATTAGACACTTAAAATAACAATCTAAACCTGTCAGTGGCAAAAACAAGCACTTTTAATAGACATAAATCGACGGTGTGGACATTGCAGCCTGTTTTGCCGCAGCCTTGCTTAATAATGGACCAGTTTCATAAATTCTTGTTCCCATTAGAGTCATTAGACACAAAAACCTGGGAAAATAGAGTCCAGGTTGAAAAATCCTAACCTTATCCTTTAAGTGGCCGGGCCAAATGGAGAAGGAAAAGGGGTGAAAAGGAAGATGAGTTTTCAAGAATATTAAATCCACCCTACAGGCCACACTTCAGCTGGCTCCTTTACATCAAATAGTGTTATTAAATCAGAGAAATCATCTATAAAGAGATATTTCTGATCCTCAAACCTAACTGACTCTCATTCAAATATCCGGTGAAGCACACAATATACATACATCTATGAGAACATTACAAAGTAGTCCTGCGGTTAGTCATTTTTCATATTAACAACCACTGTGCTGAGCCATTGTTCAAAACAATATTGCCTAGCAGAATGATGTGATTCACACTCTGAATAACACCACCTCTCAGCAGGTCGAAAATCACTGTAAAGCCTCTTTTTAATTAAAAGATGTGGGAGATATTCTGTTTTCGGAAGAATTCCAACATCCCTGAAACTGGGGATTTAATATTATACGCTCTCGCACACACACACAGAGATCTAAGCTACAGTGGAGAAGCTAGAACAAAAAAACATGTGGGTGTAACGTCAAGTTAGTCAGTTACTTGGGGAGATGAGGAAGAAAATCTTTTTATTAAGATTAAAAACTGTCTTGTAGCAAAAGTGATTTCTTTTTTGGGGCGTCCTGGTGGACTTGTGATTCAAGAGGCTGAACATGTAACTGCGACATCCACAGATCGAGTCCAAGGGGACGTTACAT